AAGGGGCTTGGAATATTGCAATGGCTGGGGGAACATGCCTTGGGCTCGTTGCCCGCACTGTTGGAGATGATATTGTACCACTTGTTATGCCATTCATCGAGGAGAACATAACAAAACCTGATTGGAGACAGAGAGAGGCAGCTACTTATGCTTTTGGCTCAATTTTGGAGGGTCCTTCTCCTGACAAGTTGACACCTATTGTCAATGTTGCTTTGAACTTCATGTTATCAGCTCTAACGAAGGACCCAAATACTCATGTGAAAGATACCACTGCTTGGACTCTTGGACGTATTTTTGAGTTTCTCCATGGTTCAACAATGGATGCGCCTATCATTACGCCGGCAAATTGCCAGCAAATTGTTACTGTTCTTCTTCAAAGTATGACGGATGTACCAAATGTAGCTGGGAAGGCCTGTGGGGCACTCTACTTCCTTGCTCAAGGTTATGAGGATGTGGGTCCATCCTCCCCTTTGACTCCATACTTCCAGGAAATTGTTCAGGCCCTTCTCACGGTCACTCACCGTGAAGATGCAGGCGAGGGTCGGTTAAGGACTGCTGCCTATGAAACACTGAATGAGGTGGTTAGGTGTTCAACAGAAGAAACTGCCACTCTGGTGTTGCAACTAGTTCCTGTGATAATGTTGGAGCTTCACAATACACTTGAGGGTCAGAAGCTCTCATCTGATGAAAGGGAGAAGCAAGGTGAATTACATGGTCTTCTATGTGGGTGTTTGCAGGTCATCATCCAAAAGCTAGGCGCGTCCGATCAGACCAAGTATGGGTTCATGCAGTTTGCTGACCAAATAATGGGTCTCTTCCTTAGGGTGTTTGCTTGCAAAAGTGCGACAGTGCATGAGGAGGCCATGCTTGCTATCGGATCTCTTGCCTATGCATGTGGCCCAGAATTTGCTAAGTACATGCCGGAATTCTACAAGTATTTGGAGATGGGTCTTCAGAACTTTGAAGAGTACCAGGTGTGCTCTGTTACAGTTGGAGTGGTAGGCGATATCTGCAGGGCACTGGAAAACAAAGTCCTACCTTACTGCGATGGGATCATGACACAGCTTCTGAAGGATTTGTCGAGCAACCAGTTGCATCGATCTGTTAAGCCACCTATATTCTCCTGCCTTGGCGACATTGCACTGGCAATAGGACAGGATTTTGAAAAGTATCTGATGTATGCCATGCCAATGCTCCAAAGTGCTGCGGAATTGTCTGCCCACACTGCAGGTGCTGATGATGAGATGATTGAGTACACAAACTCTCTTAGAAATGGAATCTTGGAGGCCTACTCTGGAATTCTTCAAGGGTTTAAGAACTCGACTAAGACCCAACTCTTGATTCCCTATGCACCACACATCCTCCAGTTTTTGGATAGTATTTACGTGGAAAAGGATATGTGAGTGGCTAACCTTCCTTCATATTCATTCTCTCTTTTGCGCTGGTGAAAGGTTTGGTACTGACTTCTTTGTGTGTGTGTGTGTGTATTGCAGGGATGATTTGGTTATGAGAACAGCTATTGGGGTACTTGGAGACTTGGCAGACACATTGGGAAGTAACGCAGGAACTATGATACAGAATTCTGTTTCTAGTAGAGATTTTTTAAATGAATGTTTGTCTTCAGAAGACGGTTCGATTAAGGAATCTGCTGAATGGACCAAGTTGGCCATCACCCGTGCGATTTCTGCCTGAGGTTATTGTGCTGCTTTGGCATGTTTCTTTTTGGTTTTAGAGTCCTGCATGCATCTTGAGAGTCAGGTCCGGGGTTGCATTCCGTGTCAGGTCATCATCATCTGCAATTTTCTGATAACAGAGGGTCTTCAGTCAGTCACTAGCTCTTGAGTCAGCTTCATGGGGTTGATTGAGTCTTGAGGTCTCAGAGGGGGGATTGGATTGTCAGTCGCTTCAAAGATGGAAGGTTGAAGTCGTCGTCGTCATCAGTTGAAAGGGGTTGTCGAAAAGTGTCGTCATCATATTGCATAGAGTTGGGTACACAAGTCAGTCACCGCAGGGGCAGTGAGTTGGTTGATAGAGACACAAGTCAAGTCAGGCAGCCGAGTTGTTGGTCGATTGGTGGGTGTAGGTCGGTCTGTCGGTCGGTCAGTCCTTACATGGTGCTAGAGCTGTTTCCTTGTATTACTACCCGTAAGGTCGAGTTCTTAAACCCTTAGGTCAGGTCGATGGCTGGCTGCAATGGGGTTGTTCAAAGTTTTGTGGCTACTTGAAGACCTCCTGGGGCCAAACATGCATGCAGAAGATCCAGATTCTGTTGCTCAGTTTCCCTTTTTTTTTTTTTTCTTTCTTCCTTTTTCTATTGGGGGATTCACATTTTTCATTCCTCTTTCTGTTTAGTATCCATCCCCATTTCCTGTATCTGTCATCATTAATGTCTATTACTGTTGTCATGGTCAGGCTGTATTTAGAAGACTTGGCAGCTTCTTTTTTTCTTTTTTGAGGCTGGCATACTTGGTTGGTTGGTCGGGAGGAGGTCTCATCTTCAACAGTTATTATTGAGGGGGAAATTGCATCTTGCATTGCATTATTCAATTTTTTGTTTGTTGTTTTTATTACAGGTCTGAAAGTAAAAAAAAAAGGTGATTATATAAATCTTTTGCATTCATGGAATGAGTGATACAAATGTTGGTTCCAAATTACCTTCATCTGCAGTTAGCATATTGTGTTTGAAAGATAGCAGCTGTTACAGATTTACAGCAAAGGATCATCATGGGTACCATTTGTTACCAAATCCTCCTTTCCTGGCGCAGAAGCCTTGAAAGGAAAGGAGAGCTATATATGCATCTTCTATACCTCAATGCAGGTAGTGGTTTTTGCTGATTTGCTGATGCAAAGTGGGTGAAAGGAACATGGAATGTTTTAAGCTGTCGTCCTCTGTTTTTTCCCCCCTGTATGCGCTGTCGGCGGAGAAAACTGGAGTTCGATCGCCGGCAAATCCCTGTAAGAAAGTGACGTTACAGACAAACAAAAGATGCTCTTGTCCTGAACACAGCTATGGCCAGAGAAGCGAAATTCTGCACAGCAGAGCTAGCTAGCCGACGATTCTTATTCCGGGTATCTATGTATATATGTAACCGTTACTTTGCATGCCATTTCGTAGAAGACGGATCGATCGACTGGTTCACTGAAATCTATGTACTACCAGTTAGTTACCTATATATATATGATCAATGGATCGGATTTGTAGCACGACGATTGGATACAGTCCGGTCTTTTAGAAAATATAAGGACCAAAGATTGGATTGGATACAGTCTGGTCTTGATCCGGTCCGGTCCCAATTCGGTCTTGATTTTATATTGAGCTTGTGGGGGATTTGAGTATCCTAAAGCCTGAAAGAGTGAGGAGTTGGTTAAGTTTTGTACTAAGTGCAAATGTTTGTGACCGTTTATGCAAACTACCCCTTAAGTTTTGGGTGTTGAGCTCTCTTATCCGGTCTTTATCCAGTTTTCGATCCGGTCCCGAATGGTTTTTCCGCCTCAAATCTAAGTCCAAAGATTGGATTTGATTGTTTACTATCCGGTCCCGGTCCAATCTCGGTCCGGGTTATACGGTCCGGTTTCGAGTAAAACCAAAAAACCCGGACCAAATAGCCAGCCATGTTTATCACCCTCTAAGTAGGTAATTAATTCGCATGGAATCTTCTTCCGGCAACAGGAGGAAAGTCAAAAGGCCGTCCTATGATAAAGTTGCAGTATTAGAAGATAAGAAAGGATAATAATATCACTGTTTCCCATAAATGATGATCGGCAATGCCAAGCTCTTTGGTATCGGCAATGTCTCTTCCAATCTTCTATATAGAACCCAATATAATACGAAAGAATAGGGTTAGGGTGGTACAGTCATGGACCATTCGCCGGCGGCAGAGGAATCGAATCATGATCGCCACTCATCGGCGGCGAATAAGAAGGAAATGTTGTCGCCGGGGAGGAAGTTTGGGTGGTCATCATATCGTTTCTTTTTCGGTGACATTAATAGTGGGCTGCGTTCGAAGAGACGGGCTTCGAGATGGAAGCTCCGACTCTGTTACGCCGGCGCCGGCGAAGACGACACGGCCTCCGCCGGCGGGACTGCAACGCAACAGGTGAGTTCATCCGTTGATAAACGGTATATGATCCACAATACCGGGATATACGTACTAAATACTTTTATAACTCTCAGTTCCTGAATTATCCTAGAGCTGTCTAAATGTTTTACATACTAAGCACAATGTTATGTATAGTAAGGGGGTTGTATCGATAATTTAATAATTTTATTTAATATTCGTGCCTGATTATACATTTTGATTATAAATGTTTCCGAAAATTTCAAACAAATTATTATGCTAAAACGATAGGTAAAATTATGTACTTGTTAATACCGTGATACACGTATCATACGATAAAAATATTTTTTATCAGCAACATCAATGACGTGATTTTATGTAGAAATGCGATCCAAACTCAACTCTACATTGACTTGTGATCGTTTACAACTCCTTATGGCGGCTCATAAGCGTTATGATTTAGTCTTTCATGTTTTAAAACAGTTTTAAGTGGTCGTTTGGAGATTAGATTTGGAGTATAGATGCACATAGAGTCCATAAATTTAGGGGAAAAAATGAATAATCATGTTATTTTGTTACTTTTTGCATCATAAATCTTATATTTATATATCTAAATCATCTAAAATCTAGTTATATAAATCCCTAATAAATGTAAAAAGTTATATCTCGTCGATTTGCAAGATTATTTGTGCCATTGTTACCAACATAGACCTTTCAAAATATTTTTATCAATAATAGCAAGAATCAAATCGTTAAACTAAAATACAAAAAAAATTTAAAACTCCAATTCAACAAACCAATAATAAATCATTTCTTTGTATCGAATTCTTTCTAACCCCGCCAAAAAACAAGCCATTTTATTGTCCTTTTGTGTTGTGAACTTCACCTTTTCTCCAACGTTTCAATTTTCAGGTGACGGCCCCATCGGAAACTTCGCCGGAGATGGATCCCAGAATCTGGAACTCGCTGCCGGAGGACATCCTCTATCGCATCCTCTCCGTTGCATCTCTCGAAACGCTCTTAATTCTCCGATCCACATGCAAACGCTTCAATTCCCTCTTCCTCTCCCCTGCCTTCCTCTCCAGTTACAAATCCTCCCAACCTTCACCCTCTTTCCTCTGCCTCTCCCACCCGCACTTCGGCCGCAACCGCTTCGCCGTCTACGACACCCTCCGCCGCCGCTGGCGCAACCGCGCTTTACCCATCTCCGCTTTCCTCCCCAGATCCCTTGCTTCATCCACCCTCCTCGCCTCCTCTAAAGGAATCCTCTGTTTTTCCTGCCCTGCCTCCCCTGTTTCGTTCCTCATCTGCAATTTCTTGACCAAATCTACAAGGACCGTCAAATTCCCAAATCACCCTTTCCCGATTGAATCCTTAAATCTAGTAGTTCCCACAAGCTCTTCAGGCGACTACAAAATCTTCGCCCTCTGCCCCGGAATCTCGTTCCGACAGGGATTCGTCTACGACTCTGCCTCCCGTCGTTGGCACCAATTCGACGACATTACCCCTAATATCAAAACCAATACCCGCCAGGAAGGCGTAATTCACGGAGATACCCTCTACTTTTACACCGTGGAGCCATACTCGATCGTTGGGTACGACTTGGAGCAGAGGAGGTGGAACAGAGCATTGAGCGTCGGGGAACTCATCGGCGGCGGCAGTCGGGTTTCGTTTGTGAGGTTGGTGGGGGACGCCGGCGAGCAGAAGATGTACTTGATCGGCGGAATTGCGACGGGGTATGGGACGGTGAGTGAGGTGAAGGTGTGGGAACTGGATGATGCGGGGAGGAAATGGGTCGAACAGGGGAACATGCCGGCGGAGATGTGCCGGAAATTCGCTGCGGTTTGTTATCACAATTACCAGCATTTGTACTGTCTGTGGCATGGAGGGATGATTTGCCTGTGTTGCAATACTTGGCCGGAGGTGTTGTGGTTCGACGTCGCGGCGAGGGAGTGGGGGTGGCTGCCCAAGTGCCCTCTGCTGCCGGAGAAGGGGAATTTTGGGTTCACTTGGTTTTCTGTTGTTCCGGATTTGAATACCTTGGTTTGAATGTTATTCTTTTCCCTATTTTTTTTCATTCCTAATTCCTATGCATGGTTATAGGTAAGAGTGAAGAAGAAAGGATTTAGGGCTATGTAACAAGGTACCTTTTGTAGACATTTATGCTCAATACTTGCATCAACAAAATCGAACAGAAAGGATTAACGGAAGATAATTTATCGTTTTTTTCAGAAATCTTTGTATGAGAGACTGACGTGTTCACGGTCACTCTATCAATGTTGATAATGATTGTTCTCTCTGCTTGTGATGTTTTGGTCTTCAAGTACAAAAGTCAAGGATCATCATCTCCATCCACGTTTCAAAATTATAGATCTTGATAATTTCAAATAATTTTTTTGGGATCGAAATTTCGAAAAATAGAAAGGATGTTGTCTTGAATATTATCTGAGACGCATGAATTGCTACTACAGGTGTCGTTCCTCTTCTTTCATATAGCAAAATCATCATTTCACCGCCTTGGAAGAGGAGCATCGAAGTCAAACTCCTATCAGCATTTGATCACTCGTTATTCTTTCCCTTAGTAATGACTCCCCATAACATTACTTATTCGAGTCTAACATAATCAACAACTTTAACCAAGCCTCAAACATAATAAGTGCACCTATTTAGTTAATGTTCTATGAACCCAACATACATAATTATTAACCCTAACTATTACCCCACTTCTTTTTCCCACATAAACTATTACCCTACTTTCCTAAAGACAATTTGTCAAGTTCATGGCAATCAAGGAACATTAAACAAATGAATCCAACACATATATTGGTCTCTCTCTAAACATCTTCATTCACAAATTACAATAAACTATCATGGATTTGCTCCCTAATCTCATAATCAATCCTTCTATTGGTCTAACTTTGACACTTCTTGTGGAGGCCACTTGCATCCTTTCCTTTCACCCATTAGTGCCTACCACTATCCCAATTTGACCTTGAAAAAACTTTGGCCGAGGGAAATGCCGAGACACGATGGAGCATCCAAAGGCTTTTATTATTCATAGTTTTTGCTCTGTTCTCAAGTGCTGTTTGGTACCACGGATGAAAAGAAAAGAGGGAGAGAAAATGTGTGCACTTTCTCGGGAAAAATATGGGTGGGAAAATCAGGACCCCTCCCTCCACTTTCCATGACAATGTTGAAGGATCGATGGCATAACACGTATTGTGTTTGTATGGTCAAATTTCCATTCGAGTTTCCCTTTTGTTTAATTGCCTTCCCCTCTGTTTGTGTGATTCGTCACTTCTTTCTTTCATAGGTTGAAAAGTAACTAACTACGCACCATTTTGGGTTTAGCAAAGTCCTCAATCATCATCTCCAGTACTCCACTCATATCATGTCAGCTATAGGATCTATAGATGATGGATGAAGTTGCACTACTAGAGCTGCAATTGCTCTAGGTCAACAATGTTAACTCGGATTCATCTCGAGTTTGGAGTGGTTCCAGTGGTGGGAATCGATGCATTTGTGTTGTTATGATTGTACCTGAGATTTATTAGAATTACTTATCGGTTTTTATCATAATGTGGTTGAGATGTTCGTGAAGTTTGAACGATCGATATATAAAGAGGTGGATCTATTCATAAGAAGACAACTAGACAAGTTGTCTCATGCGTGGATGGACTTTATAACCATACAGGTCTACCTATATAGGCTACGTCACAGTCCCACAACGTAGTGCTATTTCACCTAGCTATTTGCACACTTATCAGGTCGATCATTTTGTATTAAAGGTTGATATATTGAAACATATATGATATATCCATGCCAGATGAAATTGATGATCAAACTAAACTTGTCCGAAACAACACGAAGAAGATGTGATGTCACAATGAGCAATTATGATACTCAACTCTTGAGATACTATTTGTGCTAACCGGTAAATACTTGCTTGATAATGAATTTCCATTCTTTCAAGGATAAAATGCTTTAGAAGACGCGATAACATAAGTACTTATGTGATTACATATTATGATTGAGCCGAGTATGAATAGCAGGCAACCAGACTCACCGTGTTATATAATGCGATGATGTACATGAATTGCATGAAGTCGATAATTGAATACTAAAATAAATAAGTTTCTTTTGTCGAAATGATATGGGAAATGAAGAGAGGGGATGAATGCATACTCTATCAAATAGGCAACATCAACAGTGGCACCCAAAAAGGTGAAGTATAAGTGGGTGGGGGAGGGCAGAACAGCAACAACTACAAGAAGAGAGAAACAGCTGCCCTGCCCACCCTCCAAAGTTGAAGCCATGCAAATTATATATGGGGATATGATTGTGTTTATTCCCCTGCTTCTCCTTTGTCGCCACATGCACTGCACTTTTCTTAACATTTGATGTATGTTACACTGATCTGAAACAAATGGCTGTATAGTTGACTTTTGAGGATACAGCAGCAACATTTCTTGGCCTAAAGTGGCTCTTAGAGAGGGAAAAAACAGTAGTTATAATGCCATTTCATCATCATCACCATCACCATCACCATTACCATTTCCATTCTCTGTAGCTATATGCAGTGAGTGGGTGCACTCAGTAAAAACCCAGTTTTCTGCCCCCTCAACCCTTCTGAAATTTGTCTGTGGTGAATTGGTGATCAAAGCCCTTCCTTATTCCCTTGTCCACTACCAAAGGTTCATATATAAATAGGATATGGCTTCTCCCCCAATCTCCCTCTCTTCTTCCCATCCATTGTAAGCCCTCCAATAGTATCTTTACTGGCATAAAATATTACCAAGTTGGAGGAAGTTAAAGACCCACATAGAGCTTCAAGCCATTTAGGTAGGTAGCTAGCTAGCTATCCCCATCAATGGCTATAGCAACTAGTACCACAAGAATGCTCGCCACCTGTCTGCTGCTCTACCTCTGCCTCTTCACTGGTCTCAGCAGCTGCTCATCTTCAACTTCAGCAGGTATCAGTGCAATGTTTCTCTTCCTCCATGACCTTTTAGTGTCCTTTTTTTACCAACTGGTCACCCATTTGCTTCATCTGATCTAGTACCAAAGTGTTAACTGATGGAGTACTGTGCTGCAGCAGGAATGGCTGAGGGCTCCAAACAAGGCATCGTGGTGAATCCAAATGATCTCCCACTCTATTACAAGGTATATACATTAAGCCATTGCAGCAAATAATAAGTACTATATATTATGCAGTAGTATCAGCAAATAATGATGATGAATATGCAGGATGGATACCAAGAACTGAAGAACAAGGTGAAGGTGATGATGAAGACAAGGAAGCTGCTTATGATGGATGTGGCAGATTATGATGAAACTGGCGCAAACCCTAGACACGATCCTCGCAAGGGCAGAGGCAGGAACCCTTAATTACAAACCAGAATCATCATCACCACCCTTATTAGTAAACTATTAATACATATATTTAGCATCGTTTAATCACTATTAGTTATGATCATCATCATTGATTAGTTAGCGCTCGCCGTTTCAGATAGGCCCAGCTGCTTCATTGACTACCGCTGGTTACTGTTGATTACTTTTGTACTATGAGATTAAGAATAAGAGAAGCAGCTAATCACTTTATAAGATATATTTACATTAATTAAGATGTATCTCTACATGATGTAATAATATAAAAGTATTTTTTTTTTTCCAAGAAATGTCAAGAGAGAAAAAACTATACAATCTACCCCAAAACCCTCCCCAACCAATACAACAGTGAAGCCACCCTACAAAGACCAAGGAACCGATCTCAAGAGGAGAAAGTAACAGGGCTTTCAGCGCCACTCTATGGGCAGCCCCGTTAGCAGTTCTAGAAACTGCCCTAAACTCTAAGGAAATAGAAACTGAGGACAAGAGCTGGAAGCGATCACGAAGCACCGGACCTCCTAGGGAATCTGAAGAAATGCCCTGGCGAAGCTTACGAATCACCACTTCTGAATCACCTTCGACGATGACACGAGGAAGGGACTTGGAGACCAAGAGGGAGATATCGTCTCGAGCTGCAAGAAGTTCTGCGAGGTAGGGGTCAACAATGCCTGGGTGCTGGAACCCTACTGCCAACGCCACATGCCCGTCTGTTCCATGAACCACTAGTCCAGACTAGCAACCGGAAGCACGAACCGCAGCATCAATGAAGGTCTTCAGATAGCCAACAGGAGGAGGGGTCCAGGAGGAGAGGCGGGAGCTTAAGGACTGAAGGGGAGGGACGGGTACCGGAGGGAGAGAGGAAGAGACTTCGTGGACTTGGAAAAAGCATTGACGAGCTAGAGACTGGGCATGAGGCTGATAATGCTCAAAACCACCTTATTTCGAGACTTCCAGATTCTCCACAATACGCAAACGTATAGGAGAACGTGGGTTTGGGGGTGCTCAGAAAGCATAACATGTCGCCACCAGAGACTGAAATTCACAGTCGGGGCCGAGGAAATGAAGTCATTTAGGCCCATAAGTGACCACAACATGGTGGCCAAAGGGCATCTGAAGAACAAGTGTTCAATACTTTCCGAACTTCTCCAACAAACATGGCAACGGCTTCGACAATTAACCCCTCTAGAATTAAGGGCTACAACTGTTAAATACCACTTTCAGGCACTCCCAAATGAAGAACTTCAGTTTAGGAGGAACTAGAATACCCCATGTTTTCTTTCAAATAGAAGGGTCGATAATTTGGACCAAGGGCTTACGACTTGAGGCTAAAGAGATTTCTAATGCCAGATGGTATCCCGTTTTGACTGTATAAGATCCATTTCTGGTAAAATGCCAAGCTCTCGTGTCTCTTTGTTGGCTATCGTTGTAGGATCAAAACAATATTGTAGCCTTGGGATATGTCACTCTCCTCTACCTTCTCGAATAAAGAAGGAGATTCTTGGGGAGTTAGTGATATTCGAAAGGCGGACTGAAGGAGTGATGGGTTTATCTAAAACTACCCATTTTTCTTGGAAGTCTATAATGTCATGACCATTTCCTATTTGCCATCTTAATCCATGAAGAAGATCTCTTCCAAATAGTATGCTGCTCCGTGGTGGAAAATAGTGACCTTTATAGATTGAAGCAAGGAAAGAATCCGTGATCTTCCAAATTTGCCAACATTGTTTGGCTAATATGAACGCTAAAAAAGTTAAGTTAAAGCAATAAAGTCATATTTAAAATTAAAGCGCCTTGGGCCACTTAATCAATCACAATAATACTGAATAATTCCAATCACCCGGACCTCAGATTAAAATGAATTGAAGATTGAGAAATCAATTCTATTAAATAGATATAAAGGGTGTTTAACAATTAACACTCAAAAACGTTAAACAAAAGGACGGATCTAATTAGGCCGGTCATAATCTTTTTTTTTTTTTTTTAGAAACCCGTCATAAATCATAATCCTTAATTCACCGACAGTTAAAAATCTCATTATGGCAGATAATAAAAGTGGGACACATCAATTAACATTGATGAGGGGGTACGAAACGGTTCGTCGGCACAACCCCAAAATTTCGGCCGGCGATCTCGCATCTGACCGGAATCTCCTGAAAAGACCGTGAGGTCTCCGGCCTGAATAGCAGGGTGCACACCACAGACTCATCCATCAAAAGTCAAACAAGGATCAACGCAAGGGAAAGTCAGAATGATGACAGGGTTCTTTGTAAAAAATTCTCCTTTTTTCAACAATGGTTAGCGCTACCGAGAATGGACGGTTAAGGTAAGCTTTCAAAGTTCCAGCGTAAGGAATAGAAACCTGCTAAACTCCTTGGCCATAAGGAGGCAACGCCGACGACATCAGTCCCAGCAGGAATAAAGCCAAATAAATGTCGTCGTCGACCAACTCCGATGCAAGCAGTTCCGAGGAACAGAGCAGTGCCAAAGAGCACGATTTACAACACTTCCTTCCAACCAAAGGGAAGTTATGTATATCCAGGACCCACTTATTGGCCTGTAGACTCCAAAATTCGTTGGAGAATTCACGGAGGATGATTGATTACCAATTGTGACTGGGCAGTTCGACTGTACCATGGAACCCTCTTGTTTGGGTGTTTGATGGAGAGCAGATTTGGAGGAAGGGTACTCCTAATGATTGATTCGTGCGTTTGGGGCCGATCGAAATAGATCAACAGCTCTATTTCGGCGCTGCCGGTGAGATTGATCTTGTGGGGAGACACCAACTGAGCGAGGGTGTCCGGGTCGGAGGTGAGCGAATTCCAGAGCTTGCAGACGGATTTGCACACGCAGACCGATCTGGGATTCGGGAGGCGTTGCAGGATGTGGACAGAGACCGGTGATTGGTGAATGAGAGGTAACTATGTTTTGTTCAGAACTTTGATATCAATCCAATTTCTAATTCTTAAACTTTCTTGAATCAGAGATTGGTTGATGGGTATGTTTGGAAGCAAGGGCTATAGGCATGAAGTGTAATAATATAAAAGTATAAGTTAAGGAATTATGTTCAGTTTAATACGACTTTGAAAACCAGGCCACTTATCTTTTCCACTTCCACTATTATGCTTGGCACAAAAAGAGGTCAGGAAACTGCCACCACCATAACAAATCCACAGACCTTCTCCTGCAACTCATTTTCAACTCTTTCATCCCCACTATAGGTCCATGGTGGGCTGCAGCTAGTCTAAGAACATCCACTAATGAAAATGAACCAGCAAATGAATCCCACCATATGTCAAAACACTGTCATCCCATCATCACACTCCCAATTCAACTCAACAGAGATATGGCTGCAAGTATGAAACATTTCATGCCCCAGGAAGCTGCGATTTATTTGAGTATTACCGAAACATGTACAAGTAGTCTATGTCGATTGGAGTCGATCTTTTCTATATACACATTTTTTCGATGAGTTTGTCTAATCTATAAGGAGAACAGAGATGATGACATCCATATTCCAAGAGAGACGATACCAAGCGTAGCGAAAGCTTGGCCTAGTTCAAACACAAAGTTCTGCTGCTGGAGTGGTGGTATACTTTGCCAATCTGTCTTCCTGCTCACCAGTCGAAAAAAGCCAAACAAGAGAATTGAGCCTCCACACCACCATTTACACTTACCTTTTGAAGTTTTTCTAAGAAATGATAGAAGAGAGCTACTGGTCATGATAAAAGAGTTAAGACAGAGAGTGCATTACCCTAAATCCGCAATGATGATGCTGATGTTGTCTTGTGAACGCCGATCAAGAGCTGCGCTAGCAAGTTCTTCGCAAGCTAGCTGAAATCAGAAGATAAAACTACTAAGCAGTTAGTAATGTCTGCAGCAGGATTGATTTTCATCGAATTAAGGTGATTATTATGCGTTTACATCTTGTTTATCGATAGGAAAGAAAACATGACATGACGGGTTACCTGTACATTTCCGTGATGCTTAAGTCGATCTCTAACAAATTGAACTGCATCTGAGCTAAAATACACAACAGGAAGAAATGTAGCTTTACTGATCTTCTCCCACAGTTGCATTATAGAGCAGAGAGTCAAACTATGTATAGCTAAACCACCCACCTGTTCATGTAGTCCCACAAGCCATCAGATGCTAATACTACAAACTCTGCATCTGACCCCAAGCTCACTTGATATGTATCTGGAGATGCAACTACCAAGTCTCCATTGAATTGTATTCTGTCACACGATCATATATAACCCGTAAGGATGTTAATACTAGAAACAGAATAAATTTGAAACGATTAGAGAATTCAAAAGGATGAAGAATGTCCATACCGAGAAGTAAACTTCTCTGTCCACCTCCCCTCCTGGACTCCTTTCTGCAGCATTCTAGTCATATGCACCGTATATACTACCATCAGATGCCGGTTCTCCAACCAAGTGTAAAATGAAGAACTAAAACCATTATCGCAAAAGGAAGTGACTCATGGGCTATACTCTTTTTTCTTTGTCTTGAACCGCATATCACCAAATGCACGCGATATAGCTATGTCCCCACAAATCCTCCCATTGTTTATCTACAGGCATTGCAGTCAGTTTATATCACTCACTGTAAGACTAGCTTGTAATGGATTCTATTACAACTCAAGACTTCCAGTTGCATTGCTTACACAGGTAACTATAATTCGTATCAGCCAAGGGAAAACATTTCTTAAACGAATCCAATTTATGTAATAGATAAGAGCAAACAAAAAAGAACAGAGAAAAACACACCCATCCACCTGCTTCTCTGATCCTTCTGATTTCTTGAAGGGAGGTTTTGTTGTTTCCATAGGGACGATGAGGATCAGTCAACACTTCTGCTTTACCAGAACGAGACAACACCTGAACCAAATGATTCCACATTTAATGAACATTCCCCTTCTTTTCTAATAATAGACACCATTGATCATATGCAAATTGACTAAATAATTAATATGCTAACCACAGTCGAATCCCCAATGTGCGAAATGATGAGCATGTCACTTGCAATGAACACCACAGTTGCAGTGGAACCAGACTCATCCTCGCCGTAATTCGTTTCGAGCCTTCGCCACAAGATAGCAACAACACACAGTCTAAATTAGCTTCCCCATTTTGCATCATTAACTTGGGCAAAAGCTATAAAAACACCAAGAGCCAATGAAAGACTACGTTTTTTTTACCAACTTAGCAGTCTTGAATCGGTATTCTGGAAGGCCCCTTCAAGAGCCGCTCTAATGGCGCCGAAGTCTTTCCCGCCCAATAGCGACCCACCTTGTAAAGCCACAACGCACTCCTTGAACAATTCATCCCTGTATGGAACGAATTCAACAAAACAAGAAACGGGAAATCCGATCGGCCAATTTGGGGGAAATTTTGATCAGAACAAAATTAGGTCTTTTTTTGGAAGCCGGAAGGGGTTGTTACCTGAGGAACTTGACGGAATTGAAGCCGGCGTGGCCGTCGAAAACAGCGGCGAACGAGAATCCGTCGTCGGAGCGAATGACGATGTCGTCCTCCATCTCCTCACGGGCGCCCTGAAGGGAAGTGAAACCCCACCTGACGCCGGCAACATCGGCGAGAGAAGAAGAATTAGGGGCGTCGATGGCGATCGCGGGACAATGAAGGGTTTTGGTGGATTGATGGTGGCGACCACCGAAGACGGTCGATACGTTGGATGTGGGTATGGAGAAACTGCCGCCGCCGGAGCTGGCGGTGCAGCAGTAGCCGAGCTGCTTGGTGAGGACAAATCGCTCCAGATGCTGTGGCCCGAACAGTGCCATGATTGGGTGAGTCGGACCAGTCGAGTCAGGGGGAGACGAGTGAGCTCAGTGGTACATCGGGTAAAGCAGAGAGAGAGAGAGAGAGAGAGAGAGAGAGCGGGTTACCGGGTTAGTGGTGATGGTGAATTCCGGTTGAGAGATGGATAAGAGGATCAAGGAGAACCAAAAGCTTCACATCTAACTGATTTAACGGTCAGATTTTCTTTCCTACCAAAATCATTACTTTTCGTTTTTTTAGTTGATTTTTTTAACATTTTCAATTTTTTAGTTTATTATGAAAGGTGAATAATTGAATATACATGTTGGGCCAATTAGGACATAAATTCTATTTTGGTGTATATGATTAAAATTAAATTATAATTCTTATATTTGATCATTCGATTAATTATTATTTTGGATTTATTTTTTCAATTGTATAACAAGAACAAAAAGTGAGTGAATTTGTGAAAGAGGAAAAAATGAGATTTGTTTACATTTTAAGTATTTCTAAAACTTACCCGGTACAATTTTATAAATATATCTCATAACCATTATATTAAGTACTAATTGACTTACGAGTAAAAAAATGCTTGAATCAATGTAAAATTAGGTTATATCATCATATTGAATAAAATATGATGGTTAAATTTTCATTTGATCATAATAGTTAGCATTATAATAGAGTGTATTTCATTGCATACACCCAAAATCAACTATGTATTATAGACATGCCCACGGATATTATATGTTGTGGTTATCTAATTTTCTCTTAACCTTCATGAACAATGATACATTTATGTATATATCTCGAATGTTTATCTTAACTATTATGCACGAAATTAACCTATAATTCGAAATATGTTATAAAGATGTTATTCTTGTTCATCTTGTTCTTGTAATCGTGTTTCTTTTCTTATATGTATACGTTCATACTTTCCGGATTTATGAAGTACGATAAATATTCAGATTATGATTTCTTGATGTGGCTATAGATATAGATAGGAAAGACACCATACATGTATACACATCCACAATGTTACAACACCTTTTGATTATTTTCTTTTTCCAACTCCTAAAGCTACTACACAAGGAATATGTACCCCTATCTAAAACTGTGTTACAAAGTAGAAGTTTTATACAAAGGAAGAAAGAGAGAGAGAGAGATTGAAATAGACTGAAATTAATTCTAGAGTTCATCATGATAATCACTCTCATAAACACTATCATAAATGGCGGTGTAGAATATAGTTTCATGGTTAAGCATTTCTTGCAATGTCAAATGATCATCTCCATCATCATCAGCCTGCCAATTAACCCACAATTAATTAAAAACACAAAGTTAATTAACAATAATTAGTTTGATAATTCTCTTATATATGTGGGACTAATAAATTGAACCAATCCTTATAAAAAAAAAAAAAATTGAACCAATTAATTAATTACCGCATCGATCAAATAATGGGCGTAGGATTTGGCATAAGTAAGCTCCCCGGGCTTCAGGTATGGAAGTATGGGCAGCAATTCCTCCACACTCAAGAAGCTGATTATTAATCCATGGAGAAATGGAGAAAAAAATAAATTAACGTTTGTATTTTTATTATGACGTCGAGAGAACTTTTACCAAAATTAAGACAAACCACAATTATTATCGATGCGTTAATAATTACTTTTCAAGTTAATTTTAACGTACTTATCATGGTCGACGTCAAGGTCCGCAAACTTTTCTTCCGCGGTAGGAACCCTGATCTTCTCAAACTCAACGTAAGTCTTGTAAGCGTTGTAAGCGTATGTCACAAACTCGTTGAAATCGAGCCTTTCATCGCCATCATCATCCATCCTCCTGCTCCAAATTATCTCATTTATTAGTCAAATATTGATGGTCAAAGAAGATGAAATGATCAATAGAGAGATATGGAAAATTGATTAATAATTAACCCACTTAATCTTTTCCTTAAGCAACCATATCTTGATTCTTGTGTTTTGGCTATCTTCTGGATGCAAGAAGCTGCATATATATAGATCATGAAAACCGGTAATTATTATTCTTCAATATTAAAATAAGGTAAAATCTCCGTAAGATGCGTGGATTTGACTCGCCTACCGTTATGATTTGAGTTTACGATCATAGCGGGATAGAGGAATTACTGTCGAAAATCGAAATCATAAAACGAAAATGTAAAGAAAATGATCCAAACACATTGCTCACTTGTTGAATTCGTGGAAGTCAAGAATTCCATTCTCGTTCACATCCGCTATTTTGAACAACTCCATCCACCATCCGGCTTGACCATGACCCATCTCATTGTTTGCTGTACACCAAAAAAAAAACCTATTTTCGTACTAAATTTCGCTCATTGAATAACATTTCGCTCATTGAATTAATATTCTTAACCTCATTTCTGATCTTCTTTAAGAATTGTAATCGAGTTTCTCGTCTTTCATTTGATTGGTGGAATAAAAGTTGGTACTCTTTATAAAAAAAAAAACATTTAACAATAAGTTTGTGATAACACGTTGAAACACAATACACTTATGACATTTTGTAAGTTTTGCAATTATAGTTTTTTTTTTTACCCTATCTTTTTTACCTTGATAATTAAATCTTTTTATTTTTATTTTCATGCAAAGTTGTGTTGTTCTACGTTGCTGCGTACGTACCCAAATCCAAGCTGGAAAACTGGGGGAAGAACTCCTTGAAGCTAACGGCGCCGTCGCCGTCCCGATCGTGGGACAGCAATTCCTTCTGCGTCCTGTACGCCAACCGATCGCTGCCACGTGCCACGTTCCAATTCGCCATCTCCGAGAAGCCGATCCTCCCATCCGCCGGCGACTTGTCCACCGCCGGGAACAGCGCCACCAGCCTCTTCGTTATGTTGAACCTCCCTTCCTCCCCGAAGTACGTGACTGCATCGTCGTCCGGCCGGTGTATCTTCTCCAAGAGCGGGTCGAAGTTTGGGGACGACGGCAGCTTGTTGTACCCGAGCCGGCGGTGGACCCCTGCTGCCGCCGGCTGCCGCGGAGGGATGGAAGAGAAGAGGAGAGCGACGGCGCCGGTGATTAGGAGGGCGTAGAGGATTGTTATTACTACCGCCCTTGCCATTTTTCAATAAAATGCGGCCAGTGCTCTGCTAAGTTCTGGATTCCATCGGGTGCCAGCGGTCAAGCGCGGCGATGATGGAAATGACAGAATTTGGGAAAGGGAGGGAAAATGGGCGGGGAATCTAATTGCTTCAGCCATTGTTGGTTTGTGCAATTGTGCCCTTTGTGAAATATGGAGGAAAGGGAAAAGATTAGGAGGTATTTGGTATTAACGGTTGGAAGTGAAACAAGCCAAAAACAGCCTTGATTATTTTTTCTTTCTTTCTATATTTATTGCTTTTTTTTCCCTTGTGAAAAATACTTGAATTTCTAGGAGATATCTGTAACACTTTTAGTTGACATAATAATCGAACTTCCCCATTTTTTCACCGAAGACTCCCACTGCTTTATGTCCCGCTTCATACATCTCCTTGAGCAGTTGTTGTATGGACTTATTTTGCTTGTAAGCTTCTTCATGAATATCAATATATTAATTATTTTCTCGCTCCTTATTTTCTGGAACCAAGGTTCTTTGGAGGATGTGGTTCTTTTCTTTCCCACACTGTTCGAGACGCTTCCCCAACAGGGTCAGCCAGCTTGTTAGAGCTCCGGTGAGGCCAATTATTGTGGTGCCCCAACCATTTTGTTCATTTCGTCCCCATGGGACCAGGAAATTTGTTTTCTTTCGCCTTTTGTAGGCCAGAGCTTCTGTGGCTCTTGTTTTCTCTTTCTTTGGTAGTCCAGTTAGGACAACTCTTCCGAGTGTGTCCCGTCTTCTTGCATATCCAGCAAAGTGGGTTCTTTGCAGCAGGATCCATCTGGTAAATTTATTTAGTTGACGATAGTCTATGACCATACGAGCTTTGCCTCATATCTGCTCTGCATGATTGTTTCTTTTTAGCTATTATTTTGGTAAATAAGCCAATTTAATGAGATAATTGGCATGCAGGGAGTTCATATTTACACTTTTTGAAGGAATTGAAAAACCAACACCGACCTTTGCAATGGTTCATTTACAGTTTCTCAACCATTGTATAGGTTCGGCCTATAAAAGTTGGACCGATTTGGTTATTCCAACCGCCATATCGGTTCGATTCAGTTCAACTCAGTTTGATTTGGTTTGGTTGGCTACACAAACCGATATGACTGACTACCAACATATTACATAAAATCGACAGGATTCGCAGCCACGACTTATCAATATGGTTCTTCAAAAAATTCTCTTGAATCTTTCCCATTTCGTTTCCATTCTAACCATTCAAAATCCCAACAACACTAACATGTCTAAAGTTTCTAAGGCTATCTATATGCATAACGAAAGATTAGCTATAAAACTACCATTAGTTAGTCGTTCTTTTGGACTCCTGCTGTCTGGAGACAAGACCAATTCAACTCACATAAATCCCTGGCAGACTTGCCGTCGTTATCCTTTACATTTACGTTGGCATCTCGCTTCACTAGAAATTCAGCGATACCTTCCCTCTCGCAGACAACAGCGTAATGCAGTGCAGTTTGCCCTTCGCTGTCCTATCAAACGCGAAAAATAACCGAAGTCAGCAACTGCCAGCACAAGAAGAAACTCGATCTCTGCATTTTTGTCAAAGAACGAAATCATTCAAACAGAACACCAGAATTCTTGGAAACATGATCAAAGAGTTGAGAGAGGAAAGGGATCAGGACAAGTATTTGACTTTACCTTTGCATTTACATCAGCATTTCGTCCAACGAGGAGTTCCACGATATTCAGGTGACCACGATCCACAGCCCAATGCAGAGGAGTCCGCCCTTCGCTATCTGAATCGATCACCATGCTCAGTTTAGGTACGATTCTCCAACAACATTTTGGGGATTACTGTCAAGTGTCAACTCACTCAATGGTGATTAGTAGTTGACTAAAGATTCTAAAACAATAGAGATACAACTTCGAAGTCCATGTTAACGTAACACTAGGTATAATCTGATTATGCGAAAGATGAAGTAGGAAACAAGGACAGAAACAAACCTTTCAAGTTGACAGAAACGTCATGGTCAATAGATTTCGACAAACTAGCTGCATCTCCTTCTCTGGCGAATGCGTGGACAGCATCCATTTTTCTGAGACAAGAGAAAGAAGTCAAAACCTCTCAGTTTTCTGAAGTAACAGATGTCTTACATCCACAACTAAGCATCTCTCCACAACTGTTCAAAACCATGTCATATCTTGCAGCTTGTGTAATTTGCTATGCTATATCTTTTCAATGCTAATGGCTCCCTTACAAGCAAATGTCGAAATTGGCGCTTGCCACGCAGCATTGACTAAGCTATCTTGGATATTCAAAAAAAGATTAATAAGCTGTCTTGCACTCACACAAACCATCTGCTAACAAGATAGCATGGCTGGAGATATAAAATGTTGGCAAACTCCTGCACATTCTAAGGAATTATGGACATTTTCGTATTAAGTTATTATGGAGAACAATGTACATAAGTACACACTTCAACTAGCGCAAAGGTCCCAAAAACCACCATAGAGTTCATCGTAAGAAACTGTTATTCAAAGATTTAAACTTTCATGAAATTCAAACTTGACCTTAATTGCATAAAGAACCAGAAAACGTACAACTCATTCCCAGATTCCTCCTCATAAACGAAGGTACTGAAAACTGGTCCCATGGGTCCTTTGGAATCAGAACTCCGTCCATCGCGATCTCTGACCCTAGTTTTCTGGCCACCATAGAGAAACAAACTAGCATTTAGTCAGGTCCACAGAAACGAAGAATGAAAATTTTTACCAGAGAAGGCTGATCCCTTACCCCAGATGAACCAGCATCCCAAGTAGGATAAAGCTGTGAAACAATGTCAATGTATTTTTCCATCGCCTCTTCTGGCGGCATAGAACCCAATTTCTGCCACGCTCCCCTGACAAGAATTACCAACAGCAATCAACTAAGTATCTCAACAACTAAACCGGAACAAGCATAGGATGTCTCCTAATCAATTGCATTTGGCCAGAGCTCTAAGCAACATGAGAAATTCAACAATTCGTTCAATCATCTCAAGATGCGCCAGACCATGATATTTTTCCAATCCAATAGCCTAAACGATCTTCAGTGTCAACTCAACTAATGGAAGAGGACTGAAAAAGGAAACTTGAGTTCAAAGACAGGAACTGGATGAATACCACTTAGCGCGAGCCGTCATCTTGAGAGCAGAAGGAGGCGGAACAGTGCAAGGTCCTTCGGTGGCGATCTTATACAGCCCATAAAGCTGCAACTGAACATCCGCCGGCACCTTCTGCGACAGCCGGTCGGAAGCAGCCGCCGCAACAAATGCCGTCGCCGCACTGAACGTCTCATCCAACTCGGTGCTCTCCACGCCTTCCCAGTCGTCGTCGTCATCGGTATCCACGCCGTCCTCGTCACCGATTCCCGCCACGCTCTCGTTCCTGATGCTACCCAGCTCGGCAGCGACCGAATCGGTCTCGTTGGAACCGGCGGGAAAATCCCTAGAGCCACGAACTTCGTCGCGGGATTTCAGTTGCTGGTAGGGTCGACTGGATGCTGCCGCCGGGGAGGGATTGCGCGTAATCGTGAGGTTGTCATCTCTGAAGGAGACGACGATGGAAATGAGCTTCGCGACGAGGTAAGAGAAGATGAGGGCCAGTAAGATGGATTGCAGTAATGTCTGCCAATCAGTCATGTTCAAGAAGGAAGGAAGGAAAGAAGGGGGGAAATTCAATTCACGGACAAATTGAGAAACCCAGAAAACACGAATAAACGGAGGGAAACAGAGAAGTGGAAAAAGGTGGAAGAATCAGAGATTCGGATTGAAGAGGGAAAGGCCGCGGTGGCCGGAGAAACAGAGTGGAGTGATATGATATCCCGGTGCATCCGGGAACGGTGAATATGACGATTTTTCGTTTGACGGCTGTGGGCGTGCGTAATGGTAAACTCGCCCACGTGGCTATCAAATGTGATGCGGGCCTGCAGAATGGGCCTATCTTTAGTGCAGAACCATCCTTTTCCTCGTTTTGGGCTAGTTTGTTGGTTTAGCCCGTATAATTTGATAACAAATGTAATTTTGTTAAAAATTAAAATAATGTATCATTCTCTAGACATTTGAGGTAATTGAGGATTCATGCACTCGTGGAACCTGAATTTCGAACGAGAGGCTAAATTTATTAACAGAGATATCGAAATACGCTATCCTTTCATATCATACTACTATGAGTATTATGTATGTCGATATACGAGATAATCAACACGTTGTAAACACTGCTTCACGGTACTCAAGCATTTTTTTTTGTCGTAATTTAATCTAATAGCTGAAAATACAAAAGGAAAACTATCCTAACTAACAGTAACATTCTAGCACAATTGCTTGCACCAAGTATCTATTTGCTTCTCTTGTGAATATACGGTGTAGAGAACTTAAAATGCGAGAATATGAACATGATCCGACGTGATGGCATGCCGTAGATCGGCGCCGTGGCTTGTGAAATCTCCGGCGTTAATGCCCATACTTGCAGTTTCCATAGCCTGCAAAATTGCACCACCTTCCACCATCATCATCACAAGTAAAAATGAAAGCATAAACACAAAACGAATCAAAACGAAGCTTTAAAAGCAACAGACTCGGATCGACGGCGGTGATGGCACCGGTTCGCCGGAAATCGCAGTCGTAGTCGTTCCTCCCCATGGCCTGATAAAACGCATTCATGGCGTACGCCGCGTGGGCCCGCACCGTATCCGGGAAAAAGCACTCCCCGCCTTCTTGAATGGGCCCGCACCCAGGCCCAAGCCCAACCAAGGCCCCACAAACGTAATCAATATTCCTCTGTAGCGAGTCCACATCCGCCCCTTCTTTCGCCACACACCACTTTCCCGCCCCCTTCCTTTCCCCTCCTCCGTCGGGCTCCGCCGGCGAAGGAGTCGCCGTTGGTCCCGACGATCTCGCCTGTAATAATCAGTTTCCCATCGTTAGTAGAAGAATCGCGACCGAACTGGATAGTAATGCAGCAGCATTGCAGTACTGCCGGGCGGCGACGGCGGTGGATACCGTGGGACGAAGGATGCCGACGTCGTACGCCGGAGTCAGATCCGGGCCGAACAGGCCGAAGTTTCGCTCGCAGGTGGGGCCTGGTTTCAGATCCTCGTTGAACAGGGAGAAGATGTAGGTCTCGAAGGTCCGATTGGGCATCAACGGCGTCCCGTCCCCTGAATTAACATGCCGCATCAGATTCCGGTTGTACTGAGCCGCGTTCTCCTGCCCGGCCCCGATCTGCGACGGTTCGCCCTTAGACGGCCACCCGGTCTCCGCAATTACGATCTCCAGGTCGCCGAACCCGAGCGATTTCATCGCCGAGAAGACCGCGTCGAGCTGGGCGTCGAGCATGTTGGTGTACCGAATCCTCGTGTTCGGATCCAGAAACCCTAGATTCGGCCGAAACAGGGCGTAATCGAGAGTCTCCTCCGAGCAGCCGAAGAACGGGTAAGGGTTGATCATGAAGGGGGAATTCGTAGATCTGAGGAAGCCGAGTAGAGGTTTTAGGATGTGAACGTCGTATCCGCCGTGGAATTTCCCGGCCGACGGAGGGGTCGAGGCGGAGAGGATTCCGAGGGAGTGAGGGGTCGAGATTTGAATCCGACGGTCCAGGGACGCTCCGGCGAGCGCGGCGTGGAGCGTCTGCATCGCCGGGACGAGGGTTCCGATGAGCAATCTGTTGCCTGTCGATAAAACCTCGTTGCCGACGAGGATCCGGACGAGGTTGGTCGCCGGGAAGTAAGGCTGGATGTAGGATTTGATCCATTGCTGGGCGAAGGAGAGGTTGGCGAGGCGAGGGATCTGGTCGTTGGGGACGGTGACTGTGATTTGGATGCCCGTGTGAGCGAAGGCCTGGATTAACTCCGGGTTCGGGTCGAATATCCGGACCCTGTTAATCACCGTGGACTGCAGAAGGAACCTGGCTACTTCCCCTGGCGGAGGCAGGTCGTCGGCCACCGTGCCGTAGTTCACTCCGATGCTGCCGTTCGTGGTGGTAGCGGAGACGAGAATGAAGAGGAGAGTGAGAGCTGTTGGGACATGATGAGGAGGAGACGAGGAGGCGGCCATCGCCATGGCTGTCGAGCAGTGGAGGTGGGTTGTTCTGGGAAATGATCATGAACAGCTGCCATGGATGAAGCTTTGGGGGATTGCTTCGAGTTTAAGATGTCATTAGGGAGATACTTTACGTGGTTGATCGATCTTTCTGAACATGGAACTATTATCGTTTTAAGAATTTAATAATTGGGGGAGAGCGGTGGTGCAGTCGCAGTCTGGATTCTAGATCGAGCTGAATCCTGAATATGGTGGCGGGAGAGAAGAGGGAAGAAGAAAAGAGACTGGCATGTAGCAGGAGGGAAAGAATAGTCCTTTTCTTTACCTGGCGGGCAAGTTATCATCACCAGCAGCCTGACAGAGGGATTTTTTCTTTGCAGAGCAGCAATCTAAGCGAGAGAGATAGAGGAGGGAAAAGAATAGTCTTGATTATGCCTTCCTTCTTCATTCATTTGCAGTAGAAGAATAGAGCAATTGGTGACGTTCTCAATTTGAAGCCATGATCAGCAGCCTGAAGGAGTTCGTAGATCAAGTATATATTCAGATGGTTCTCCTGCTCTGCAGGAGTAACAGTTGGTACGCCAAGATGGAGAAATAGTACTCGAGATAGCAGACATATACACCAGCAAATATCATGAGTCCTTTCGATCTCAAGTTAACCATGTTATAGAGAGAGAGAGAGAGAGAGAGAGAGCAGTTGAAAGGGGGGGAAAAGGAGAGCCCTGATATCAGCTCCATGGTTGCTGCAGAAAGCTGGGTTTGTGCACCTCTTGTGTAAACATTGCTTGCTCAAGTGAGCGTCCAGGCCAACAGAAAGCACTAGCCTCTGCTCATCTGTTGCTTTGGAACACTCATTTGAGCAAGAAACTTTTACCAAGAGGCAATGATGGCAACATTCGTCTAACTCAAACCTATCTTCTTTGTTGTTCTTCCTTCTCGCAGCTTGTCTCTCCACCGGATTCCTTTGCTCTATATATATACCTGCCATGGAGTACTACTGCCAAGACGTGGGTGAAAAACAGAATGACGTGGTAGACCTTCTTTCCACTCCTTTCAACTGTACCTTCACATTATATATACGGCTGAGATGAGGAGGAGGGAGGGTTGGTGCGTGAAAACGTAACTTTCAAGATCCTAAACCTACTTCCGGGGAGAGAGGTTGGTGCGTTTGTGTGGTGGCTGGACTTCTTACGGCCGCTACTACCAACCACAGATCGAGTAGTAACAGTGATATTCATCTTTAACTGGTTCTTCGATCACTTTTTTTCGTCATAACTATATGTGCTGAGCTTGATACAGACCGTCGGATCCAACTACTTCTCCAAGCAAATCGGAGGATGATCGTGGAGGTGGAGAGGAGGGGACGACGACGGCTCCGGTGGCGTCCGCGGCCGCTTTTAAAGTTTTGTACTGACCCAACTACATCAACTTTTGGGTCGTTACCAAACTGGTCATTTAGGTGACAAATTCTTCTCAAAGATGAATTTCCAAAATTATAGTCCATACTACCGTGAAAATACGTTTGCAATGACTAGCACAGTAGTAATTCATCATTATCGATTGTTTTATAAGTATAAATTATCGTAATTGGCTTGTCGATTCCAAAACTAAATACCAAAAGAGTTGTACAAATAATGTTTAACGAGTATGGACGACTGGTTTCAACTGTATCTTACCCAACGAATTTCGAAAATCCAATCCTCAACTCATCCATACTATCGTGAAACAATGTTTACAACGACTAACACAATAGTAATCTCGCCATTATCGTCTAATTAAGGTAAACATTATGTGCATGGTATGTCAATTCCAGAACTAGATAATAAAACGAGTTATTGATCTTATAGCAAACTTAACGATGTTGAACTGAATGATTAATGTCAAATGTTACTCAATTGTGACCCATTTAATTGATCATAGTTAAGAAAACAAATTAACAACTTTGAGAGGAAAGTCAAACTAACCAAAAGAAAAGAAAAAACTTAGGACTACTAGACATAGCTAAGAAAGATAATTGACAACTTCTTACATTGAGAGGAAAGCCATAGTAACGGTCAGTACCGTGGGAGGGTACTATGATACCACTACACTAGATGCGCAATTTATGTTCATTTCGTTTGGAACTAGTTAATGAAGATGAACAAATGGAATTAATCATTGAAATATAACGCACAATGAATCAATAACTTCCATATACAATAGATGCCTCAGAAATATGGTATCAGCCAGGTGTGACTGCCAAAGCTTGGATCCAGGAACTCACATGTACTCTTGAATACATAAGAGACAGGCAGACAGCAATAAACAATGTCATGAGGGTAGAAAAAGAGCAAGTTTCATCGACATCCCAATTCCAGCCTTCCATCCGGAGTAATCGACGTGTTTGTACAGAGCTTCTGTAGGTCTATTTAACCTATGATGGTGTCCTCAAACACAGCGTCGGCCAGTTCAGCTTCCTCGAACGTGGAACCCGATAGCACCGTGTTCCTGAAAATGGCCCCTTTCAGGTTGGCCTTACCAAAGTTCACACGATCCAGAACTGCGTTCGAGAAATCCACACCTGCAACATGAAGAAGATCAATCACATAGTCGCAACCTTGTTCTGACATATAATCCACTATCAATACAATGCAGAATCCTAATTGCTTGCCAAGATCACACTACCATAACTCTAAGGGATATAAGTGCAGCAAAGCTTTTTACCTTGGAAGCTAGCTCCAACAGCATAAGCCTTGGACATGACCACTTCTGTCATATCCGCACCATCAAACTTGGCACCCGACATTAGGGCTGCAGCAAGTGATTTCCCTTTAAGATTGGACTTGTCATTACTGTAATCACAGAACCTAAGATCGATCGGCTTGTCATAAACACTGTTTGCTTGACCGATTGTGTTCCCAACATAGGCCTTCTCACATCGATTTGGTTCCGTTGACAATGGGGGTAGCCTCTACACAACACATTGCAGTGACGGCGCGAAAACAAACTACTAAAGCAGGATCCTCATTCCTCAGTCATGCAACCAGACCCGGCCTCAAAACAAGGTACTTGAATCAATACACCATTGTAGGACATTGACAGCAACTAACTAAGAAAGCAGTAACACTGGAGGGAAGGTTGTAAGTTGTAAGCCCTCTTCCCCTCTTTTGGCAACATAATTTCTTAGGAGTGTTCCCAATCATTCCTTTTCCTCAACTCAACAACCATTCAATCTCTACTCTCCCACCCTTTTCTTGTCAAAGCATAAACCGTAAATCAACAAGAGCAACTGCTCAAACAAAAGCACTGGCGTCATCATTTAACCCAGTTCAACAATGCAGCAAGTAAACCCACTGAATTCGTCTAAAGAGCTGTTTGATTTATGCTATCAAGAAAAGGGCAAAATTGGGGCTCTCAATTCAATTGCTAATTTGGAAAGACCAGTAATGTAAAGGGGGCAATATGGTTCAGAGATGAGGAATCAGAGAAGCAACCTGAGTTGCAGCAATTACAGGAGAGGCAACAGCAGCAGTGACAGCCAAAGCAGCAAGAATCCCACAAGCCACACCATTCGCTTCTTTCAACCCAAAAAGCCTAGGGCTTTCTCCCGATCTCGAGCCCACTCCATGGTTCCCTGCAAAGATCAAATCTTTTAACTTCGATTCCAACCAAGAGATGGTTGTTGTGAGAGAATTGGGATTTTGTGATTGTGGTAAAACCAACTTGATTCTCATTGATGATTCTCTACAACTAATATACAGAGGAGATGAGGGAAAAGTGGTGCACGTATTAACAGAAAGGCAGCCACTTCCCACAAGAATAGGAACTGAAAATATACAGAAAAAGAATAAAGAAATTAATAAGAGATGTGGGATCATGTATCTCTAATACGCTCCCGCAAGATGGAGGAGGTATCAACGACTCCAATCTTGTCTCGTAGAAGAAGAAAGCGTGTGGACGGTAAGGGCTTGGTGAGAGCATCGGCAAGCTGGTGAGATGTGGGAATGTAGGAGACACGGAGGCGACCAGCCTGAACGAGTTGCCTGACAAAGTGATAGTCGAGAGCAAGGTGCTTCATACGAGAGTGAAAAACGGGATTAGAGCTGAAGTAAGTAGCACCAAGATTGTCGGAGTAGAGCGTAGGGGCGACGGCCAAAGGTTGATGAAGTTCAAGAAGAAGATTCTGCACCCACTCCAATTCGGCAGTAGCATTTGCAATGGCACGGTATTCGGCCTCAGTGCTGGAGCGGGCAACAGTACGTTGCTTCTGGGAGCGCCAAGAGATGAGAGTAGAGCCGAGATAAACGAGATAACCAGAGGTGGAAGACCTGTCATCGAGATTACCGGCCCAGTCAGCATCAGCAAAAGCAGAGAGAGACAGCGAGCCAGAACAACGACGGATAGAGAGGCCATAGGAGAGAGTGCCGGAAACGTAGCGAAGCAACCGCTTAACGCACTGCCAATGAGACACCGTCGGAGCATGCATAAACTGAGAGAGCTTATTGACCGAATACGCAATATCAGGACGCGTGTAAACAAGATACTGAAGAGCACCCAGAACCTGGCGAAACCGGGTGGCATCAGTAGGAGCACTGCCATCAGAAAGAGTAAGCGAGGTAGAGGCAGCAAGAGGCGTGTCCACGGGCTTCGCATCCATCATAAGAAAACGGCTAAGAAGATCAACCATGTACTTATGTTGAGAGAGAATATACCCAGAGGAAGTAGGAATAACTTCAATGCCCAGAAAGTAACCAACATCCCCAAGAGCCTTGAGAGAGAACCGGGCAGAGAGAGCCTGCTGAAAAGAGGCGAGTGTGGCAGAGTCATTGCCGGTGAGCAACAAATCATCGACGTAGACCAAAAAATATAGCAGAACCTTTCCCCGAGAATAAACAAACAAGGAAGCGTCAGAATGCGTCTTCGTGAAGCCAAAATCAATCAGAAACGTGCTCAGAGCAGTATACCACGCCCGGGGGGCCTGCCGAAGCCCATAAATAGCACGACGAAGACGACAAACATGATGAGGATGAGAAGAGTCAACAAAGCCCGGAGGTTGCACCATATAAACTTCTTCTTCTAAGGGACCTTGAAGAAAAGCATTGTTGACATCAAATTGGGCAATGGGCCAAGACTGAGAGAGAGCCACGGTGAAGACGGTACGAACAGTGACCGGCTTGACAACCGGACTGAATGTGTCTGCAAAATCAAGCCCAGGGCGCTGAAGATAACCCTTAGCCACCAAGCGTGTCTTAAACCGAGAGATAGAGCCATTAGGATGATGCTTGACACGATAAACCCACCGATTGCCAAGGACGTGATAATGAGGAAGACGAGGGACCAAGTCCCATGTATGGTTGGCCAATAAAGCAGAGTGCTCGGTGCGAAGAGCAGCATCCCACTCCGGGAATTGGAGAGCTTCATGAATGGACCGGGGCTCAAGTGGAGGCGGCCCGGGAGACATCATGGTATGAAATAGGCGCTTCTTTGGGCGAAATATCCCATGCTGGGCTCTAGTGGCCATCTGATGAGAACGGGCCGGAGGCGGAGGTGGGCCTGAGGGACGGGAGGGCCCATCAGGGGGAGTAACTGGGACCGACGGAGGGGGCAGGGGCCCTGGAGCCGAGGAAGAACACGGAACGGGCCGGGGAGCAGGCCCAGCGGTGGAAGACCCTCGCGCGGGCGAGGCTGCTGAGGAGGGAACAGGCCCCGGTGATGATGCAGGCCCAGGAAGCGAAGCAGGCCCAGGCGGTGACACAGGGGAGCAGGCCGGAAGTGTATAAATGGTAGGGGAGAGGTCAAAAAGCCACGAGTCAGCCCAATGAGGTTCTGCAGGAGTGGTGTCAAAGCCTGGAAATTGCGACTCAACAAAAACAACATGTCGTGAAATAAAAATACGACGTGTGTTAGGATCAAAACATCTATAGGCACTACGTTGAGGACAATAACCAATGAAGAGACATGGACGGGAGCGAGGATCAAGCTTATGAGAGGAATATGAGCGAAGCCAAGGATAACATAAACAACCAAAAATACGAAGTTTATGAAAGTTCGGAGAAAGATTGAAAAGAAGTGTGTATGGAATTTTACCACGCAGGGCAGAAGACGGAAGCCGGTTGATAAGATAGACTGCAGTGGAAAAGGCAAAAGACCAAAAAGAAATGGGAAGTTTAGCATGATGAAGAAGAGTGATACCAGTTTCGACCAAATGACGATGTTTTCGCTCAGCAATCCCGTTATGTTCAGGAGTATGGGGTGGAGTGAGAAGATGGGTAATTCCATGATGAAGAAGATCAGAACGCAATTTTATGAATTCACCGTCACCATCTGTATAGAGATGACGAATGGTGGTGGAGAAATAGTTTTCAACCATCTTCCTAAAATCAAGAAATGTCTGGAGAACATCAGATTTGTTGCGTAAAGGATAATACCAAGTGTATCGAGTGAAATGATCAACAATAATCAAGTAATAATGAAACCCATCAATCGAAGAAACTGGAGCAGGACCCCAAACATCCGTGTACAAAAGATCAAAAGGACGAGTGCTAACCAAAGTGGAAACTGAGAAAGGCAGTTTATGGCTTTTATTGGAAAGACAAGCATCACAAGGAAAACTAGTGAGTGACAATGACACAGGAAGAGAATATGACCGAACTATATTGGTGAGAGAATGATGTGAAGGGTGACCAAGACGAGCGTGCCACGAAGTAGCGGAGGTGCGAGTTGTGACCAAGGCCATGCTGACATGCTCCACTTCCCGAGGCAGTTCATAGACATCACCGTTGTTTCCCCCCTTTAGCAGAGGCGCCCCCGTGCGAAGATCCTTCACAAGAAAATGAGTGGCAAAAAATTCCACCGAGACAGGGTTAGTTTGACAGAGTTTGGCAACAGAAATCAAACGTTTCTTGATACTTGGAACACATAAAATATCTCGTAAATGAAACTGAGTGGAGCCAAAAGTGACTGAAGAAGAGCCGATATGACTGATTGCCAAACCTGAACCATCACCAACAAGGATCTCGTCGGGTCCTGTATAATCAGAATAGAGAGAAAGCTGCCCCAAATCAGAAGTTACATGGTGTGAAGCGGCTGTATCCATAAGCCAAGGCCCAGTAGCAGAAGAGGAGCCCATATGAGTGTGATTGACCTGCTGGCCCGCCCGAGCCTGCTGAAAAGCCTGGCGGGCTTGCGAGAACAGCTTAAAGCACTGGCGGACAGAATGTCCGGGCTTTTCACAATATTGACAAATCAGGCTGGATTTGCGTTGGCGACTGGGCTCAAGTAGAACAGATGGGCCTGTGGCCTGATGATGAGCCCGTGACTGAATAGGCTCAACATTGAAGCCTAGCTGCTGGCGGGAGGCAGTGGGCTCATGATGAAGGCCCAGCTGCTGCGAACGCTGCTGAGAACGAACAAAATTAGGGCTGCTCCCTGCCCCATGAAATCCGCCGCCGCCACTTGAAGACCGACGCGCCGGCGCTTGCGAATAAAAAGCTGTCGGCACGGTGGAAGACCGAGCCTGCTCGCGCAGATCTGCCTCATACTCAATGAGGCTATCCAGCAAATCCTCTATGGACACAGTCGTTCCGCGCGCTCGTACTGCCGCCGAGAAGTGATTGTAATCGGGGCCGAGTCCCCGAAGGCAGTGCACAACCAGATCAATGTCAGAGACTGGTGCGCCAACCAGAGCGAGTTCTGCAGCAGTCTGCTTCAAATCATTCACATATTCAAGAACATCGCGATTTCCCCTTGTAGTTCTAGCAATCTTCCCTTTAAGATTGATGATTCGTGACCCAGAGCGGCCAGCATACAATTTCTCGAGGATGAGCCAAGCCTCCCGAGAAGTGATAGCAGCAGAGACAAAGGAATAGAGTGACTCAGAGATCGAACAACGAAGAGCGTGCAAGATCAACTTATCTTGCCGAAACCAGAGATGATACGCAGGATTGGGGCTGCTGCCATTGTCGACAGTGATGGTGCGTGCAGGCGCGACACCGGTTCCGTCAATGAAACGAATGAGATCGAGACCCATAAGAAGGGTCTCCAATTGAGAACGCCAAGAGTTGAAATTTGTGGAAGTCAATTTCACAGGTAGTTGAGCAGCCGGATTGAAAGTGATGATGGATCCTTCGGCTGGAGCTGAGTTATCAGAGGCACTGGCACCCGACATGATGAAGACTCAAAAACAGAGTAATAGAGAGGCAGAGGCAGTGAGGCAGAGTTATTGAAGATGAAGAAGCAATCAGGATTGGATCGACAAGATGAACTTTTCTTGCTCTGATACCATGTGAGAGAATTGGGATTTTGTGATTGTGGTAAAACCAACTTGATTCTCATTGATGATTCTCTACAACTAATATACAGAGGAGATGAGGGAAAAGTGGTGCACGTATTAACAGAAAGGCAGCCACTTCCCACAAGAATAGGAACTGAAAATATACAGAAAAAGAATAAAGAAATTAATAAGAGATGTGGGATCATGTATCTCTAATAGTTGTAAGGTGTCGGCCAAATTGTTTTGGGTACGTACCAGAAGAAGAAGAGCAGCAGCAAGTGAATTTGGCGCTAGGGTAGTGATGAAGCGCCAGGAGCTGCCGTTTAGTAGACAACTGACAGACCCAGAGACGATTCCGAGATGGTGCGAGAGAGCGGAAGCGAAAGGGAAAGAGTTCGCCATTAGTCTCGAGCGTGGTGAGAGGTTTATCTTTGAAGCTGCTGGAGCGATCGCTCGCTGTCGCTGTCCATTCTTCCAGTTGAAGTTGATTCGTTATCCACTCAGAAGATGCTACGACGCGCGTTTCATTTTCCCGCGGTTCGGCCGTTTCTTTTTTCCCGCGGTCATGGCCACAACAATTAAACACCATAACCTTACAAATTCTGTTCTTCACTGCCCTCCATAGCATTTACCGCCAACTGACTGTAACAATTGAGTTGAAACGTATTAACCATCATTACACAATTCCTTTCAATGCCGGATGGGATGAAGAAGCGCCAATTTTTCTAACATCTTTTCCAGCAAATGAAGCGACAAACCCTCACAAGTGGCATAATCATCGCCAAGTTGAAGTTATTGTTATTATTCAATGAGAAAGCTCACTGCTTTAAGCTCCTCCTCCTTTCTTATCTCTTACTTCTTTGCTAAGAAAAAGAAAACCTCCCAAGAGCCCAAGACTCTTCCCCTCCCATCATGCACGAATTCGACTATCACGCGAAATGAAACACGTTGAAATAATGTGTTTACATATCGTTAGTCGTAGAATTCATGACCTGATAAAAGAATCGTTCGATGAAATAAACAGTGTTTACGCCTATCTCATATCAATTAGATACCAAAACTGGCTTCTTCCAGCATGGCATGTAGACTTGACTGACTGACTGACTGTCAGCTTGTTAGAAGTATTAGATAGTAGTAGGTAGTTAATTGTAATTAGTCCTTTAATTATTATTAATTACTACTACATCGTGAGAGAGGGTTGCCGGCTAGGGTATATATTGGTTGTGATAGCCGGCTGTTAACCTAAGGACTCTCGGCTAATACGATTGACTCTGAGAGGTTGCTCCTCTCCGTGGATTAGTCTCAACGATACTCGTTGAGGATACCACGTTAATTCGGTGTTTGTGTTCTCTTTATGATTACGTTTGACATGGTATCAGAGCTTGCTCGTCGATCTCAGGTTTTATTCTTGTGATTCTGGTATCCCTGCGGTGTTGCTTACTTGGTTCAGAATTGTTCAGCGGTGTTTTTTGTCTCGGCGGTGTTTTGCTGGCGGTGTTTATTCTGGTTCTTGGTTCTGGATATTTCGGTGCTGATTTTGATTCTCGGTGACATATATATCACTCGTTCTCGGTGGTATTATATTGGTTTGTGGGTTTGCCAGCTTCTTGTTCTTGTACGGCTTCCGTGTCGTTCTTGGATTCTTGTTTGTGCTAGCTGGGGTTTTCTTGGTCTCTAGTCAATTTTGTTTCCTTCCTGGGTTGTTGAGTGTCTGCGGTCCAGCTTCCTTGTGTGCGAGGGTAAGGCTTGATGGAGAACTCCAAAATGGATACCTTTACTGTTCGGTTCGATGGTAAAAATTTCGCCTTGTGGGAATTTCAATTCCGTCTCTTCGTTCAAGGGCGTCGAATGTCTGCAATTCTTGATGGGACTGCCGCCGATCCTGGTGAGACTGCTACTGCGAAGGTGAAGGAGGATTGGGCAGTTAATAATGCCCAAGTTATGGGATGGATCCTGGGTTCGGTTGATCCTTCAATTGCTCTTAGTTTACGAAGCTTCGCCACTGCTCACGCCATGTGGAGTCATCTAAAGGCTTTTCATTCTCAATCCAGTGCTTCTCGAAAGTTTGATGTGGAGCTGGATATTGCTCGGTTACATCAGGGGGACATGGATATTCGCTCCTACTATCAAGCGGCTGTTACTTTGTGGACCGAACATGACATGTTAACTATGTCGTTGATTTCTGCTGCTGCCTCTGCTGAGGTTCAACAGGACCGTACAAGCTCTCGTCTTATGCATTTTTTGATGAAATTACGTCCTGAATTTGAGAGTATTCGTTCATCTTTGCTTCACCGCAATGTGACCAAGCTAGAAGATGTCTTGAGTGAGTTGATCAGGGAGGAAACACGTCTCCGCAGTCAGGCTAAACTTGACATCCATCAAGCTGACTCCTCGTCGTCGGCATTTGCGGTTTCTACAATGTCTGGGAGGAAGGAAGCGTCCCCTGTTGGCTCGGCTGCCTTTGCTGTTACCACTGTGCGGCCTCGCTTTCTTCGGTCTGCTAGTGGGGATGTTATATGCTACTATTGTCGGGAACCTGGGCATGTACAACTTCATTGTCCGAAGCGAATTATATGCAATTATTGTAAACAGTCCGGGCATAAAATTGGTGCATGTCCAGTTCTTGCACAGCGAGGACGTGGAGCTCGGCCGTCTGGGTCGAGTTCAAGTGCGTATAGGGGGCCTCGGTCCACTACTGCGTCGAGACCTGCCTTTGCTACTACTTTAGTGCCTTCTGATCCTTCTCTTCCGCCTGTGACGGGAATTTCTCAGGAGGCAATCCGGGACATGGTGCAAGCAGCGCTCAAGGAAGCCCTTCCTTCGGCTCTTGGTTCCGTCTTCTCGATTGGTAGGCTTCCTAATTCATCTTCTTTTTGGCATCTTGATTCAGCAGCGTTTAATCATATGACAGGGTCCGGTTCCTCTTTTAGTTCATTTCGGCCGCACTCTTCTGTTAAGTTACAAGTGGCCAATGGAAATTGTTTGTCAGCTCACGGGACAGGGATGGTACAACAAAAAGGATTATGTTTATCGAACACTTTATATGTTCCCCAACTTGTTCCTAATCTAGCGTCAGTGGGTCAACTAACAGAGGACGGTTGTCGGATTATCTTTGATGAGACTGGTTGTACTGTGCAGGACAAGATCACGGGGATGGTGATAGGACGCGGGACTAAGGTTGGGCGTGTCTATACTCTGGATAGCTATTCTCGTGATGCTTGTGGTGATGACGAGGGAGTTACTAGAGAACCCGCAGGAGAGGTGGTTCGAGGATCATCTCAAAGTTCTAGAAGTTTAGATTTGTTTGGTTATTCAGTTAATTCAGTTAAGTTGTCAAACTGGGAATTGTGGCACCGTCGGCTTGGCCACCCTCATTCTGCTCGTTTGAAAGAGATGTTTAAGAATAAGTTGTTATCTGGTAGTTCAGCCTCTGACTCTCATGATTGTGTTCACTGTATTGAGGCCAAACTATCTCAACAATCTTTTAGCTTGAGCACTACCATTTATTCAGAACCGTTTGATCTCGTTCATACTGATTTATGGGGTCCGGCTTCTGTGACATCTCGGGTTGGGTTTCGCTATTTTGCGCTTTTTATTGACCATGCCACCAGGTATACCTGGGTGTACTTCCTCCGTCAAAAGTCGGACTTACTACAGGTGGCTAAGGAATTTTTGCAAATGGTTCATACGCAGTTCGGCAAACAGGTAAAGGTTCTGCGATCGGATCCTGGGGGTGAGTTTTCCTCTGGGCCGCTTCAAGAAGTGTTTAAAGAACGCGGGATTTTGCCTCAACAGTCTTGTCCTGGTGTGTCTCAACAGAATGGGTTGGTTGAGCGTAAACATCGTCATGTCTTAGAACTAACTCGGGCTCTCCTGTTCCAAGCATCGGTTCCCGCTCGTTTTTGGGTTGAAGCGGTACATACAATAGTTTACTTGATTAACCGACAACTCACTCCTGTTCTATCTCACAGTAGTCCGTATGAGGCACTCTATGGCAAGTTGCCTAACTATGATTGGTTAAGAGTCTTTGGATGCGTTTGTTACGTCCTCCTACCTCGTCGTGAGCGCTCAAAGTTGGACCCGAAAGCAGTTAAATGCATGTTTGTTGGATATAGTGAAAAGCACAAAGGGTACGTGTGCTATGATGTCTCTAATCGTCGCATCAGAATATCGTGTCACGTGGCTTTCCTGGAGTACTTACCTTACTATGGCAGCATGAAAGATGACCAGGATCCACAACTAAACTTTCTTCGGCTGCCTAATATAAATCCAAATCCGCCTCCTGTGGAACCAGAAGATTCGGACCCACCTTCTCCTTCTCAAGACCTGGCTTCCCTCCATAGTGGAATTAATAGGAGTAATTCAGAGGCTAGTTCCTCTCAGCAGTCCGCCACTCAGCCATTCGACTCCACTTCAGTGGAATCTTCTCCGCGTTCCACCTCCTCTTCCTCGGCAGGAGAGAATTCTGCTTCTCCCCTTCAGCACTTGGCGGACAATGAAGTCTCTCCTCCACTTCGGCGCTCCACCAGGGTCACTCGAGGCCAACCGCCCGTTCGTATGACGGATTTTGTTGCCTTCTCCACATCTCACATTCCGATTCCAGCTACATATAAACAAGCACGAGGTAATCCCCATTGGGATAATGCTATGAATGTTGAGATTGATGCTCTTGAGGAAAATCATACGTGGGATGTGGTGGATCGCCGTCCTGAGTATCCGGTTATTGGATCCAAATGGGTATATGATGTTAAGCTGCTTCCTGATGGTTCTCTGGAACGTTACAAGGCAAGAGTGGTTGCTCAAGGATTCAGACAAGAATTCGGAATAGACTATGAGGAAACCTTTGCTCCTGTAGCAAAGATGCAGACTGTACGAACTTTACTTGCTATTGCTGCTATGAAGGGGTGGCAGCTAAAACAGTTGGACGTCAAGAATGCTTTTCTCCATGGCGATTTAAAGGAGACAATTTATATGGAGTGTCCTCCAGGGTACTCAAAGGGTGACAAGTCCAAGGTTTGCTTACTGCGTCGGTCACTCTATGGTTTGAAACAGGCGCCTCGGGCGTGGTTTGAGAAATTTCATGAAACGATCTCCTTAGTTGGATTTGTTCAGAGTGACAATGATCCTTCATTGTTCCTGCGTCGGACCACTCGGGGCCTGACTGTTCTTCTTATCTATGTTGATGATATGGTGGTGAGTGGTGATGATATTCAGGGAATTCATGAGTTAATTCAGACACTGCGTTCGGCATTCAACTTAAAGGAGCTTGGTGATTTATCTTATTTTCTGGGATTGGAAGTTCACCGATCTACAGATGGTATTTTGGTTGGCCAGCGAAAATATATTTTGGACCTTCTTGAGACAGCACAGATGGATACTTGTGATCCATGTTCTACACCGATGGAACAGAACCTGAAGTTACGGCAGAGTGATGGTGATCTTATTAGTGATGGCTCTCATTATCGTAGCCTAGTAGGGAGCTTAATTTATTTGACCCATACTCGTCCGGATATTTCTTATGCAGTGCAGGTTGTCAGTCAGTTCATGGCCGCACCCCGGACATCTCATATGATAGCAGTTCGGCGCATTCTGCGCTATTTGAGTGGCACACAGGATGTGGGGTTATACTTTCCAGCCACAGGAGATGCGGTGATCGAAGCATATGCTGATGCAGACTATGCAGGCTGTTTAGATACTCGTCGTTCTACTTCTGGGTGGTGTGTCAAGATTGGCTCATCCTTTGTGTCTTGGAGATGCAAGAAGCAGGAAAGAGTGTCGAAGTCGTCCACAGAAGCTGAGTATCGCTCGATGTCTGAAGTCACTTCAGAATTGGTTTGGCTGCGTAGATTGGTGGCAGAGCTAGGACTTTCATGTACTTTACCCATGCGTTTGTATGCTGATAATACTAGTGCCATCCGGATTGCTACGAATCCGGTCCTCCATGATCGCACAAAGCACATTGAAGTCCATGTTCATTATATTCGTCAGCTGGTAACTGCAGGAGAGATAGCGCTGTCTTACATAACTTCTGAAGACCAGACTGCAGATCTGCTCACGAAGGCTGTCTCGGGCGCTCGTCATTGGTTTCTGGCATACAAATTGATGTTGCGTAAGCACCATCAATTTGAGGGAGGGTGTTAGAAGTATTAGATAGTAGTAGGTAGTTAATTGTAATTAGTCCTTTAATTATTATTAATTACTACTACATCGTGAGAGAGGGTTGCCGGCTAGGGTATATATTGGTTGTGATAGCCGGCTGTTAACCTAAGGACTCTCGGCTAATACGATTGACTCTGAGAGGTTGCTCCTCTCCGTGGATTAGTCTCAACGATACTCGTTGAGGATACCACGTTAATTCGGTGTTTGTGTTCTCTTTATGATTACGTTTGACACAGCTGACCAGACGACTCCTTTTGACCAGACCATACAGTCGTCCTCTGTTGTCTGTCCTATTAATTCCTTTTCAGTTCCAGCTTTGCCTTCACGCTAAATATATAAACAGAGCTTTCTCCCTGACTCTCCACTCTCCTCTCAATTCTTCTCATCACTCTGCCCTCACTTCCGCTCTCCAGATCTTTCCAAAAAAAAAACCCTAAAGCAAGCTCGATCTCGCTTTCCAGCTCCAGCAATGGCTCCCTCCAAGACCCTACTGCTCGCTGCCACTCTGGCCCTGATTCTCGCCGCCGTCGCTCAGGCGGCAGAGTCCCCTGTTTCCCCTGCTCCAGCTCCCGGACCCAGCTCTGCCGCCACCTCTGCCTCTCCCGCCGTAGCGTTGGCTGCCGCCGCCGCCGCCGCCGTGGCCCTGGCGTTTGGCTCCTCCGTCAAGATCTGAAGGACCGCCGTCTCCCTTGATTTGTTTAGAGTTTGTGCTTGTTATGGAGACGGTTACAATAGCTCGTTACTCGTAGAGATATGGTTGGCGTTATGACTTTTCAGAGTGTGTTTGCATTATATATCGTATATGGGTTATCGTATGAATAAATCAAACTGATCTAGATTTTGCCTATTGAATTCTTTATCAACCCTTGTTACTAAAGACTCAATCTTTTAGACTTATACAGAGATTTTCGACTGAAAGGGACATGGGAAACATATCGATGGATATCACTGTTGATCAAGTTGACCGATGGTTCTACCTAACTCGGCCGGCTGAAAATTGGACCGTCCTCCATGTTTGATTCCACAACATGGGATCTCGTATTCTTTTCTTCTTCCATTTTTTATATACCAAAGCTTAATTCAAAGCGTTATCTCCAAGGCGGTGCCTTTCCTTTGTTGTAAAGGAAGAAATAATTGAATTCCATATTGCTCATGATGTCCGGAGCGTGGAGTAACCATTGATCCACTTTGCCGTCCTTTTTCCACCACACCAATTCTCCTCTCTGTTTCCTTCCCGCTTTTCCTCCCAACCCTTTCTTGGAGTTCTTCATCCTGGCTCTCTTGCTCCCGATCGGTAGAAAAAGCAAAGGGCAGGGGAACTGGGGAAGAGGAAGCTCTCCGGCGACATGGAGGACGGCGGCGGCAGAGCATCTGGCTGCTGGTCGTACGAGAAGCTGAAATGCGTAGGTTCGAGCATGGCATCAGCTTTCTTCGCGTCGTTGGAGCGGTGTTCCTGCATCAACCTCTCCACCTCCGACGACGCCGACGACGCCTTGGAAGCCCAAGACCGTCCCCTCATGTTCTCCAACTCCATCTCCAAGTCCAATTCCTCCTCCGCCCCCATCTTCTCCACCGCCATCGATCCCGTCGTTTCTCTTCGTGCCTGAGAGGAGATCCTTCGTCGTTGATTTGTCTTTTGCCTTGAGTATTGTTTTAGGAAACAGAGTATCACTTGTATTGGGGATTTGCTCCTTGCTCTGTTTCTTTACTTTTTTTTGGTGTTCATCAATTGTACTGTTTGGCTCTGTTTGTTCAACTGGGAAAATTGGGGTACATGACCCAAATCAGCGTTACTGGTTTTGATTGTTCATGAACTGCAACCATAGATGTGTTTATTAATGTAGGTTAAAGGAAAATTATACCAAGAACTCTCAGTCTGATCGAGTTTCTATTAAAAAAACAGACTTTAATCAATCTTGCAGGCCAGTAAGGTGATTGATCGTGCCCATTTCCATATCATATTGGGACCATACCGCCGAACAAGATTGCTTGAAATACACACAATTTCTCCGGCGGCAACCCAATTCCTCTGCTTCACCGGCGGATACACTAACGCAGCAATTGGTCCCGAAGAAGAGCACTCTGCCTCCCAGGTCCTGCAGGCGAATCCATTCCAGCTTCTGGGTATCAAGACGGCGCACTTCCACCCCATCCACAGATTCCACAGATTTCCTGAAGATGAGAAATACCAGCAGGATCTCTCCTTCCGATTCCACCAGGATTTCACGGAAATGCTTGCACTGAACTCCAGGAACCATCCTCTGCTCGCCCATGGAACCGACTCTGAAGCCGCGATTCTGCGGAGTGGAAGAGCAGTTGCCGCCGCGCTCTTGTTCGATGACAACCAGAGTCCCCTGCAGGCTCAGAGCATACAACTTCCCTCTCAACCAAATCCCGCTGCACAGCGTCACAAACCGATCGGCCCCGCAACCATTCGGGTCTTTAATTGGTGAATCCTGCTTCTTCCAAGCGAAACTTCGCCCCTGTTCATCGGATCGAAAATGGGCGAAAGCAGGGAGGGGCAAGCCAGTCAGGACAATCACCACGGCATCCTCGATGGACCTGTTGCGGCTTGGGCGAGGATAGGAGCGGCCGTCGGAATCCCATTGCCAGCAAGGGAGACTTCCCCAATGCGAATTAAGATCGTCGGGAGCTAGCAGGTAATAGCGAAGGCGATCCGGGATTCGCCCTGTAGCCCGTTCCATTCGCATGGAAAATCCGACGAGTTTGGGTTTAATTCGATGGAAGGGGACATCTCTCCTGGTCAGCCACCGACCTCGGACAGAGAAGATGGAAGAAGAAAAAACCGGGCGCGGAAAGTCGCCGGAGGTTTCAGATTCAGGGGTGAATAGTTGGAGCTGTGGCAGAGTGGCCGGAGGAGGACTGGACTTGCATTTGTTATGTTGGTGTTGTGACCGCCATGATTTGGTGACGCCGCCGGGGGAGACGTTTTCCAGTCGCGTGCCATTACTCGACACTAGATTGATCGCGAGCTTCAGGGGAAGGTCGTACCACCTGATTGAATACCCTGCTGCTACCGCCGCTGCAACTAGTGATTGAGAGCGATCCGCTACGGCTTTCTTGCTCTTGTACTTTTTGCCTCGACTACTGGGTTGATCAATGCCGAGATTTCTCCGGCGATCATAAAGCCAGGGACTTCTACCGTCGATACCCGACATTTTTGTGAGACGAAGAACAGAGGAGGAAAAGGTTCTGAGTTCCAAGCTATGGAGGAAGGAATCTCTATATGGAGATTTCCGGGAAGCGATTTCCGTGGCCTGCAAGGCCTCATTTCATTTCTTTATGGAACGCATATTTTTGGTTGACCTTCTCTCTTGGCGGGAAATGGTTGACCTGCTTATTAAAACAAATCCACAGCTTCAAAATTTCAAAAACCGGTAATGAGAGCTACCAGGCTGTTGCAAGAAGAAAAATTGTACTTGTGGTTGCCGCCGGTGGCGGCAAGGATTAATATGAGAGAGTTGACCTCTGATTTTGGCTTGGGCCATGAAATTAGGAAAATGGGCTTGGGCCTTTGAGGCCGAAGGTACGGTTTTCATATGGGCCTGCCTCGGAACAGTCCACCCTCTTAAGGCTTTTACAGAGAAAAAATTTTGAATAAAGAGAATGGGCTTGGGCCTCTTGTTTATTGAACTAGCAGAAGCCGAGCAGGCCGCCTGCCGGAATGCTGTCGGTTCTTACGAAGAAACTTGGAATCATCAATAGTCTGCCAATATTCGTAAACAACAAAGCTTATTAGCTTAGGCACGTACGTTAAATTCTTAAATTCTGCCATCTGGAGATGGATGGTTACAGATTCTGAGATTAATACAAACAAATAAGAGCACAAATCTTACTGTCTATACGCATTATAATCCTCGGGAATTTTTCGTTTTTATGGGTGCCTCAATCAGTGGTGTTGTCACGAATTTTGCACATATGAATCCAACTGGAAAAAAAAATCACTCTAATAAATATCTTAAATGTTGAATTGAAAACATCAAATGAATTGTAGTTTGACGGCGGCGAAGATGTTTTCCATTGAAGGAGATATCACCATTCCGATTCTCCCTTCTTGCAAAACCGGTAGTCTGATACCAAAAACTTTTCCGTGTGTTTGTTGATAGGTCAAGGAGGTGCGCCCGCGATCTCCCTTGGGCCGTTGTGTCTCCGCCGCTGACCTCAATATGGGGAGGAAAGAAAGAAGATTGTATGTTGCCTATTTTGAGGATAACATCTAATTTTAGAACCAAATCACCATTTAGCTATGTCACAAATAATTAATGAATTGCTCGTTAGAAATAACAGCTACAAACGTGAAAGTTTCGGGCACGGTATAGATATCATCTCTTAATATTATTATTATTATTATTTATATGTGAAATTTTGAAGATTAAAACCAAGAAGCAAGATGATGAGGAAGGCGGCCAGGTGGTTGACAAATGTCAAATAACACAAAAACGTTCTTGCTTGTGTTTGTAAGTATGTAACATGGAATCATTACAATACAACTGCCAATTCGTCTTTATGTAATAAGTAAGCTTATAATTGTTTGTTTTTATCATTTAAGGTGACAACTAGTACAATGATTCTTTGGTTTTGTCCCCAATTTACCAATCACGTAGCCTCCCTTTGTCTCCTAATCTAGGAACCGCCGGCATCACTCACATACTTACTTTCAACTAAGTACTTGATTAAATCGCTTTTTAACTTTACTTTACTTTAATGATGACAATAATTATGGGATGTTGCATTGCCTTCAAGGGGTCGTTTGCTTGAGGGTTTTGGTCATGGATTTGGTCATGAAAATATATCCATCATGGACTTGCACCGAAATCCATCGTTTGCCTTAAGGAATTAGGGAGATGGAATTTGTGGAGCCCACTACTTTTGGGGTTCCAAATCCGTGGACCCCACGGACTTGGAAGTTCCACCTCTTGAGGTGGGATTTGGGTGATGGATTAAAATCCATGAGGGTAAGTTACCTTTCTACCCTTCATTATTTCTTTAATTACAAATTTGTCCTACTTTAATTCAATGGTCATGCAACTGTAAACTTTTATAATTTCGTATTTTATAAATATGAGAATTTATCATTTCATTTTGTAATATCGTATTTTATTTAAATATGAATGTATATGTGATTTGTTAGATTCACCTAGAAACGCTTTATGCTCATCTTGTACATTATTATTTGATTGATTGTAGGATTCCACATCGGTGAGTTAGCAAGAAGATGATGAGTTGTAGCAATAAAGCGAGCAATTGGCTGCAATTGATACATAATATTGCGTACATTATTAGATGAATTGTTTTTTATATGAAGGATTATTAGATGAATTTTTAATTAGTGCCAAGATGAATTGTTAATTAGTGCCAAATTGTAATACATTTTTATATTTGTAGTTGAATTATTAATCCATATAGTGGTAAAGAGTTTAAAATTTCTTTCTATGTTTTGCATTAGTTTTAAATGAAATATTTGGATTATAATATAGAAATATAACTAAATAAGGGTAACTAGGTAATTTGTATTTAATATCCACAAATCTAATCAAACAAAATCCATAATCAAATCCATCAAGCAAACAATAGACTTGTTCAAATCCATAATGCCACCAAATCCATCATATATCCATGGTTTTTCAAAACCCAGGTTTTACCAAAACCCTCATTTTTCAAATCCATGAAGCAAACGACCCGCAAGTGAAAAGGAAAATTGGTTAGTAACTTGTATTTCATATCGAAATTATGCATGTAGTAGAATCATCAACACCAACGGATGGAATTCGAACAAAGTCGTAGGTTCTAAAAGAGTGTCATAAAACCAACAAACTATTCGAGCAATGTTTATATCGATTATAGTTGAGATTGTTCGGATGTTGAACTATTTTCAGAAAATTTCCATCGCAATGCAAACATATAGTTGTTAGTAACTAGAGCCATTTGAAGAGTTGTTGCTTAACACTTAGCAGCGTCTCAAATAGCTCTTCTTCGTGCTCCACTAGACTTGGAATAAAAAAGCACTCTCTGAAACAATGATGCTAAATACGTTGGATCTTCTATTTGACAATTAAGGGCTCGTTTGCTTGTTGAATTTGAAAATGCGGGTCTTGAGTTTTAAAAACCTTTGGATTTATGATGGATTTGTTGCATTATGGATTTGGAAGAGTTGATTGTTTGTTTGGTTAATTTTTATCATGGATTTATCATTGATTTCTCTCACAAATTTGTCTTCCATGATCAAATCGCAAATGAAATGTGGGATTTGCAAATCCGTGACCCCCACGGATTTGTGTCCCTTAGCAAACAATGGAGTTGTCCCAAATCCATGATGCTTGAGATTTGGGTGCCAAATCCATCACCCAAATCCCACAAGCAAACGATACATTAGAGTTTGCCCTCTACAGTGGTATCTTTCAAAAAGTTGTGTCGAACGAATTGCTTTTTTACCCTCATGGACGAAAAGAAATATGGGTGTGGAGAAGGTTAAGTATTTCAATTTAAATTTTTACTTTTGACCCCCAAGGTGAAAAAATAGTTTCAAAGTTGGGCATCATTCATTCAACTCATGTCCTGTCTTGTCTGAAAAAGCCTTAAAAGCCCTCTTCTGTGGATTCTGGACATTGGTTCTTTTTCCTATTTCTCCCCTGTGAGTTGTTCTTTTATCACTGACTTTGATCCTCCTCCTCCTTCTCTCAATCTGTACCAAGCAAGCATCCACTAATTATATATGTATCTTTCTTTATCTCTTTCCTAAGCTGAGCTGGTGGTGGAGGGATACCAAAGCTTGGATTGGAATGGAATGGTATCATTTGTTAGTCTGCTGAGTTTTTAGGCTATCCCTTCTTCTGAAAACCTGAGAAAGAAGTGTCCTTTCTAAACTCTTATCTCTCAATGATGACAATTCACCCCATCCACTATTATTTTCTGGAAAGGAATCTGTGGACAGCATATTTAGTGACACTCTGTCAGCAGAAAGTTGCAGGGGGTACTTTCTGGAGAGAAAATCCATGAGGTACCTGATTTTGGTGTAAATGACAAAACTACAAAATACAGTAACTAGAAAGCTGGAAACTTGATGAACCAGATACTGGAAACTTTCCCAGGATAGTTACAAGTTAAAGAATCGAACCACAACACAGAAGAGTTTACATAGCCAAAATGGTGATCACAACTCTTTTTCTTTTTTTTCTTTTCTTCTCCTTTCCAGATCATTTACAATTTACACCAAAGGACAAACCTTTAAAACATCTGCTGCCCAGAACTACATGTTCAGGCATGAAGGCAAATTTCATCTCTTCATACTTTCTCCAGAAAACAGGATGGACATCGATATCGCTAATCCTAATCCAAGAAGAATGAAAGGGGAGGGGGTTTAGAATAAGCTTAAGAATACAAAGATACATGTACAAAAATCCTGTGAGCAAGAGCAGGAACTGCAAAAGGAGGGAGGAAAATAAACACATACAGAGATCATCAACTCTTTCAAAGCAACATCCAAAAAATTTGATACTGGTTCGACTGCAGCTGGACTTCGAGCGATGGTTTGGATATATGAGTTATGAGTAGATGCTGGCAGCCACCTTCGATGAACTTCCGATAAGAAGTCAAGTAGATGCTGACGTCTCAAAATTGATGCCCCCACCGGTCAGGTGAAGCATATACCCTACCCTGAAAGCAAGAAATGGCAGACAAGAGCAATTCAATCATTCATATCAGAACCACCAATATATGTTGTAATGGTGTGAAGCTCCCTAACCCCCACCATTTCCTGCCCCTAAAACGAACTCCAGCCACCAGGTTTTGATACCCCTCATCTTGTTGTGAAGTGGCTGACCCACGACCTGCCTCCAATATGGATAAAGAAGAATAATGTATCTAATACTGGCCTCTCCTCTTCTTAAGACATGACCTCTGCATATCTTTCCATTAGTTGACGAATGAGAAAAATCCATTCCCAAGTAGGTCTATGTTTGCAGCCAACCATACCCCACCACTTGTCATGCCTAAGCATTCATCAGACATGGGCCCAGCTGAGCATCGAGATTCGAGCATAATGCATCCACGCCGGAGATAGTGAACACCAGGTTGATCCTCCGGAAAACCAAGAACAATCTCAGGTTGGAACTGGCAGGCCGTAACTGTGGTAAGATCGAATCCTGCCATCCCACCCTGCAGTCACAATGACAAGACCCCATGCATGAGAGCCAGCAGTGCTCTGGCATGAAGCTTTCAGAAACTTGTACTGGGATTTATGCATCGATGCTAATGGCGTGGCTGATGAAGGGCTTGATCTTGGAAGCTTTTCCTCTGGCCAGGTTGCTGAACCTTTGGGATAGGACTCGAGGTAGTATTCTTGACCCAGATTGAAACTTGCAGGCGAAGAAAAAGGCAGAGATTCTCCATTTTCCGAGTTCCAAGACTTCTTGAAACCAGCCCAAGGCAGTGCAACCGATGCATCAGCAGAGAACCGCTCACAAGACTTGATGTTTTTACCATTTGGGCAGAATGAGTCTTCCAAGCCAAAACTATCCCACATATAAACATTGGCATCCTCACAAGCTGATATTATATTCTTTCCATCTGAAGTAAACCGTGCAGATACATGATTCGCAGTGTTCCTCAAGCCTATAAACAGAGAAAAAGGACGAAAATTGATATATGTGACATCAAAATTTTGATTGAAGAGTTGGGTAAGGAATGGAGATCTATATACCTTTGTATTTGGCAATGACATTGAGCCCTTTCAGTATCCTGACTTGTGAATCGGCACAGCTCACCATTACCTTGTCCGAGTCTTGTGGGGAATACTGAAGGTGAAAGCATACATTCCAAGTAAAAGGTTAGAGAAGGTTAGAGAAGGATATGCATTAAGCTCGAAGAATACACTTAGTAAGGTGGCTAATGATTACCTGGAAGGCAGTTATTCTTTTTCCAGGTGACTTCTTTTTGGTGTTTAAGCACACTTGTGCATCCAATTGCAAGCGATTGTCTGAGGTATCGAAAAGCAGAAACCTTTGTCAAAAATCTGCATGTACAGCTTACTTCTACACACCATTAGAAGTTGAATCTGAAATTATGGAGGAATTACAAATTAGATGCGAGAACACACCAGTCCTATTATACAAGCGGCAAGTGCCTGTCATTGAGCCAACAATCAATCCCTGCATAATGAGGAAAGGGGGAAAACTTGAATCAGAAAACTGTTATGCCAAAGACTACATGGCCAGAAAAAGGGCAAGAAAAGAAAATCAAGGAACCTGCCCATCTGGACGATAACAAGCTGCTGTAACTATTTCTTTAATGTCGACCCAGTCAACAACTTGGCAACCAGAAATTGCCCAAATCCGAACTTTCCCATCTATGGAACCACTCATGAAGTAATTATCATCCCCAGGATTAAACTGAACACAAGTAACTGCACCACAAAGAGTTGGAACAAAAAGCACGATAAATAAGTGATGATTATGACAATGTATCTAGAAAAAGAAAGTAAAAGATAACAAAGAAACATTACCGTAGTTGCTATGTGAGTAGATCCCAAGGCATCGATTGCATCCTACTTGCCATAGACGAACAGTTTTGTCAACTGAAGCCGACAGTAAATGCTGCACAGCTCACCAAAACACAAGCAGAGTATTAATTTATTTACATATTCTGCATAACAAATTCCGGTTGAACAAGGACTATCATAGAAATGCTGTTGCTTTGAAAATATGGACTTACACTATCATTTGACCATGACAAGTCCAAGATATCTCCACTGTGACCAACAAACTCATGCAATGGGTCCTCCAATATTCTGAAAACTTTAGGAGGGAAAATCACACAAGCAGAATCCGATGTCTTCCTCAAACTCCTCATTTTAACCGTCTTCTCTTGATTACTAATGAGGGGTTTCAACTCGGATAAATGATCCACAGTGAAGTAGATGCATGAAGGATCTATTTCTGGAATATCACGTTCATTCGATCGATCATCTTCAAGAACTTGCCATACTCTCACGATCCCATCTTCACCAGCACTTGCCAGGTACTGCCCATCTGGACTAAATTTCATCGCCAAGATCGAGCCCCTGTGAGCCTGGATATCTTGCCCACTATAGAGTGCAGAGAGCTCCTTTACTTGCTTCCCAGATTGCCTAACTTTCACCCTCCGTGTCCTATACAAAAGTGAATCATCAACCGAATGGCTAATCCTCTCAGCCTGTGTTCTTCCATCCACAGCACATGCCATTGACCTCAACCTGCTCAACCACCGTTTTTTATCTGTCTTGGAAGCTGTGCTGCTGCTTGTGCTACTATCATTGGATCTCTCACAGTTCGGCTGAAGCTGAAGAAGTGAAGAAGGCAATGAGCCAGAAGCTTTACTACTACATTCCCTAGCTCTTGCTAAATATGGTGAATAAAGGTCATGACTTTCATCTACATTAGAAGCCAGCCCTCCACCTGAATTCCCATCTCTACCTACGAACTCTTGAGCCGAGCCCAACTCCTCCAGAAGAATGGAACTTGAAGACCTTGTCGAACAAAACTCGCCTTCATAACAAGAGTTCCTCAACACAGCCCCACTACTTTCAATCATTCTATTAATCCCGCTTCCTCCTGGACTGGGCAAATCTCCATCTGGGCATGAACCTTCAACTTCCATCCACTTCAAAAACATGTTTCGTCGTTCCTCCACACTTTTGGGGGCGTCGGCCCACAATGCATAACGAGGGCTAGAGGCAGCTGAATTGATATCTCCCAAACTCTGCTGGCAATCAAAGATGTCACTACTGCCACCAGAGATTGTCGATGCAATGTCATCAGCAGCATCGAAAAACCGGAATTCTTCCTCGCTCAAGCTGCCCATTGCTACCCTGCTTTAGTTCATTCAACCCATCAAAAGAAAACAGCTTTTAAGGTCCCAGCTAGCCTGCCACCACCATCGAAATCCACACCAGAAGAAGCAATCCCAAGGAGCTGAGAAGAAGAGACATGAGAACAAAATACCATCAGCAAAACAAGGAGTAGATAGATGTGAAGAACAACACAGAACTCAAGGGTGGTTTTTTTTTTGGCAGCAAAACAGAGAGGGGTTTATTAAGAATTAAAAGAACATGGACGGAGTGACAATATAGCTAATAAACTACACATCACGAGATCCAACATGAATCCCCATATCTTCCTCCTCCAGCCCATTGAACCTATCTTCCTTCCAATTCCACAAAAAAACGCTTTCATTATTCTTTTTCCATAAACAATGCCAAATGCAAACCCCAGCTAAGCCCCCCTCCCACAAAAGAACAACCAGAGAATCGAACCCAATAACAGTAAAAGCAAAAAAAGATTGGAGCACCGAGTCAGGAATTCAATTCAATAAGCAGATAGACAGAGATGAGTTGGAAATTCCTAATGGGAAAAGAAAATGAATGTTTGCAAGTTTTCTTACATGGGTTATAATCAGTTTTCCAACGAGATATATTGGAGACTGAAGAAGGCGTAGATCGAAGCATCCATTAGAATTCCTTTTCAGCTCTGTCTCCCTCCTCGTGCCTCTGGAGAAAGCAAAGAGAAAATCCACTGCAATGATAAAAAAAACGAGAGGCTTTATATAATAACAAACAAAGAGAAACCCCTTCAAGAAGAAGAAGAAGAAGAAAGAAGGGAAGGAAGGGAGTGGGGTTTGTATAAATAGAATTTTCCCAGTTACCACCAGAAACTCCAGAAAGACATATATATATGGTATTTTATCATTTAAAAATAAAGATTTAATAACTGGAAAATAAAATGGATTTTCCTGATTTCCCCCCGAAGGGCGAACAAGAAAAGGAATAATGTATTTTTTACTTATAAATTATTATTTTGCTTATCATTAATATTATTATTTTCCTTGATATTCGTGAACGGATGGACCGAGAAACGAGATTTTGAAGGGGAAGGGAAGGGGCATATGAGTAAATTACTTCTATCTGCGGGGTTCTTACAATACAGTGACACACACTCACATAGCCACCCAACAAGTGTCATCCTCATATTTGCTCTTTTATGAAGTAGTTAATTAGCTATAGGTACCCATATAATCGTAAAACTTTTTAAATTTGGGCGAGTTTCTATTGAGTGATAACGATCGTTAGACAAAAGTAAAAAAAAAAAAAAAGATCATTCGAAATAGTGTAAAGAAATAAAATGAGAAGAGGATTGTTTCCTATTTGAGATGATGAGCAGGAGTTTCGTTAATTTTTTGTTTTCCGCGTCTAGATGAAGTAGTTAACATTTTTTTTTTAATGGGATCACGAGTGATTATAATGATTTGAATTTGGACCCTATCATCATACATGAGAAAAAGCTACTCTCTTTTAGATGCTCTGAAAGTTGCCGCATAATCGTCTTGCTGGTCTTGTCGATGTTGAGCGTAGGAAGATTTTTAGTGTATGGGAAAGTATGGAGAAATTATTTATCGTATCGTGTCAATCATGAGTTTCGAGCTGTTACTAAGAGTACTCCAGTGCTATAAACAATCATCCATCCTTTGTAACATGCCTCGCTCCTCAAATGATTTGAAACGACGACGATCTATAACTTATTCATTCCTCTAGAGATCATGGTATTTATACGGAATGCCTCATTGGATACACTCGCTACTCAGAGAGGAAAAAAAAACTTTAGGGGAAGGAAATTTTGTGAATCATCAATTTGTCATAGTAATATTAATGATATGTCATATAAGTGTTAGATCGTCATGTCTAATTAATTTTTTTTGTGCTAAGTGTTCTATCCAGATCTTCAGAGATAGTTTGTTTTTTTTTGCGAGAATTGATTATTAGTTGGCCAAAACTGTAATCATTACTGAAAAGTTTCTTACTAAGAAACATAGAAACTTGATCATGGAATATATATTAGCTGTAATATTCAGCAACCATCATAATACAAATGAAGGCATCCCAACTAAGAAATGAATGAAGAGAGAATAATTTGTTTGATAATGGGAAAAAAAAGGCTAAATTACACGTTTGGTCACTCAAATTATACAAATCTTTCACGTTTGCCACCCAAATTACTTTTCTTTCTTATTCGCCACTACCTTTACGAATCGTTTCACGGTTGGTCACCGGCCGTTACACTCCGTTAAGTTTGTCCTACGTGGCAGTCAACTATAAAGTTTGACCGTTAACTAGATGACGTGGAAATTAAAAAAAAAATAAAAAAAATAAATTCTTACCACCTCATCATTGCACTTATTTTGTCTATATAATTTAACATTTTAATAATTTAATAAAATTTAATAAATTACAAAAATGAACAAATCCAAATCCTCATCATCCTCACCCTCACCCTCACCATCCACTTCAATCACCAATCAACAATCAACAAGCCATCGGAGCAACGACCCGTTGGCCTTTTATTCTTTGATTGGGAAAACTGGTCTCAGTGGCGGTTGGAGAGGGTTCGCCATTGATCACGAGCTGGTCGATGGAGACGCATTGATTTTCCAGTTGGTCAGCCCCACAGAGTTCAAGATTGAGCCAACCCTTTTTACCTAAACACTATCCCTCTGTGTATTGGGTCTTCTTTTGGTCTCCAATGATATGAGAGGGTGGTTTAGTGAAGTTCATGTATGGTGGCTCAGGTATATATCATTAGGGCAAATGAAGTGGGAGGCGATTCTGAGAAGGAAAACCAAGATGAGGAGGAGGATGAGAAACATGGAGTCGCCAAGACCAAAGGCGTTCATTTTTCTTTGATTTGTACAACCCCAAATTCGAATTCATCGCCACCTCCGCCAGGTAAGCATCCACCAGCCGAGCCACCTTCGCAGCCGCCGCCCCTCCACTCCTCGACGACGGCTTGGACGCCGCCTCCTCCATTCCGACGAACGTCTTCACGAGCCACGTCACCAGCTCAACGTCGAGCACCGTGGCGCACGTGTGGCTGAACGACGGAATAATCAGCTCCTTGAGCGACGCCGTTTCCAGTTGCCACACCACCCTCGCTTCCAGCTCGGCTCGGTACCCGGGCTCGGCTCCCACCATGTTCGCCGTGCGGAGGAGCCGGAGCAGGAAGTTGCACGGCACGGAGTCCTTCTCCGGGGGAAGGAAGTCCCACCATGTTCATTTTTGTAATTTATTAAATTTTATTAAATTATTAAAATGTTAAATTATATAGACAAAATAAGTGCAATGATGAGGTGGAAAGAAATTTTTTTTTTTTTTAATTTCCACGTCATCTAGTTAACGGTCAAACTTTATAGTTGACTGCCACGTAGGACAAACTTAACGGAGTGTAACGGCCGGTGACCAACCGTGAAACGATTCGTAAAGTTAGTGGCAAATAAGAAAGAAAAGTAATTTGGGTGGCAAACGTGAAAGATTTGTATAATTTGAGTGACCAAACATGTAATTTAGCCGGAAAAAAAAGAGGAAAGAATTATTGAAGGCCATGTTCTTTTGAAGATTCCTCTTCATAGTCTCGAGCTAGAGGAATATTGTTCTAGACTGGGGGGAAAATTAACATTTGTGTCATGAAAAAATGGTTCTACTTGGATCAAAATTCCACATCATTCATCATTTACCTTAAAACTCCATCTATGACTTGCCGAAAAAGTATTCCGAAAATTGGTACGTGACAACTATTCAGATTTCACATATGTAGGAATCGAAAAACTCATACCAATATTTTTCTGATTCCACGCTTTATACAAAATTCCGTACTCAAATCAAACATTTTTCAAGTTGCTACTGTTCCCAAATCCTTTGAGCTCAAAGGACCAACCAACTGAGTCAGGTTTAGTTAGGTTCATGTCCTCACTGTGACAATACAAAAGAACTCTGAAAAGTCTAGTGAAAAAGGGGCACTAAGAAAAGTTAAGCCATTTGTTTCCATATTAGCTAACAATTCAAACTTTAGTGCCTAATTTTCTGTGATTAACTCGCCTAATGATTGTCCTTTTACAAAACCGCCCACTTTCCCAAAGCTTAAGAGCAACATTAACAAGACATAATTATTACTCATCTTTGGAGGTATTTGGCGCCCATCATCGATTGTGTTCGAGGTACACGAGGGGGGCAAAATCAAAGTTTTGTTCTTTTGTCGAAACTCATTATGTATAAATTAAGGTTTTGCTTTGTGGAATCGATCATTGATGTGTGAATTGTTATGTGTCATGAGTGTTTTTACATAGTGGTTAGTGTGTATATTAAGTCTCTAAATTTGAGGTTTTCTGAAAGAACCCGAAATTTGAGAGTTTTATAGTTTTGTGATATGCTTAGAGTCGGCAAAGAAGAGAGTTTTTTGGACATATGCGAAAAACCGAATATAAGGTTCTTTATAATGCTAGATAGGATTCGTTCCATTTCGTATTTAGTTGAAAACAAGTTACAAAGAAGAACATCAAGTGCGGAATCAAAGTTTTGCGATGACACTAAGATTTAGTTCGATGAAAATGAAAAGAGAGCGAGTCTGTAATCCCCTATAGGTGACAATAGGTTGGGTCGGCAACCCCCTCTCCCCTCCATAACTTCTTCTTCTTCGGGCTCACCTCTCGCTGGAGTTAGTTTTCTTTCGAAAAACGAGTTCACATGTCTAGGCCGAAGAAGTTATAAGTTCGACTTCTCTTTCCTAGCTACTTCGACTATATGTCTCCATGTCCTCCCATTCTTCAGATGATTCAGTTGAAAAAGTTAGGTTGTCAACTTCACATCGGAACCATTTCATCACCATCTCAAACATTCTAAATTATTAGGACCAATTTCTGGTTTCTAATTTTTTTTTTGGATATTTTTGGGGCCACGAAGTTCATGTCTTTGAAGGTATTCCGCTTGAATGTGACACGATGGCATATAGTGTATTTCATAGTATACTGGTTTGAAGGTATGGGTCAAATTGGTGGTTACCGACATCATTAAAATAATTAAGAATGCACATTAACCGAATTTGGGAAGTTGTTGCTGTTCATGGCTTAGTCAAACCTAATTTAATCAATTTATTTCCTATTTTTCTTGGCTAATTATCCATCTACTTATGCATGCATGGTTATCCGTGTTTTACAAGCTACATACGTACTCACATACGTATTCAATTGCGCCAATACACAAGACATCAATTGGTGAGCTAGGGGGACCAATACTCGGATATTAATTAAACTAAATTAAACTTAAGAAATCGCGTTGGTACGTAGTACACTCGAACTCAGCTCGAATCGATCAACAACTGTGCTGGAGTCAAAAAAACTGATCGAGGAGGCTAGAAAACTAATTGAGGTGGAGGGATTTGAACCATGCATGTTCATTGGGGGAGGGGGGCTAGAGCCTTACTAATTATTATGTTTCCGAATTTGTTACAAATTTTACATGCATTTGAAACTTGAAAGTTGAGGGGCTCCAGATTTAACATGGTTCGACAAAATTTTACATCGTACATAGCAACGCGAGCATTGCCGTTGGGAACAAAAATGCTACAATTTGGACGACACGTATCGTTCTCTCGAACCACATGGGTAGTATTGATCATATAAGTTGATGTCGTGGTAAGGTAGGAAGCCGAACTCATCAACAATTGGTCGAGGGTTCAAGCTTTTTGTTCTCTTTTTTTTTTTTTTTTTTTGCAACTGAAATGTCAACTACCTGCCACGACGAAATGACCTGCATATAATCGACCTTGATCATCTACATTCGTGAAAAATATCGGTGGTACTTCTGTTAGATGGGTCTATTCCATATATACTTCTTTATATTATAGGATAATAACTACTTATTAGCCAAACCTTTTTCGGATTCTTTTTTATTAGCCAAGTCTATCGAAATACTATGAATTAGCAAAATGTTAACTTCCAGTTAGCAATTTTGTTAGTAATATTGACTTGGCAACATGATACTGACTTGGAAGAGACACATGAAAGTCAACATTCCAAAAGTTTAATATTTTAACTAAAAAAAGAGTTATAAAATTATTAACGATAACGTAAAAATGGCTAATAATTTGATGTATTACGAAAGATTTGGCTAATTAATAGTATTTTAATAGGTTGGGTAATATAAAGGTATCTGAAAAAAATTTGGATAAAAAATAGATATTAACTATTAGTCTAAGTTGTTAAACTAGTTAGGCATAGCTAGGGACTAGGAGGTTGTAATAAATTAATTAATCTAATGAAAGATCTTAATTACAACCTGTGGGTACAAGCGCAAATCCATGCAATGCATGTATAGCATATGTATGCGTTGGTTGGATCAAATTTATATAAAAAAAGGACTTGAAGTTGACTTTCCATTGATTCAATGTACATTCAAGATCTTATTAGTTAGCTAGCTACATTAGGTAGAATCAAGGGCGATATATCTTTTCTTGATCAAAGTGTTTTAGTTGTTGTCGCCCACTAACTTCTTTTGTTGGAACTTCATTTATATAATGTGCAAATGCACCCAATCCACCCCTTGCCCTATACATGAAACTAGCACAAAACCTGATTTGAAATGGTTAACCAGTGACGAAGTCAGAAATCTAAATGAGATGGGTTGGTTTGAAACCGCCAATCGATTGGAATGGCTCGAACAATATATAATATATTTTGATCAATAATCACACGGTTATGTATCACCATTTGCTTCAACTGGATTGACATGAAAAGTTTTTATTGTGTGTGAGGGCGATAGGAAGGAGACAATGTTCCACCAAACAAGCTGCAAGCAAAGCTGGTGGGTCTCCATACTTCACAGCAGCTGCTGCAACTCTGTTGGTTAGGATTTTTCCTTTCCATTTCTTTCACTTGTTCCATTGAACCTTGAAATGCACCAAATCAAGAAGCTTTCTCCATCTCCTCCTTCTACTTTTATCACTCTTCCTCTGCCTTTCAAACATGGGTTCTTGAGGTGATCTCCAAAAAATTCACTAAAGAGTCCGGTCGAACCGCCAATACAGTATGAGATAGTTATAACATGATAAATTTGATAACTATGAGGTCTTTAATCAGATTATTATTATTATTATGAAATAGTGAGTGAACCAAAGCAACCAACGCCGTATTTCCGGGTGTGGTAAAGGTAAGGTACACCAAAACTTGTCACATTGTGGGCTAAAACAGAAAGATCCCCTTCCCTCCCCAAAACAATGATACAATTTGCTCTGTTTTGTTAATGAGTGGGTTTCTTCATCATATTCATTCATCCCAAATCTGGATCTGATTTGATCTGATCTCTGTGCTGCAGTTAGTTACAGCCGGCCAGCAGCAGAAACACTGAGACGAACAACCTTAACTGCCCTTTCCTTGGGATCTGAGAGAGCTTTTTGGACGGTCGTTTCATCTCTACAGAGATACCAAAACGACCAGATCTCATCTCATTCATCATCACCACCATCATCAAGCTGGTAAGTGGTAACTGATTTCCATTAGTGTCTGCTGGTTGCTGCATTAAAGTCTCTCATCACTGGTGGTGGTGGTGGGCTGGACCGTTGCACCACCCAATTACAAGTACACAAACTTTAGGGTCCATTTGTTTTCTTCCTTTCCCTCCTCTCTCTTTTTTCTCTTTGGTTAATGCATAACATAACAGGGGATTTATAGGACCACTTGCCCTTGTGGAGGGCAGAGCCAGAGAGGTTGGGGGGATGGCAGCACGGGGCCTGCAATTGGCTATCATCTCTCTTTGCTGCATTGCCCCCACTCCTCCTCCTCCTCCTATATGTATAACCTCCAATCTAGGTTGTTATAAACGCGCTGCTACGGATCGGGAAATCGCCGGAATCGACAAAGCAAGAATACGAAAGCGAGAATCGAAAACACGACACACGATTTACGTGGTTCACTAACACGATGTGTGTTAGCTACGTCCACGGGCGAGAGAGAGCCGATTTCACTATATCAAGGAGATTACAGATTACAGAGGAGAATGAGAAGTATTTATAGTACTTCTCCATGTGGGTCTAAACCTAATCCAATCTGACAAAGGAAACGGTTACAGACCAGGCCCATAACCCGAACCCAAATAACATTGAGCCCATTACCAGTCGTAGCGGCTGATAATCCGATTCAAGTCATATCAACAAATCTCCACCTTGACTTGAATCCTCTTCCTCTGAAATCTCTGATGTACTCTGCTCCTTCTCTCTCTCCCGCCATCAATGCCCCGTAGGGCGGAGTCACCCACTCAAGACATTCAGCAAGTCCAAGCAGTGTTGGAACTTGCCATGATGGAACCGGCTTCGTGAACATATCAGCAGGATTATCCGCGGTGCCAACCTTCTTCACCTTAATCCTCTTCTCTGTCCTCAAGAAATGATACCTCACATCGATGTGCTTAGTCCTCTCATGGTGGACTTGATACCTCACAGCGAGACCCCCGATTACCAGTCGTAGCGGCTGATAATCCGATTCAAGTCATATCAACATAGGTAGTATGCTCGAAACAGGTAGGCGCGTCGACGCGGGCTGATACTGTACATTCATGTGGATCTGGATGCATGTGCATATAGTCATATACAATCTTGTCAGTCCGCTGCAGGAACGAAGCGACCGTACGTCTTGTAAAAGAACACAAACGCTGTGTATCGATTCGGTGATGGACATTGTTGTGGGATGCGAGAAAGATCTGGACATTTCACTGTATCTTTTTTTATTGGATCGTGTACTCGTGCAATTTTCGTAAAATAGGAAAAAAAGCATATATCGAGTCAGTGATCGTGAGAGACGAGTGATCCGACGATATCAGCATGTTAGCAAAATGCTATAAACTCCAATTATCATCATCATCAGTGGTCCATTTGATATGAATCTCACAGCTATACTCACTTCTCTCTCTCTAAATAACTTTTGGGCCCCCAGCTACAAGTTTTTGGTTATGGTAGGGAGCTTGATAATGGACCACCCTATCTGAGTCTCATTAATCTTTTGGGTTTTGCTTTGAAGGTACTATACTGGGCATGCAGCAGGGAATTCAGAGAGTAGGATGGTCCAAAATGGTGTGTGTTCGTTTGTCAACAACTCTACTACTCTCTTCTCTTCTCTTCTCTCTGAGCTTTTCTTTGCAGGAAAGTGTGTGTTGTGTTGTTGTTGTGGTTCTGACAGTCTTTTATATGTAGTTTTGATTCGGCATGCAATGCCAACTGATACAGTACCTGCTGCCTGCTGCTAGTGCCTTTCTTGCATGTAACTATTGCACTGTCCAAGTCTCATCAGCCATTGAAACACACACACATTGTAGTTAAGTGATTCTTACTTCGAACCATTTCTCGTTGTGGCGATTAGGGTTTATCTTTGTTTCGGTGGAGGGGTCTCTAATCAAACCTCACCAGGAAACCATTATGGATAATGAGAGATCTAGCAGAGAAAGGATGACAGAAATAGAGAACTCTGCTCATTTCATCTTTTGTGATTCATTTGATCCTGAAACCTCGCCTTTGTTGAAGATAAACGAACAAATGGCAAACCTGGGCCATCCTTGAAACGCTGGCCCAATTGTCCCTAGTCCAACTATACTAAGCTGAGGCCTGTATCTGGCTCTCCTGGCCCAACTAAGAACACCCAGCAAGCTTTCCTATGGAGAGCTTTGTGCTCTTGCTTTTGTATTCTGTACTTAACGAGAATCACAAAAATGACAGCTGCAGCTTAATGATTCCCTGACCTCAAACAGTATCAAGCAAAGGGCTGGCAATCCAAATGCTGACAAGGATGTTATGTGAAATGGCTTCAATATAGAGGCTTCTCAAGAATGATAGTTCAAAAAGTCTACATCACAACTTTGTGAGATCCTGTGATCAACTCTTGTGAAGAACAATGCAGCTGCAAAAATTTGGTGACTAAACTAGAATAGGAGGAGGATGAATTTTTCTCTCTTTCAAACTCCTGTTTACCAAGAATGCAAGTTGCAGCGAAGGACGACGGATTCTCTATATAGTTAGCTTGTTAGACTGCCAGCAGAGGCTAAACAAAGTGCTCGGTTGGATACTCATGCTCATACCCGTTATAATCGTAGTATAGCCTTTCTCCCTTTGGTATATCTCTGATCGCAATCAGCAAAACTCGACACTCGCCATCGACATCGTACCTCACACATTTCAAGTTCTGCTTCCTTTTCCCCTCGCTGCAGTGCACAGCATCAAACAAGATTTAGGGTGACTAGTCCCTTTTTCGACAACCTTTGGAAGAGGCCTAAAAAAGTCAGACCATGAACTTACGGGGTATGATTGTTGATTCCATTGATGAATCGAGCTACATTTCCGTGCTTATAAGGGCAAACGACGAGGCTTTTGGCAGGGTCATCAGCCGAGAGCAGTGTCATCATGCTGTCCCCGTCATCGTCTTCACGTTTCTCCAAGTAGTCAACATCACCAACGTACTCCGTGACAATGGTCAAGTCTTTGATGAATCTATCTGCCTCCACTGTGAACCTGCTTACAATTTGAGCAACGAGATTACACAAGAATCTCCTTTGATACATAACATTCTGCTCTGGTCAGTAACATTAATCACACATACACATATACCCTTCCAGAGGATCTAAAACGACCATAAGTGGTGGGCATTCTCCTCTATCCATCATTCTCTTGCACAGATTTAAGGTTTGGGTGTCTTCCTTTGACAAGACCTATAAAGTTGTCATTCTGAAAATGTCAGGATTCTGAAGTCTGAACCCTATCAATCTCCAAAACAGCAATTTGGCCAAGAAGATGATGAATCAACAACTCTCTGTTGCCATATCAGTAACTTTCAGGATTTTATTAAACTAAGCTGAAGGCTACTAATAAAAATAGACTGCCACTAAGACCAATTTTAAAGTCACCTCCTTATACGTCTATCCATATTGGCTTCCAATAATGGAACATTGCATCCTGCTATTTGTCTCAAAAACTCAAATGGGCAATTCCCAACAAATATATAATCAATCCCGATAATGTCTACCTGCATTCCTGCCTTCTCAAGAGATGCTCGGTTTGCAGACCGAGGTGCCATGCCTCTTCGGTAAGTAAGATCATCAGAAAACCTTGTTCCAGAGGCTAGCAATGCTGTGGCAAGTGATCTCATCTGTTCCAACCTTCTGTCAGGGTCCTCACTTGGGTTGAAAGGCAATAGCTTCCTTCTCTTTTTGGACATGACTAAACTTCCCGCTCTTTTCCGCTTCTTTGTGCTATCTGCAATAGCTCAAAAGCCCCGAACTTACTTACAGCTCGAAACTAAGGAAGCAAAGCAAGATCACAGTCTCGTGCATCTATCCAAGAACATTACTTACCCTCAACCGGTTTCTTTCTTGGTTTTGAAGGCTTCTGGATGCGAAAGAAGTCGACAATTTTGGTCTGGACCAGAGGAAATGCTGTTCCAATTTCCAAACCAATCAACGAGACATGCACAAGTAGCATCAGACCCATAACAACAAGTTTAGAACTTTTCTTCAATTCTTCGCATAAAAATAATTACTTGAAGTCCGCCTATCGAGCAAGCCAAATGGACAGCAATCTCGTGGCCCGATGATTATATTAACATAAAGCCCCCATCTTTCTTTTGGGTCTAGCTGTGCAGCCTAGTCAATGGCAGGCAAACTAGTTACGGTGACCTTCTCAGGATTCAGATTCAACATGCAGAGCAAAACCCACTTGCCTTGCTAAGCTACCTGATTTTTCACCTAGGCAACATAACTTACTAAAACCCTCGCCATTGTGAGAAAGGAACCAAGCGATTCGAGTGAAAATTGATGCTAGCACTGCACACATTGCAGCTGTAATGGATCAATACCCAATACCCACAAGAATATTTCAATTCCCGGGTACGATACCAAAGCAGACAGTGCAAAATCATTCGACCAACATCAGTACTACAAGGGCGGAATGCTAAAGAAATGAAAAAAAAAGGAGGAACAGGAAGCGTTCAGGAACCTACATTTGACCTCCTTCTGGTTAGAGCAAGAAGGGCAGAACCAGGAGCCTTTTGGGACGGAAACGAGAATGGGTCTCAAGCAAAAGAGGTGGTACCCTCTGTCACATTTGTCGCAGAGAAGCAGCTCGGCCGGAGAGTCACCGGATCCGCATTCCTCGCAGCACAGGTCGTCGTATTCGCCGTCGTCATCGGATGAATCTCCGGGTAATGGGGCCGGAGCAGCGGGGCGCGGAGCTTGCGTCCGCCGCCGGAGAAACATTGGGGCGGCGGGGGAAGAAGCCATGATCAGAAGCTGCGTTTGATGGGTTAGGAAAGAATGGAATGGAGGAAGAGGAATGGTCTGCTTGCGGAGCGGCTGAGTGCTTTTACGCGGAAGCCACTCCCCTTTGTTGGACGTTGTAAAATTTAGGTGGGTGTCAGAAATAATCTTTTTCATTTCTCGGCCGATAATTGGATTTCGTGTTTGTATTGATGTCCTTAATCAAGTTTAGCAAAAATATAAAATTGTAACTTAACTAAGAACCAAAAGTTAAGAACAAAATAAGTTCTCTTTAATTTTTTCATAAGCATATTAGAAACTTCATCGGTAAACCTACAATAAAATTTGTGGTTGTGGGTTAGATTGATCTACTTTCTTATTGGTTCTTTTTGATTTTATTGTTGGCTTCAATCTCCTTTCATTTGTCTTTTAACTCTTTTCAACTTATATGAACTCACAAGTATTTTACTTAAGGGTTAAAGAACCCTGAAGTATATCATCATTTGTTCGCTCGTACTAAATTTGTGTTTGGTCGTCGTTCTCAAACTATCCCTTGAACCCTTCTCTAGACTTCGAGCCCTAACCTCAGTCATGGGCCTCAAAAAGGTGTGGAGATTCGAAGGAAATATGATTTTGGTTTATATTGGCAATGATCGTTTTGGTATTGAGATTTAATGTTTGTTTCTTTGGTTAACTTTTTGTATTTGTTTCTGATCGATGAAACGCATACATTGACAATTCTTGTTTGGTTCTATTAAAGGAAAAAACGAACATATTAAATCTCATCATCCTTTTGTTTGGTATTCGTTCGGATATGAAAATAATGTTTAAATGGTATTGGTTTTCGACATGGAGATTTCCTATTTAAATCTTATTATCGAGAAAAACCGCCTACATAATGTACTAATGTACCCACCTATGTGATTTACAATAATTTGTTTACAATTTTCAGTATTTTTTTAATCATGGTGGTATGATATTATTTATGAGTTATAACTTATGACAAGAATTATAATTGTGGTTACAAATTTACAATTTCACTACTAACATGGGAAATGTTAAATATGTTTGGTAAATTATCCGAGCCTACTAACCTTCATCTTTATTACTTCAAGGGCTTGAAGCCCATGCAAGTTACCAGATCAAAGCCCATAATTCATTCATGCAATCGAGGTTTTCTCCTCCTCGTGTTTGTCCGTCTACCCCGCCCTCCGCCATGGCGGCCGAGAACCGCAGCTCCGTTCGTATCTCCGCCGAGATACATCCAGAGATGAGCCCGATCACCAACCTCGAAGACGATCTCCTGGCAGATATTCTGATTCGGCTCCCAAACCCCAGACACGCCGGCCGATGTAAATCCGTCTGCAAGCGGTGGATCTCTTTGATCTCCAGTCGCTACTTCAATCGCCGATTCGTTTCACACCACCAGAGCAGGTACCAACCTCTGTTATTCAGCAATCTAGACTCGCAATCGGTCATCCAGAGCTTTCTCCCGGCAATGCCTGCTGATGAAGAAGTTGGCCGGCGTTTCTTCGTTTGTGATTCTTTCAAAGACTTGGTCTTGTGCGGGTTTACGGATCCAGGGTTTTGTAATGACGAATTGGGCAGAACGTATATTGTTCTGCAATCCGTTTACGAAGCAATGGGTTGCGCTTCCTTTGGCGCATGAAAAAGAGAACGGGGTACGATCCATCGGTTGCCAAGTTAGTTCTTAAGCCCCTCATTTCGCATGATCTCGATCTCGGAGATGGCCAGGTATTTGCTTACTCTTCCAAGTGTCAGTTCAGGGTGGTTGTACTGTATAGATATCGCGGCTCTCTTAGATTAGACGTGTTTTGTTCTGAGTCTGGAGAATGGAGGAAGGAAGTTGCTGTTCATGATGAAATTTACGGACTGTTTGATGGTAAATTAGCTTTAGTACAATGGGGCTTTGTTTCTGGCGACTGGTAAAGTGCATGCTGGTAGGGCTGGAGTTTTCCTGGTTTCGCTCGATCCTTTTCGCCTTGATATGCCTCTTACGCATTATGTGGATGCTTCAACAATCCTGATGGCACCCAAGACCGCTTGGAAAGTCATCGTCTCGCAGGGTGCTTTGCACTTGCTTGCAGTCAAGCATGGAACTCCTGGTTGCTTAACGGTTTGGAGGCTGGAAGAAGGTTGCAATTCTTGGAGGAAACAATATGAATGGCTGGTTAACACACCAGTAAGGGGTAAATTTGAATTTGACAAATTTTTCCCAGGTTATCTGCATCCAGACAAGCCGGAAATTGTCTTCTTGGAATATCGGGATCCCCGTGAAGAGAGGTCTGGTATCTACTCCTTTGATTTGTCAAGGATGGCAGGAGGGAAAGAGATGGAGTTCTATGCAGGATACAGGCGAGGTATCCCTCGCTGGAAGGTGCTCCAGTCCAGGGTCCCTTGTTGGCCTACTCAGATTCCAAGGTACGAGGAACTGCGAGGCATGTACGATGGAAGCTATGATTGTTGGGTTCAGAACAACATAGCAAACAAATCTCCATCGCCTCAATTGGAATACAAATGAAATGGAAAAAGGAGGAGCAGGAGACTGTCTGGAACCTACATTTGACATTCTACTGGTTAGAGCAAGGAGGGCAGAACCAGGAGCCTTTTAGGTGAAAATCATTGGAGCCTCTAGCGATTTTGAAGTTAGATCACTGGAGTTCGTAGTGATTTAGCTAAATCGCGTTCATTGGCAGCGATTTAGGTGAAATCGGTTTGGCCTCCATCGATCTGCCACCAAATCGCTGAACACTGCAGTGATCCAGACCAAACTTGTCCATGTTGGAAAGTTTTTGTGCAAGTTATGTATAATGGGAGGTCATTTTTGTAATTGTAGAATTTTGGAGAAAAACCTAAATTTTAGGTGGGTGTAAGAAATGAGCTATTTATTGGCTGATAATTGGATTTCAAATGTATATGGATTTCCTTAATCAAGTTTAGCAAAAAGATAAATGGAACTTAACTAAGTATGGAGTTCAAGACCCCCGCCAAGGGAGGAGAACAAAACTGCAAAATCCGAGTATGCAACAAGAGTTGAAGTTTCATTCCTGCTTAGTGCCAGCAATGCTGGTAACGTATTGATTCAGGCGCTGCCCGAAAATCCGAGTAGCGAATGAATCTGCCACATGTCGCCTGGCATCGCGTCCCATACTCTTCGTCACATCTGGATCCTCGAGGAATTTGGCCATGGCTTGTGAAAATGCTTGAGCAGTAGGATCACAGAGAAATCCAGTGACTCCATCCTTGACAGACTCGACGGGGCCTCCACTGTTGCATGCAATGACAGGTTTATGAGCTGCCATCGCCTCGATTGGGACAATGCCGAAGTGTTCATCCTGCTCGTTTATCACCAACATATTAGAACCAGAAAACAGAGAAGTGGGGAAAAGAAAATGGGTCATATGGATTCAGAATGAATCCTACCTTAGGTGTATAGATAACACATAGACATTCTGAGAGAAGATCATTTCTTTCGGCGGTGGAACAAGACGTCACAAACTTGACACGATCGGACACTCCTTGTCTATCTGCTAGTCTTCTAAGCTCCTCCAAGTATTCAACATTCTCTCTCAAACGCTCGTCGTATCCGCCTGTGATGGTTTACAACAGAATTCCTCAAGTCTACTATGTACAACTGATTCTCTAGGATAATAATTTCACAGTCTACAGCGAAAAGAAGCTAAGTTCTTCGATAGAAAAATAAACAAGGACAGACTTGCCTGCAATAGTCAAGGAAGCATCCCTCAGCTTATCATTACCAAGTTCCCCGAGGCTGTGAAGCTTGGCAAAGGCAGAAATTGCTAATTCTATGTTCTTCTTCCTTTCAAAACGGTTGATGGAGAGAAAATTCAACCTATTTCACATCAACGCAAATGAAAACCAAGCCGTATAAATGGTTGGGAGAAAACTTTATGAAGTAAAATATTGTAGTACTGGAAAGATTTGAAAGATAGACAGGCATGTCAGTTACTTGGAAGAATGAGGTTCTTCAAACTGCTCCACATTAACAGCTGGATATAGAACAGCAGGCTGAATTCCTCGTGCGTGAAGATGCTTAAATGTTCGAGCAAAAGTAGATGCAGTGAATTTGCTATTTACAAGTATCATATCTGCCATTCCTGCAACCCATACGGAGAGTGGTTTTAGAATGATTTAACACAGAAGTTCAAGGAAGGAGAATCCAAGCCAAGAATGAGTTAGAAAATGAACAGAAAAAATAATATTGTAGTCACACACCGGTTGTTGTTTCTTCCAAGAAGTCGATAGGTTTTCTATATAGTCTTCGGAGTGCGGTTGTGTGTTGAGCCAGCAAGAGGTCTGGAAAATGACAATAAAACACCACCTGGGTAAAACAAGAGCATACATCAAAAGCTACATACAAGGGATCTCTGAGAATGAAGCTAACAGTTTTGCAGGGAAATCGATATGTACCTTTGTTGCTCTTTTGAGTTTCAACAATGGGATTACAACAGAAACTTGATCCACAAGTACAACATCAAAAGATGGCCAAAGGAACAACATTCCAAGAGCAACCAAGAGGCACCTCAAGTATGCACATACAGCATGAAGTCGGTAGAATACATGTCGGGGAAGAAAGGAACCATATACGGTAACTGGAAAAGTGCCTGCAAAGCCAATTGGCACGCATTACATTGACATCAAGCCATCACGCTGAACACAATACACCAATCTTCCAAACGAAAAGAAGAAGAAAAAAATCAGAAAATGAGAAACTTCTCCTTCTCGTTAAGGCAAATCGAAAGAGGTAGTCACACCAAAGAAAACAAAAGACGTAGGAAACTGAAAACGATCTTAAAAACGAAACCACTTATTACTGGTCTATCAACATATACCAGCAAGTAAACCCACTTATGAGTTCAGCAAGGAGAACAGAATAACAAGGGGAGTAGAAGTCAGACAGTACTGAAATCCATGATTCCAATTACCTGCAACAGTTTCCTCAAAGCACCTGTTCTTGTCATGGTGAGCTGTAAATACATGAACCTTGTGACCCTGGGATGCAAGTTCAACAGCAGCATCAACAATCAACCTTTCAGCTCCACCTACAAAGTACGAAGATGGGTCGAAGAAACAAATTGAACATCAAAGAACAGGAAACTTCAAAGTGATGCATAATGCATAGGCAGTTTAGATACAGAATCGGTCAAACGAGTACGGTAACAATCCTTCAACAACCTCAAAGTAAATGACAACAAAAAAGGTCATAAATGAATATATCTTTTAGTTTTACCTATTCCAAGGTCAGGGTGAAGAATGGCGATATTCAACTTGGAGCTTCGCTTGAAGTCCATTTCTCTCTGATTCCGTTTCCAAACCGATGACTTGAAGAAAAGCTGCCTGCTTTCTGGTTCAGAGTGTTTTCCAAGCTTCAGTAGAATTCATGATCCAGGTAATATGCCCAAATCACATTGAAATTTGAAACTAACATCTAGCATCTTGATTGTATATCCTAATTTCCTCGAACAACATTAAGCCACGCCTTCATCGGCTAATCAGACCCAGAAATGCCTAATCTTTACTAGAGCATAAGTCTCATCACAGCTCGAAACACTAACCTCCGTACCAGGCAACCAAAACAAGAGCTACGGCGATGAATTCGCCGATCTACAGCAGCAGCAGCTGATTCCCGAGTTAACTGGCTCTCTTTCCACTTCCTCCGGTATCTAGCTCCTCGTAGATCCAGTCGACTCCCCGATTCCAGTCGGAATTGATTCGGCAGCTTCTGTCCGGCAACTGCGCCGGCAATTCTTCCGCCTTCGTCAACCGCTTATTCACTCTTCTTGCTTCCCGGTACCCGTTTCCTCCTCTTTCCTGAAACTTGAGATATCGCCTTATTGGGCCTTATTGTTGTTTCTAGCGACTGGACAATATTTTGTTTTGGTTCTAACAGGGCAGAGTTTTGGGCCGCGTTGGCCTCTTTCCCCAATTGCAGACCGTTGAGAGAGTGAGAGAGAGAGAGAGGGCTGAAAAGATTTTGTTTTGCTGAAAAAGATTGCCTTGCTGCGTTCGTACAATGGTTCCTCTGTTTCCCCAGCCTAGTTATTCTGCTAACTTGAAAATTCGTATACTAACTAATATCCAAAATATATGATCGTAATACAAAGAGCAATCGACTAACTGCACGACGCCGGAGATCCTGTTCGGACAGTAAGAGAACAGAGCATTCTTAGCGGCCCTTAAACACTTTGCGCAGGGCTCCCCGTAGCAGAGCGAGCGCGCATACACGCCAGGGTTCCCCGAAGGAGACTGCGCGTCGACGGAGCTGTAATTCGGACCTGTGTTCTCCTCCAGGTAGTGGAAAGCATCCTTCAGGTCGTCCTTGTAGCCGGAGTAAGGATATTCTCCGCCGTGTGTGCAGTCCAAGTACACTAAGCTCCGATCACCCTTATCCTCCTCGTCGTCGGCGGCGGCGGTTGGGCAAAATGCGACCATGCCGACGCCGGCCAGGAGGAGGAAGCGGAGGAGCGCCGACGAGGGCGACTTGCTAGGGGGAGATGAGGAAGAAGAAGGACCCATTGTTCCTTTTTTTTTTTGAGTTTCTGTTTTGCTGAAAGGCTGGGGGTGATCGTAATCAGGGGAAAACAGGGGAGGCCAATTTATGGAGGCAGAGTGAGCTTCGTGATCTACGGTGGCCGTGGAAATCAAAGGGGTGGGTGGTTTATGTGCGTATGTTTTTCGTCTTTGGTTGCAAGGTATCAATCTAAACGGTATAATAAACTGTTATGCGTCACTTGATTCGCTGTAATTCTTGTTCTGTAGACCAGATCGTATAGCAGAGTCCTGATCAACGGAGTTTTCAGATTTTCCGGTTTGGATGGCACCTCCGGCCGATTGTGTTGTGCTCTCCAACCAATGATCAACCATGCTAATGGCGACAACTAGGGCGGGAAGTTTGGTACCGATATTTGAAATATACCGAATATAGTACCGAATTTGTCTATATTTGGTATTATTGAATACACGTATTATTTTTTTGGATTGAGATTGAGATTGAATTTCAATTTCTTTATTGCTCTTAATGATACCGATGACCATTGTCGAGTCCACACACAAAATAATAGTCGTGTATCCTTATTTAATCCATGTGAGGGGTGGTCAGTCTCACCTTCGTCGCTCTCAATTATGCTCTAGTGATCGAGCAGGTATCCAGATTGATGGTAAAGGCATCGTGGCATCGCCTCCAGATGATCTCTAATCAACCCTCTAGCAATTGTCTTCTCCATTGTCAATATCAGACAGCCATGCATGTTAGACAGGAAAAAAAAGAGGGGAACATTGTCTAACTCACGCTCGATGAACTTCTTGCTCATGCAACATGTAGAGTCAATAGATAGCACAAAGGCAAAACTCCTTTTAAGTGAAGACGGATCAAACACTAACCCGATATGTGTCCCCTCTGCAACGGAGGGATCAATCTTTTCTTGCGTTATCAAATTTCTTGCAAGACTTCGCTCCATGTTAGACACTAGCTTATTATATCCACATGTCAGAGGTGACATCGCTTAGGTCAAAACATGTCATACTTAGTGCAGATTTCCTTCAATTAGATCCTTAAATCAGTAAATTATATCGTACATACTCGATCACTATGAAGATCACTCAATAACTCCCTACAGCTACAAGTATGAGCGTAGTTTCTTCAATCCTCATATTACGAGTCGATCCAATCCAACAGGTTAATTCCCCTAACTCAAAGAACCAAGATGCATATGCTACTATTGTATTACACACTCTAGATTAAAGCCGCAAATTGTATTAGTGGATCAAATACCACGATACGTTCTTATCCTTCATCAATTCATCATACACCACAACCCCATTAATTCATTATTCAATTCATTTTGGGACTTTCCCGTCTGTCTTTCGTTCTGTCTTGTCATTTTACATTTCTTTAAATGTCAGTCTTGAGTGTCACAGTGGGAATCAATTTTGTCGACATCTTTGATCCTTTCCCCGTCCCAGTCATCAAAACTCCAATTCTCCCAATTCGCCGAAGAAAATGCCGTCTTTACTCGGAAAGTAAGTAAAGCTCAATCAATCAAATCTTGCACGCCAACTACTTGATTCCGTCCTCTGCTCCACTTCTCAACTGAATCATCTCTCTTCCAGTACCAGCAATCCCTTTCGGTAATCTAACTCAACCAAAACTCCTATTTCTCGCTCTGTGCTTCAGCTTTACAAACCACTCGAACTGGGTTCTCACTGATTCATCTTAAACTCTCTGGGTTTGTGTCTTCCCGACGAGCAGAAACCTGGTCGCCGGAGCTGGGAATTGGCCGATCAATGGCGGAATTCGTGGTGGGTCCTCGCCTCTACAGCTGCTGGAACTGCAGAAATCATGTCTCACTGCACGATGATATAATCTCGAAGGCTTTCCAGGTGTGAAAATTTTACTTCTTTCGTTTCCCCTGAAACATGGTCGTCGGAGCTGTTAATCACGGCAGCTTGATCGGCCGCCACTGTTTCTCTGTGTCTTTTTTTTTCCTTTCTTCTGATTAGGGGAAAAATGGCCGAGCTTTTCTCTTCTCTCACGCGATGAACGTTGTTCTGGGTACCAAAGAGGATCGGAACCTGTTGACCGGCCTCCACACCGTCGCCGACATCTACTGCGGCGATTGCCGTGAGATTCTGGGCTGGAAGTACGAGAGAGCCTACGAGGCTTCCCAGAAGTACAAAGAAGGCAAGTTCATCCTTGAGAAATGCAAGATTGTCAAGGAGAACTGGTAGCAAAAACTAAAACTAGACAGAGCACTCTGTTTCAAAGGATTCTGCTTTTGAGTATTAGGAACTTTCAGATTGGTGATTTGTTTATAAATATGTTCGTTCATCATTCTTCCCATGTCTAAAAATAGCTATTCGTTTTGGATTTCTCATGTGTAAAACTGTAAATACAACTCTGATTCACCACCCCAAAAGTCTTGTTCTGTACCTAAGACTGTTGTGTGTGATGTTCTAGTAATTTGACAGAAGAAATGAAGTGCCTTTCAATCTTCATTACCAGGAAGCTGTTAACCTCTTCATCCATTTTGATCAGAAAGATAGATAATAGAACAAACGAGCAGAGTTAGTCAGCCAAGTCAGGTTCTTCGACTGTATCTATTAAGAGAAATCCCTTCTACTAGGGTAGTCCTATGTACTAGTACTAATACTTAGAAGAAGAGAAAGGGCTTCAATCTCCATTACCTAAGAACTGTGAACCCTTAAACTGCAGGATAAGTAAACCAAGCTTGCAGGGGCTTTGACTGTTGCTGATAAGAGAAAATGGCCCTCTACTAAAGCTTGAAATTTAGGGTAGTCAGTGTATCTTCTTTGAGCACACTTTTGCGGGATTCAAGAAGATCACTAAAGCAGCTTAGTGTAGACAGATCAACAGCAATCCTGGACAGCTCGTGAGCGTCTCAGCGATCTCGCTAACATCGATCGTTTCCCCTTCATCTCTACCCTTACCTAACACCTCCATTTTCCCAAACTTGTCACTTTCCATCTTGGCCAGCTTCCACTGCTAAAATTAATACGACGAGGTTGTGAATCTCAGAGTTCAAACCGATACAGAACTCATTACCAGAAGAACAGGTGAGCTTCTGCATTCATTGATCAGTAATATTAAGAACAAACTACAAGATTAGTCATCATCAACTAAGGGTGTTCGATTGTTGTTAATAAGAGAAATGCATCATTCCCTCTACTGCTTACTAAGCTAATCTCTAGACAGTTCAACAACAGCCTTGCCCAACTGGAGCCTAGAAACAATCTCCTTGATGATCAGAACAAACTACAGGATTAGTGATGATCACCCAAGTAAGGGTCTTCGACTATTGTTAATAAGAGAAATGCCTTAAACCTGAATCCCTAAGCTAACCTCTGAACAATTCAGCCCTAGACTGTTCGACAGCGATCTTGGCCAGCTCGAGCCTAGAAACAATGTCCTTAATAATCTCTCCAATGCATTTTGCCTTCCCAGCAATCTTGCCCACTTCATCTATATTCATTTCCAATACCTTCAGCGTCTGAATCTTCACACCTTCCAGCTCAGCCACCCTCATCTTCCTCTCTTCAAGCTCCATCTCCATCTCTTTGAGCGCCTCTCTAGCATCTTCAACTCGTGATTCCAGCTGCACCATGAAGCTTGCTTCATGCTGCAACTCATCGTCGAGCTTATAAACGGCCTTCGATCCCTTGGTAATTTCTTTGCTGAGCTGCTTGTGTCGAGCCAGCACCCCGATGTTGTCCTCATTGTCTTGCAACTCTTTCTCTGTAGCAGAGAGTTGAGAGCAGTAGCAGATATATGCCCTGACTCCATCATAGAAAGACCGGTAATCAGCACCGTGGACTTCCAGAGATGCGAAGGCGCTGTTCGCCTGTTGTATCATACCGTTCACATCGTTGGGAGATGCTGTTGTTAGGAAAGCAACGAGGGCAGTCTTCACATTGGGGATGGATAATGCGTAGGCTTGGCGGATTTGTGAGCTTAGCTGCTTGGCTTTGGCCGGGGAACCTGGAGCTGGAGGTCCGACCAGTTTGGACAGTGCATGATGAGGCTGATGTTCCTTCGGTGGTGGAGTTGCTTCATCTGCCTGGAAGAATGCTTCCTCTACCTTTAAACTTAGCTGCAGATCACCACGACCTCCGTTACCCACGTTTTGATTTTCTTGCGTTGCTGGTTTGGGTGTTGACGTTTCCCTTTTGATTCTTTTCTGTTCTGATCTCTTGTTTGTCCCAGAAGAGCTTGATTGTGGACTTCCGGTGAACAAAGGTTTCTGAGGGAAAGGAAAAGCAAAGACAAATCACCATCAACAACAAAATAGCATTATAGCTTTGGAAGATCCATACAGAAAACCTATCTAGTTCTTTATGAGAAAGGCTTCAGTCCTCGATTTGTATTTGGAACCCAAACGAGGGAACTTTAAGACAACAATGTTTCCATTTACTCACCTACATCTTAAAAACCTCTGATTCTCAAACGTATGCACATGCATCTAGCCCTCATACTAACAAGATCATGAAGAAACAACAGAATCCACAAACTGAACCAGTCGTGTAGCTAGCTAGGTTTTCGACAGCCTAATCTTAGAAACAAAAGTCTCTATTCGGAACCCAAATGTAGCCATGTAGGAAATCGCTTGCAAGGAAACCCAAATTGCAGACCAAAAAAGAGAGGGATTCTGAAAATGGAAGACATTACCGTGGGTGTATCATCCCCTGCAGTAGGTTTCCTGGAGTCGATGGTGGTTGGTGTTTTGGGCTCTCCTCCTTTCCTAATAAAGAAGCTCCTCCTTCTTGGAAACACATGAGATGAATCTCCAGGGGACGCCATTGTTGCTCTCAAGATACCAGCTACAGAGCTACTAAAGCCAGTGACTTCCTTCTTCTGAAATTTTGGAGGGGTGGGTGTGTGTAATAACTAATAAGGGAGACTGGGAGTTGAGAGGTTCTAATATGGCGCCGTAGACATTGACTAAACATGGAAAGATTCAATCTTCTCCTTTCTTCCTGGCTCAGAAATGAACCACTCTCCAGTCTCCACGCTATTACTGGAAATGGCAAAATTGCAGAGGCTCCATCCAATAGGGAAACTTCGGGGAAAGTTATTCTGCTAACTTGAAAATTCGTTAGCAGATACTAACTGATATTCAAAATACATGAACTAGTATCCAAGTATTAAAGTATCTAGAGAGCACAGACTAGTATTCAAAGTTTGCTAACTGATATCCACCATGAATCAACTATTATCCCAAATTCACAAACTAATATCTAGACAAAACAGAATAGTATCCATATAACACATAATTAGTATCCCGATAACACTTAAGAGTATCCAGATAACACATAAGAGTATCCATATTGAATACTAGTTGGTTGATTGTGGATATTAGTTGGTATCTGCTATTTGGATACTAGTTTGTGATGTTTTGAATACTAGTATGTGTTATCTAGATACTCAGCAGACTTGGATATTAGTTCATATATTTTGGATATTAGTTAGTATATACTAACGAATTTTCAAGTTAGCAGAATAACTAGGCTGGATTCGATTGGTTATCAAAATAGCGTCTTATGAATGACAAGTAATAACAAATGTTAAAAGATCCGCGTAATTGAATCTCTTTTTAACCACTCGGAGTTATTATGACCGGATTGATTTTTTTGATGTGATATCAGAGTATTATGTGATCGCGTGATGTATTCCGTACGAATTGATGTACGAATCCTGATGACCCTTATTTGTTAAACGCATGATATTTATCCCCGTGCAAACTTCAAACCTATGTGAGTTGGCTTTCGTTTTAGGAAGCATGTGACTAAATGATATGATATAAGATTCATACCACCCATTTCTTAGCGTTGCTGGTTTTGACATTAGCGTTGTATTGCTTTATTACATTAGAAAACTCTTGACAGAAGCTAGCTGGAGATATATAGCATGGATCTGTGATCAGTATTCCTTGGCAAGCTTGGATTTCTCGAGTATGAAGTTGCCTTCCTTGTACTTCTGCTTCATATCATGGGCAAGAACATACTTCCACCCCAGCCCCTCGCCGCAGCGGCTGCAGTAGATGCTGGCAATGGTGAACACTCCAGTCATCAGCTGCTTCTCTTCCTTTTGCCCCAACACCGCATTCATCACATGAGAGAACATGTAAGCTTGCCCTGATTTTGCCTACATAACGAACAGATTCATCATCCCCCATGGTCAAACATCTTAACTTCACCACAATTTGCTAGAAGGACAACCATTATTGACTTTCGAAGACCAAGTCAACACCTTTTTATCTTTGAACAAGTCAAAGATCAGACTGGATCCCAGTATCCAAAACTTGTTAGAAAGGAGATCGATAGTGGAAAATTGTCGATCCAAGAAACTGAAATGGAGTGGATCATCATTGATGATCATAAACACACCTTGAACTTCTTGGAGAGGAGATCAGCATGGAAGGCAAGAGGAGTTCTGCAGTTCCTGCAGCTGAACAATGGATGCCCACCTGCAGATTCCGCCATCTTGAACTGGAAAACCCGAAAGAAAGGACAATATGGACAGATTAGGAAATAGGAAGGTAATTAAGAACGTGATTAACTTAACTACGTACGTTGTGGTGTGTTTACTTAATGAAAATGAACACAAGATTAAGATGTTTCTAACTACAAACTAGATAACATACCTTATCCATCTGTATTTGGTTCTCTGTTTCTTGTGGGAGGAAGTGAGTGTAAGACTGGTTCGAGGGGCAAAGATGCAAACTTTTATAGAGTGAAATCAACCCAAAGTCAAGATTACCCATAAAACTACTTCATCACCAAGGTTTCTCTTGCGTTCATCACCCCCTATTTTTCAACCACTACACTTCTTCCTACTTGTTGCTAGGGATGGCAATTTTGACTTGACCCGTTTTATCCGACCTGTTTGACCTGTTTTGAGGCGGATCCGACCCGACCCGTAGGCGGGACGGGGCGGGCATGGGTAGTCTCATCGACCCGACCTGCCCTGACCCGCCCCATTCTCGACCCGTTCTTGTCTAAATCACATGTAATCTTAGTCAAATTACTTAGAATTTTCCTTTTATTGCATAATATTTTAGCTATAATAAAGTTGTAAATTAGTGAAAATCTCAATTCTCCAATAATTTAACTATAATTGTCATAATATTGTTTGTTTTCTTAGTCTTATAATAAAAATAACGAATATTTCTAATGTTTTTCATATAAATTGCATACCGATTGGGTCGACCTGCTCCAACCCGCGACCCGTGATCAATTACCCGACCTGAACCAGACCTGTCACAGGGCGAGTCTGGATACCAAGAAACCCGCCCCGGACCTGCCCATTGCCATTCCTACCTGTTGCTGTCTTTTATTACTCTTTTCCAAAGACCAGCTAGTCAACGTTCATTATCTATACTTGGGCTGAGAGGCCGAGACACTCGCATAAGCCCAGCCTTGGTCCTTCTCTGACCCATCAATAAACATGGGCCTGACTTTAACACTTTTGGGCCAGACGTTGTTGGCGTCGAATTAGTTAACCCACTCCCGCCGGCGGTATTACCGAACAAGCGGTTGAGGAAAACTCCCCGGCTTCCCTCTTCCATCCTCGTATCCCCGAATCGAACAAACCGTTCTGCGTTCCCTCCTTCTCTTGTCTCTGTAACGGTTACCGGAAATTAACGACCGCCTCCATATCATCTGCTTCCGAAGCAATGTCCGACGCTTACTGGAGATACGCCGACCCCCGGCAGCCTCCGCATCCGTCGTCGCAGCAACCGCAACATCAACAGCAACAGCAGCCCCAGCACCAGCAGCAGCCTCCGATGTCTTCTTTCGTCGGGAAACGCCCACGTACAGGCGAATATGGTAAATTCAATTCCTTTCTCCTTCATTCCCGTCTTGGCCCCCTTGAGCTTTCTCGGAATTACAGCTCTTATTTGTCGGCCTTCCTTTAGATTTGAGATTAGGGTTGCCTCCCTCTTCCGATGACATTACCGATCTGGGTTTGTGCGAATTTGGATTTTGATTGAATTCTGTTGTAAAACATGCTTGTTGCTGCAATTCTATGCCCTCTGACAATCTCGGGCGTACAATAGTTGTAGAAAAGATGCTTAATTGGTGCTAATATAGAGCTACATAACCTCTGTAGATGGTCCTGGTGGGCGTGATCTCATCAATTACTATGGCCGTGAAGATGAAAGAAGTGGTGGTGGTGGTGGTGGTGTTCGAGTAATTAGAGATACAGATGCCCTTGGATCATCTTATGACCGTTATCTACGCAGTATGGTAATGATGTTTTGATTAAATATATATCGACATGGGCTAGAATGTTTTTGCAGTCCTGCCTGGTTCCTGGACTGAGTTCAAAATTCTTCCTTTTCCTCTGCAGCAAGCTTCGTCATATGGTGGTGGTAATGGACAACCTGCAAGATCCATGGGTACAGGTATGGGAAGCATGGAGCCTGGGGGTGCTCCAATGAGTGACAGAAACCTTGGATTCGGAGGTGGAAGGAGTGATCTTTCCCTCCCTCCTGATGCTAGCAGTACGCTGTATGTAGAGGGTTTGCCCTCTGATTGTACGAGGCGCGAAGTTTCTCGTATCCTTTTAACTTTGCTTTTGTGATTGTATTTCAAGGTTGTATTGCAACGATATATTTCTATTTCGTAACTCCTTGATCTAAGTTGACAGATATATTCCGGCCTTTTGTTGGTTACAAAGAAGTTCGACTAGTGAGCAAGGAGTCGAGACGTGTATGTTCTCATTATCATGATAGTATGTGAATTGTTTATTGTTGGTCTTGGAACTTTTACATAAGTTGATTTGTGATTTTGACACTGTGCAGCCTGGGGGAGATCCATTGATCCTCTGCTTTGTTGACTTCATGAGTCCTGCCCATGCTGCCACCGCTCTGGATGCCTTGCAAGGTAAAGCATCCTTATCATGCATTATGTTAGCATCAAAGTCATCCTCATTTGTGTTGTTTTCCCTCTTAATAGTTGCCCCATTTTCAATTGTTTTCTTGTGGATTCAAGTGGTACCATTTAGATTGGTTCCTGCTTCAGATATGGATATTCCATTATGCTCAACATACCAAAACCTGAGTGTCAAATTGATAACAATGGTAGATTGTCTTGCTAAGTGGGGCTTTATCTGGTTGTCCGCTTGCGAACTCAACTGAGCTTGAACATTTTTCGCAACACCAAAGCGACTGGTCATTTTATACCCAAATCGTCCTCGGTGTCCTTTCGCTTGTGGGAAGGATCGAATGGTTGGCTCCTCAATTCTTACGTGTGTGCGAACTGGTTTAATGTTCGTGCAGTACGTTCAGTGCAGTATGTTTCTGAGTGCTTATTTTGCGGTGAATGAATTCTTACATCGCTCGAAACCGTCAGCGGTCATCCTGCGTGCGTAAATAGTCGAGCTCGCTTTTTGCAGGTTATATGTTTGATGAGCACGATCATGATTCGCTTCAGTTAAGGTTGCAATTTGCTCGCTATCCTGGTGCGAGATCAGGTAGCGGGCATCGTGGCAAGCGTTGAGTGACACGATGATTTTGCCAGGTGACTAGTGCTTACTAATCCCGCTCGACCTCTTACTACTGTTCATGCGGTCGTCAATTAAGTAACAATGGATTCGGCTAAAATCATCCAACCGTCTATGTAGGATTTGGCTAAACGACAGCCTCACTTCGAGTATTATGTGATTGCCCTAATGGATGCTTTCACTAGGTCGATAAACTCGATTATGCGTCTTCGCAGCGCAGGCGGATGCAGACCCCTTACCTTGTCTGTTGAGAGAGTTGGAAAGTTTACGCTTTGAATAATGATCTAGAGTTCTTACAAAATTCTGGTGGATTTGTTGTTCCTTATTTCGCCGGTGCGGTGAATGTTTGTTTATGTATTGATATTTACCAATGGGAGGTGATCTTAGGGAGTGATGTACTTATTCATGGATAGACTTCCATGCTTGTTCAAGCTTAGCTCATATCTCAGAGAGTGTACGGAGAGTGAGTGATGTATACTACTATAAGCTGCCTGCCTATGGATCTTATGTTTGTGCTATTCTATCGATGTTAACCCTTTCTTTACTAAGAATTATCCAGAAATTCAGTGAATGGTTGCCGTTTTAGCTTTAAAGGTAGCCATCCTGGTTCAGTCTGTTCTTTTTTTTTTTAGCCTGATTCCTTCCATAGAATGTTTGTTGACATGATGTTTTATTGCTCCTTGAACTTGAAGTTGCGTTTCTGCTAGTTAGCACCATGCCATTGTCTGTGCCTTGTCTATCTGATGCACCAATTTCAGCAGCATACCAACAATGCACTTATGGTTTAGCTAGACTCCACTCCTGGGTCCTTGGTCTTCACAAGTTTCAGAGCTGTTATAATGGAACTTTCAGTATCAGGTTGAATTCGACTCCTGGTCTGTACTTTATGCTGTTAGGAATAAGTGATTATTGCAGGTCCGTCGCCTATGTGCTAGTGTAACTAGTCACTTATAGGCTTCATAGTTTAGCAATCCCTTTGTTAAAGGTCTGTGCATGGTCGATGTTTTCACAGTTAGAAAACAGCTTCTTTTGCAGCATATGTTGGAATGCAATGCCACAAAAAATGCTGTATTCCACTTCTGCGCGCACTAGAAGCGTTTGCAGTTCTGGATTACACTCTACTACCACTACTTCTATGGTTCCTCGGAAAATCTTATGTTTAAAGTGTTTTGAAATGGCTAGCTTCTTGTCACTGTGAATTGTGATGCTATGATTTTGTTGAGCATCAGCTCGTGTTCATAAGAATGCGTATATTCTGTTAGGATTCTGTGTCCCACTCCTGGTTCTTGTGCCTCTTCTGAGCTTGTTTGTACCCCTATGGCGACGACCACCGTAACCCGGTTTCACACCTGTGAACTGAGGATAGTCAGTTGGCCTCTGATTCTGATGATGTAGCGTTGTATCAGCCACGGGACAAAGTCAGTTTTGTACGACGGTATGGCAGGGCCTAACGCTGACGTTGAATTGCATAGATGCACAAGGTAATAACAACCAGACCTTTCAAAGATTCAAGTCTTAACAATTCTGTGGTAGTGAAGATCAGTGTTGCTTTCTGAAACTTGCGTGCTGCTTCTTCCACGTTCTATGGCTAGCTGGTTGGGCGGTTGTTGACTTGCTAGCTCACTGAATTCAGACCTGGTTGGTTGCTCGATCTACTTGTTTTCGTTTTCCCACCATTGGTAATCATTCCGCTAGCTGGTTGAGTGTTGACTAATTTTTAATTCAGCGCTTAATCTTGTTAGTATTGTAAAGTGACTCCCTTTTCAGTTTTTTGAGCGGTTTTCTCGGGATCAGTGAAATCCGTACCGTCCCAGTAATCCGATCGAGACGACCTTATTATTCTACGAGGTTTTTGAGTGGTTTTCTCGGGATTCGTGAAACTCGTACCGTCCCAGCAATCCGATCGAGAAGACCTTAGTACTCCACGAGGGGTGCGTTAGGTTAGTTAGGTAAAATTATATTTAACATTAACGGAATTGACGCGCGGCATTAATGCTCTCATTTGTAGGGGTTGGACCAACTTACTTAACAAAGATGAATATATAGTGTGATGGTGATGGATGTTAATCTTGCTTAATGCTTAGCGCATACTTTAGTGGTTGCTTATATTAGTAATTGAGGCTTTATGGCAATGTGCAATTTGCGGCTCATCAAGTCAAAGAGCCAGCCGAAAACTCTGATCCGTCGTGCATGTATGTATATATCCGTTCACAAGAAAGAAAATTTAATTCTTAAAAGGAAAAAGAAAACAAAGAGAGAAACAAAGTAACACTGGGGATTGTTTGGATGAAGGTTTTGAATAATGAATGTGTTAAATTGTGGAAAAAAAAGAGTTTGTATTTTAAAGTCATGAAGTCCAGCAAGTAAACGCTTAATTTCCTCAAAAACTGTTGAGGAATCCATCAAGTGGGTCGCCGCCAGCACTTTCACAATAAATGCTTTGCAAGTTGCCTCCCAATTCTATGCTTTTTGGGTCGTCTCGTGCATGCAAAGCCACAAATTTGAATTGATTGTCTAGGTATGGTCCAGCTGCGACTATTGAATTGATGGGTTTTAGTATAATTTTTTTTTCCTCCAAAAATTAAAGTTAGAATGATTTGAAGAAAATTGACATTGTAATCAAGATATATCATTTGAAGAGAGTCATTGATAAAAATTCACTATAAACGACGCATTAAGCAAAATATTATCCCATTTACCTTTCTGAACCTACTCCAGATTGGTTTGTTGTTAGCTATTAAATAGTGGAGGATTGAATCTAACCCATAAAAATGGGTTGGTGAATCTGTCTGTATTCTTGGCTCAATTGGAATTTCGGAAAGCTTGATACATATATAGCAAGCATCATAATGACGCATTAATTTCACAATTACCCCTTCCAGCTCAGTAATTTCCCAAAATAATTCCCCCCCTATAATTCCATCTAAATGAAACCCGCCACCTAAAAAAAAAAAATTGTCCGGTCAACTTCAGGAAACAAATCCCGCTCACGTGGCAACCGAATCTTCAATTTCCCCCTCGTGATTCCCTGCATAAAAACCGAATCCTGAATCTCACAACTCATTGAATCTCGCTCACTCCAACAGCTCCCCTTCCTCCCCTGTTTTTTTCTCTCTCTCAGACCCATGGCAGAAGCAGAGACGGCCTTCGCCGTCGCCGGCTGCGGCGACGAGCAGAAATGCGTCGTCCCGCAGGTGGAAGTGACGGTGCCGAAAACCGACGACCCGACCCTCCCCGTGATGACGTTCCGGATGTGGGTTTTGGGCCTGGCCTCCTGCGTGATCCTCTCCTTCGCGAACCAGTTCTTCTGGTACCGGACCCAGCCCATGTCCATCTCCGCCATCTCGGCCCAAATCGCCGTTGTCCCCTTGGGCCACCTCCTGGCCAAGACGCTCCCGACACGTGTCCTCTTCGCCGGGACAAGGTGGGCCTTCACCATGAACCCGGGCCCGTTCAATGTCAAGGAACACGTCCTCATCACCATCTTCGCCAACGCCGGCGCCGGCACCGTCTACGCCACCCACATCTTGAGCGCCGTCAAGCTGTACTACAAGCGCCAGATGACCTTCGTTCCCGCCATGTTGGTCATGATCACCACTCAGGTAAAATTAATAAGCCTATCAAGTTTTGATCTAATCCAATTTGCTAATTAAACCCTCTAATTGTGGTCTAATTTGGCTTTAATGTGAAATCCGTTAGGTGCTAGGATTCGGCTGGGCAGGACTTTTCCGGCGTTACCTCGTGGAGGCAGAGGAAATGTGGTGGCCAAGCATCTTAGTCCAAGTCTCTCTCTTCAGAGCACTCCACGAAAGCGGGAAGAGACCGAAATCCGGTCTAACCAGAACCCAATTCTTCCTCATCGTCCTAGCCACCAGCTTCAGCTACTACATCTTCCCAGGCTACCTCTTCACCATGCTCACCTCCTTCTCCTGGGTCTGCTGGATGTTCCCCAACTCGGTCCTCGGGCAGCAGCTCGGGTCCGGTTTAAAAGGGCTCGGGATCGGTTCGTTCGGGTTCGACTGGTCCACCATCTCGTCCTACCTGGGCAGCCCGCTGGCCAGCCCGTGGTTCGCAACCGCAAATGTAGCGGTCGGGTTCGTCCTGGTCATGTACGTGATGACCCCGCTCACTTACTGGTCCGACACATACAAGGCCAAGACATTCCCAATCTACTCCAGCAACCTGTATCGATCCAACGGGTCTCGATACGACATCCTGAGCATCGTCGATTCTAGGTTCCAGCTCGATCGAGGCGTCTACTCGCAGCTCGGTCGTGTCAATCTGAGCACGTTCTTCGCTATGACGTATGGGATTGGGTTTGCTACTCTGTCTGCTACGGTTGTTCATGTCCTGCTGTTCAACGGGAGGGATTTGGTGAGGCAGAGCAGGCAGGCGTTTGGGGACAGGAAGGTGGATGTGCACACTCGGCTGATGAAGAGGTACAAGCAGGTTCCCGTGTGGTGGTTCGTGGCGATTCTGGCGGTGAACATTGCGGTGATTCTGTTCGCCTGTGAGTATTACAATGCGACTCTGCAGCTGAAGTGGTGGGGAGTTCTTCTAGCTTGTGCCGTCGCCATTTTCTTCACCCTGCCCATTGGTATCATCAATGCCACCACCAACCAGGTACGAGGACACTAAAAATTAAACCCTTTCGATGATCTGATTTAGTGGCGAAGCTATGTGTAGTCCGGTTCAGTACGCTCGATTTTTCATTTGTCGTTACAATGTGAGAGTCGATTCGTACATTGAGAAATCATAGAAAGTGGTAGAAGTGGGGGACTAATGGAGAGTGTGGATTCATATATTCAAAAATCATGCAAAGTGGTAGGATGGGGGCTAGCTATTAGCCCCCGCTCCGATGAGATTTAGGTTCAACCGTTGAAAAATGGTTGCAACTTGTTATCTTCTCGCTTTAATTTCTGGCATCTTCGTACATTGAGAAATCATAGAAAGTGGTAGGATGGGGCTATTAGCCCCCTTACTCCTTCGAGATTCAGGTTCAATCGTCGAGAATGGTTGCAATTAGTTGTCTTCAGTCTCTACTCACTCTAATTTATAGCCTGTCAGATATTGAGAATTCCTAGAAAGTAGAAAGTGGTAGTATGGAGGCTATTAGACCCCTACCTCTTTCGAGATTTAGGTTCAATCATCGAAAAATGATTGCAATTTGTTATCTTCAGTCTCCAACCCCCATTCGGGCATAAGTCACTAGAATCATTGATGATCTGATTCGACATTACTAAGTATTACAGGATGATATAAGATCTATAAGTAACATTCTCCTAACAAGCCGTTTTATTGAGATTAACCGGTTAATTACGCTGATATTGCAGCAACCGGGTTTGAACATAATCACAGAGTACATAATCGGGTACGCATACCCAGAGCGTCCCGTCGCCAACATCTGCTTCAAGGTCTACGGCTACATCAGCATGGCACAAGCCTTAACCTTCTTGAGCGACTTCAAGCTGGGTCACTACATGAAGATCCCGCCTCGATCCATGTTCGTGGTCCAAGTGGTCGGAACAATCGTCGCCGTGATGGTCTACTTGGGCACCGCGTGGTGGATGATGGAATCGATCCCAAATCTCTGCGACCAGGACAAGCTCCCCGCCGACAGCCCCTGGATGTGCCCGATGGACAAGGTTTTCTTCGACGCCTCCGTAATTTGGGGGCTCGTCGGCCCGAGGAGGATCTTCGGCGATTTGGGTGAGTACGGGAACGTCAATTGGTTCTTCGGAGGTGGAGCTCTGGCGACGGCTCTCGTTTGGCTAGCGTACAAGGCCTTTCCGTCACAGACGTGGATTCGGTACGTTAATATGCCCGTGCTGTTGGGGGCTACCTCCGTGATGCCGCCGGCATCGGCGGTGAATTATACGAGCTGGATCGCGGTCGGGTTCGTGTCGGGTTTCGTGATCTACAGGTGGCGGCCGAAGCTGTGGAATCGGTACAATTATGTGTGCTCCGGCGGGCTGGATGCCGGGACGGCGTTCATGACGATTCTGATCTTCTTCTGCCTGCAGAATCGGAATGTGGCGGTTGATTGGTGGGGGACGAGGCCCGACGGGTGTCCTCTGGCGAGCTGTCCGACGGCGAAGGGGGTTTCCGTCGATGGGTGTCCGCCTGCTTGAGCTTGATCTCTTTGTTGGGCTCTGTTTCTTGTAATGTGTACAGTAGAGAGGCCTAGGAAGTGTTGGGTTTGTTATGTTTAACGATGTGTAATTTCGTGTTGTCGAATAATAATCCCACGCCAATGGAATGATGGATTTGATTTCGTATTGCTTCCATCTATCGTATTTCGTATTGCTTCCATCTATCGTATTTGTATCTTATTAAAAATTAAAATTTTATATTTTTCATTAGATATTAACAATCACCGTTACCGAACAATAAAAATCCATTGATCTCGAGAGAAGATTGTACGTACATACCAATTGAGGAGAAGATCGTACGATGATGATGATAGTAAACTGATCGGTAGTACGCAGTACGCATGCTGTGAAGAAATATATGTACGGTAATGGTGTGAAGAAAAAGCATACAAGAGTGATATTGATTCGGCTCGGCTCCTTCGTATACGTCTTCCTTTATCAGCCGGCGGCGATCGGTCGAACTGCCGGCCGGCGGACGGTGAGGGAGATGAGCCGGACCAATATCACGCCATGTCTACTTTCTCCGATCATCGATACTCTTCCTATTTTCCTTTCCGTTTGGGTGGTGAGTACTAGAGTGGGTTCCTGAGGCCTATAAATAGCCACCAAAAGAAGATTCGTATTTCCTTTGATAAGTTTGTTTTGGATTGTATTTAAGGAGAACGTGACAATTTGCAATAATAATATAAATGATTATATATTTGTAAAGTGTAGGAATCGATCGAGTTTTTTTTTTAATATTCACAATTTAGATGGAACGCTAATGTATGCAGACAAGTAGCTAGTTATAAATACAAAAAAAAAATGATTCTCTTCACAATGGAAAAAGGACCTTCTACCCAATGAGCAACCATCCTTAATTCCATCACACGCGAGCATGACTCAACACAAATTACGTCATAGATAGATCATAAGATCAATGATTAATCTTTACAAAATAATTCAAAAGTATTGGGATTAACGGGTTTATGACGTACTAATTATCAGGGCTAGTTTGATTAAATGATTATGTGTACGAATTTCTATGACCCTTAACATTAATTAACATGTTGATCTAGGCACAATATATGGTACGGTGGAACTATGCAAATTTTAAAACTCTCGTGAGTTTTGCTTTAATTTACTAATCTTCTCCCAGAAAATTGGGACGACCAGCTGATTATGATACGATTTTTTTTCTCCTGAAGTGTGTGTATGGTACACGCTCTATTTTCGATCAAACGTTATGTAAGAATTGATCGGTTTCATGATTGTCGTTTCGGTTTTATATACTGTTCGTTTTAAAATGATCTCAATATTCAGTTGTAAACACAACGATGAAGTACACTTGTGAATTGACGGGAAAAAAAAATCATTTATAATTTACTTGTAATAATTTTAATAATGATCAAAACCTATTCAAACAACTTCAACAAGAATTCATTTAATCATAATTGACGATAAAAAAAAATGGATGAAAACAACTTCAAACAGCTTCTTCATAAAAAAAAACAACTTCAAACAGCTTCATTCTTTCCGCCACAGCTATCGGCAATATTCGGCAAACAGCTATTTTCCGACCATTATGGTCCGTGGAGCTACACGAAAACGGCATTCCAAGTTCCCAACTAGCTAGCCGATCGGTGGCCGGAAAAAGTTCCTTTTTTTGTCTCGGGATATATGGTATTGGAGTTCATATTCGTCTCCCGGCCGGTAAACATGGAAATCCAGATTAGACTATTTCCAAGTTATTAGTTCCTGGAAAGACAACGATGTTTTTACATTATACTTTCGTGTCACTATATACGTTTCGACTCATGGACGGCTCACCGGAGAAAACGAGGAATGAAAAAAATGGCAGGAGTATCTTGAGGCTCGTTGTGTGACCGGTGCATCAACGAATACAGACAATATTTGTCTTTGCATCATGGTCCATGAAATCGTACCGGAAAATTCAGCTGTAAGGTATTTTATGTTAAAACCGGGTTTTATCGTAGTTCAACCATTGTACCGTTAAATACCGTCTACCGGTTTAGCCTCCGATACTGGTATTTCGTGGTTGAACCGCCGGTACGGTACGGTTTCATGGACCATGCCTTGCATTAGATTGCAACTTGTGCCATTACATTATGTAACCTTTGGGTCGCCCAATGAGGCTATTCGATCCATTGAGGCCTGAAGCCCTTTCCGGGCCTAGTATGGAATGGACACCTTGATTGGGCCCATCTTAGTTATATGGATCATATGTCTCGAAGCCCATATCAAATTGCCTTTCTAATTTCTATCTGGTCTCTGCACAAAGTAACCATTTCGATTTTCGACTCGGCTTGGGTTTCTCTCGTAGCTGATCGTCGTTGTTCTTTCTTCATCCCCTCCGGCAGGTGAATGCCAATCATCGGAACGTCTCGAGCGTCTGTGAGGAAAGAGTCGGGAATTTAAGCAAATGGAGGAACGGAGCGTCGGAGAAGTGCTCTACGAGGAACGACGTCACGCCTCCGGGCCATATTCTTCTCATTACCCTCCTCTCCCTTCCAAGGTATTGCCGTCTTAGATCGATCTCTATGTTTCCTTGTTAATTCTCCCGCTGTTTGATTCGCTAACGAGGATTCCAATTCGTAATTCCGACGATATCTTTGCCCTCTGCTTATCATTCCTTTTTCCCGCTATTTTGTGTTGCTTCAGAGTAATGATGGCGGAAGCGGCGGCTTCCTCTCGTTTCTTTCAGTTCGAGGTATGCGATTTCTTCACTAGAACTAGAAAAAAAACTTCCTTTTGATTCACCTTCGGCTTGGTACTTCTTCTCGACAGTGGATAGCGGCGGTCAATTTGAGTCAAGTTGCTTTTTGGCCAGAATCAGATCATTGTTAGTCTTGGCATGAGTTGAGAATTAAGCAATATAGCTGCGGCCTGACCTGGGTTCCAAAATTCTGTTCACGCTCATGTTGGATTTGGGGCAATTTGTGACGGTTCATTAGAGATTAAAAGATATGGTTCAGAAACAAGACAGATTGATTTTGCTTCTGTATAGTATCCAATTTGACTGATATGATCAGTCTTATTTTGAGCATTAGGTCACCATGCTTCTAGTGAAAAGATGGTGCTAGTTAAGAGCCTATTTCGGCCACTTTATCTTATGTCGCTGGGATCCTCATTGTTTCTCTGTTTATCAGCTGTCTGCATTCCTAATCTGTGACTCGCAACTGTTCCTTATTTATTTCTTTCTGTCTTTCTGTGTCATTGTCTCCTTTGTTGGAACACTTCTGACTTGGATTTTGTGGGGTTCTCAAATGATTTAATTACGTGTTATTTTTCCCTTCTCTGTTCATGCGAACAGGTATAAGCCAACTCAAAGAGAAGTGGAGAGGCCAGAGTAATCAAGCAAATGCTACGAAGCCTGTCTCCTTGTTTATCTCCCCAAGGGGTGAACATGTTGCTGTTGCTACTGGGAGTCAGATAACAATCTTGCAAAAGGAGGACGATTACCAAGAGCCATCCGGTCTTTTTACGAGTAAGACTTGATTTTAATTTTCATGAGAGAATGCCTTAGATAATCAGTATAAGAATAGACTCTTTATGAAAGTAAATAACCATTTTTTTTTTCTGTTCTCCTCTATGCTTTGTGATAAGAGATCATTGCATAATTCTTGTGCCTTAGAGGCTTGAGGTGTTTATCTGTTTGTTTTGGATACACCAGGTGGCAGCTCTTGTTTATATACTTGTGGAACGTGGTCAGAACCACACAATGTACTTGGTGTTGTTGACAACATGGATAGTCTGTATTTCATCAAAGCAAGTGGTGTACAGATAGCTCAATTTACTAAGAGGCAACTCAGAATCTCATCGCCTGTAATTGGTCTGATTCCTCAGGATGGTGGTGATGGTCTTGGATCTTGTCTGTAAGTCTTTCTGGCACAGTATCTCTTGGTGCTTGAATGGTCAATACTTTCTCCAATATAAATACTTTCTCGCACAAGCAGTCTGCTAATTTTAAGGTCTTTTGCACTTGCCCTTCAGGTATCTTAATTTTCTTTTCAAACTGTATGCACAAAAATAATAGGGTTTCGACATCTGATTTATATGATTGGAAAACATGCAGATGTAGTTTCATAGTCGTTACGTCAGATGGACTTCTTCATCATGTTGATGTTGGTAGAGAGCCTAGCAGTAGCTGTGTGTCAAATAGCAGTTCAGCAGCTAAACCGCAGTTCCCTAAGGATGTTTTCTGCTTTCAGTATGCTTCAGAGAATTCTCTGCTTCTCATGGTTGGTGGCGTTGGCAGTGGCTCTGTAACCTCTGGTAAAAAACCTGGTAGGCATTCATTCCGTTAATGACGTATTTTGCTAGTGTTGGCTTATGTTTCTGGTGAATTAAGAGATGAGCTGACAGGTTTCTGTGTGTGGAGTGTAATGAATGACCTTACGTTACAGAGTTTGCATAAATTTACTTGTCATTGTCAATTTTTATTATTCTCAATGATGTAATTTTGTAAGAACTAAGAAAATTTATTGATTCTCATCATTGAGCTGAACCTTAAAGGATATTTATTGTCAACATTGATTGGTCCAAAGAAATTTGGATCACGGGAGAGTACATGTGATTTTTGTTCACAATTTATTTTTTTGGGACTAAACTCATTTGTAGTTCTGTGCACTGATATTGCACCCTTTTGATCAGGATGCCACCTTTCCATTTGGCGTCGATGTCAGAACTTGAATCTTGAACAGTTGTCAAATGTTCAGTTTGAAGGCCAGTATTACAGACTGCAAGATGGCATTAAGTTTCTGGCATATCCCAAGGTACTAATGTCTCCAGAAAGCCAATTTGTCTCTACTCTGGATGCAACAGGACATTTGCATGTTTTTAGGGTTGATAAAGAAAGCTGGGCACTTTTCAGCTTCGAAAACATGGAGAGATCAAATTCATCTTCTGCTAATAACCTATCGACTGAGCAGAATGGTTACTTGAATGACATCGTGGATTTTACTTGGTGGTCAAACTGCATCATGACTGTTATTAAAAGGGGTGGAATTGTTATGATGCTTGATATGCTCAGCGGCTCAAAAGTCCTGGAACATGATCTGGCATACTCCATGCCCATTGTGGACAGAGCACAGGAAGTACAGGGGTCGATATTTCTTTTGGAGAGCAAATCTTCTGATCACAGAAAAATTCCATCTGACCACATTGGACAATTAAGTGACCCACAAGACATGGAGGAAAAAACAGAAGACAGTTTTGATCAATTTGATGTTTCCCAGATGTCTTGGAGTCTGATGTCACTTTCTCAGAAATCTGTTCATGAAATGTACAGTATCTTAATTGGAAATGGTAAATACCAGTCAGCATTGGATTTTGCCAATCGTTATGGATTACAGAAAGATGAAGTGTTCAAATCACAATGGCTGCAATCTCCTAAAGGAATCAAAGATATAAATATGTATTTGACTAAAATCAAGGACCTTAGTTTTGTTCTTTCTGAATGTGGGGAAAAAATAGGACCGACAGAGGATGATATGAAAGCTCTACTTTTGCACGGTATTGGTGTATCTAATCAGTTTCGTTTTTCTGAAGAAGAAAATTATGATAGCCATATATGGGATTTTCGAATCGCCAGGCTTCAGTTACTTCAATTCAGAGACAGGCTGGAAACGTATCTTGGCATTAACATGGGCAGGTATTATATTGTCTTGATCTTTTTCACCTTTTGAATTATAGTTATTATCATGGTCCTATGTAAGCACAGATTGCGATATAGTTCTTTGTGTTTGAGGGTTCCCACCTTGTTAACAGTCAGATCTGGCTGTTGCTTGATGATGTCAGATTACCTGACTACTAAAAAGGAATGACATTTCTGGAAAAGGACTCTGCATTTGAACTAGTGGCCTAACAGCAGTCAGCAAGTGCACATGGTGTTACTTGGTTTCTTGTAGGAAATCTTATTGGGTTACACATTCATACGGATGTAATGCTTTTCCTTTAGCAAGGTTATTTATGCTTCCACTCTCTAGGTTCTAACGTTTTCTCTTGGAAATTTCTCATATTTCTGGCTCATTCATTTGTGCAAGCGTACCAATCTTTCTGTTTGAAGAAAAGTAATTGTTCCTGCATTAATAGGTGTCTTCCGTTTTATGCTCACTGCTAAGGCTGGTAACCTAAGCATTATTGAACCTGTTGCTATCTCTATTCTCTGACTGTATAATGACATAGTCATGTGCAGGTTTTCTGTGCAGGAGTACTGCAAATTTCGTGCCACTCCTCTTGAGGAAGTTGCTGTAACCCTTGCTGAAAGTGGAAAAATTGGGGCTCTCAATCTCCTCTTCAAACGGCATCCCTATTCCCTGTCCCCCTTTATGTTACAAGTACTAGCTGCAATTCCTGAGACTACCCCTGTTCAAACATATGGACAACTTCTTCCTGGGAAGTCTCTTCCTATCAGTATAGCTCTCAGGGAAGAAGACTGGGTTGAGTGCGAGGCAATGGTACGATTTATCAACCGGTTATCTGATAGCCATGAGATGGGAATCCAGATCAGGACTGAATCTATTGTAAAGCGCTGCAATGGACACCTTTGGCCATCTACTGAAGAACTCTCTATATGGTACAAAAATAGAGCAAGAGATATTGATTACTACACTGGTCAGTTGGAGAATTGCCTTTGCCTGCTTGACTTTGCATGTCAAAAGGGTATCACTGAGTTAGAGCAGTTTCGTCAGGATATTTCTTACTTATGTCGGCTTATTTATTCTGATGAGAGTGACAGTGGTATGTGCTTTGATATGACTCTTGCTGCATGGGAAGAATTGTCTGATTATGAGAAATTTAGAATGATGCTAAAGGACGTCAAAGTTGAAAATGTGGTCAAAAGGTTAAATGACAAAGGAATTCCTTTTATGTCAAGTAAAATTGCTGATGTTAGCTCTGCCAATAAAGATAAGCTTACAGACCACCAGTCTTCCTTACATGAGGAAGATACGTCTTTCTTGATAAGATGGCTAAAAGAGATGGCTGTGGAGAATAAATTGGACATTTGCCTGAAGGTGATTGAAGAAGGGTGCAAGGATTTGCGGAGTACTGGTTTCTTTAAAGATGAGACTGAAGTCATGGAATGTGCTCTTCAATGCATATATTTGTGCACAGTTACGGACAGATGGAGTACCATGAGTGCTATATTGTCAAAGCTTCCGCAGAAGCAAGGTTAGTCTTTTATTATATGTATTCCATCTCTCACTTTTGGATACTGATCAAGTTTTATAGCTCATGTAAGTAGAAAAGAAGATGATTGGTTCCTCCCATTGTCACTTAAAATTAATAAGTCATGGCCCCATACTGCTACAATTTGAGGGACTTAACCTTGGCATAACCTTCTTTCCATGTTATGAGTTCTCTGGCTACCTTCTGTCTCCTTTTAAATCCAAACCAAGCTTCTTATGGATTTTAGACCCTGAGTACACTTTCTTTTCGTTGGAGGGGGCTTCAAAAAATGCATGGGGTACATACCTTATATTAATATACGGAAGCTACATCACCTTGGTTGCGTAGGCTGCTGCAGTCTTATGTCTTCTCTCCTGTGGAGAATTACCTTCACATTGAGCTGCCAGTAATAAACAAATTGTGTGAGTTAGGTTTCATGGAATATGGTTGCAGTTCCTACTTGGTAAAATCGTCCATCATGGACTATCCACTGCTTGCAACTGTTTTTTGACTCTAGGGTATCCCTTACAGATGCCAGGGCACCAAACGAAAGCCTGGAGAAGAGACTCAAACTTGCAGAAGGTCATATGGAAGCTGGGAGGCTATTATCGTTTTACCAGGTTTGTTTGTTTCTTTACTAGCTATAAGTTTGACTGGCGCAAAGGAATAATCTTTTGTATCTGCCTTTTGGTGTGGATGTTATAACTGTCATTGGTTGAAGTGGATAAATTCAGTCGGTGTAGTTTGTTGTTGAGGACAATGTTGTTTAGTAGATTTGTGTTCAATAGGGAATTAACATATTGGTAGATGACTTATTTGGTGGTGTTAGCCAGTTAAGTAACTGGAGTTTCTCTTATAACTGTCATCAGTTGAAGTGGATAATTTATGTCGGTGTAATTTGTTTTCGAAGAGAATGTTCTTTACACTTTTGCATAATAGGGAATTAACATATTGTCAAATGCCTTATTTGGTGGTGTAAACCAGTTAAGTAACTGATGTTTCCCTTGCCCCGGACCCCGGTATGTTAAGGGTGGTACTAGTAGTTAGCCTAGAATAGTAGATCCTGTTACGCAATAACTTCTTGGTTTTTAAAGGCCACCAAGTTCTGCATAGTAAAGGGGGCCACAAAAGTATCCCTTATTTTGACGTTCTCTCTTCTCCGAGTTAATTTGCTTCATGCTTGAAGACTGAAGTATAGTGACTTTGGTAGCAGGCATATTTCATTAAACGGTAATTGTAATTGTGGTTTGCAATCCCCACAGAAATTTTGAAAATGCCTAAAATGTGCCGCACCTGCACGCGCGATGAATACCTTGTTTTCCCAGGCTACTTACATTTGCATTAGCATGTAGTAACCATCTCTAGGAATCATTATTTCTGATTTCATCTGTTGATTAGTTTTTTTTACTGGGTGATATATGTTGACGTCTGATTTGCAGTTGTGACATAGGCTTTTTGGCTCGTGGCATGTGTCTTAGTCAATAAGAAGAGCCTATTAACTTGCGAACAAACAGTGAACATCACGAGCTATGAGAATATAAATGGGCATTCCAAAATGGCTGTACAAATTACCATCTCTGCTATCTAGATCAGTTTTTTAAAGTATGAAGCAACATTAGGTAGCGCTTTTGAAGGAGAAAGTATAGTCATTGGTTCGAGTCCCTGTCACCATGTTTCCATACCTGGAGGCATTCTGGATCAGTTAGCTAGGGAGAGTAGTCAGTAACCTCCACAGTGAAACTCTTACTGTCAGGTTTCCATGTTTATTATATCTTTTTCTTCATATGGTACTTGTTCTAATTTCAGGTCCCGCAGCAAATGAGCTTTTTCCTTGAGGCGCATGTAGATGAAAAAGAGGTTAAACAAATTATCCGTCGCATTCTCTCAAAATTTGCTCGTCGCCATCCAAGCCGTTCAGATAATGATTGGGCAAACATGTGGCGCGATATGCAATCCTTGCAAGATAAGGCTTTCCCTTTTCTCGACTCAGAGTATATGTTAATGGAATTCTTCAGAGGCTTGTTGAAAGCTGGGAAGTTTTCTCTTGCTAGAAGCTATCTGAAGGGAACAAGTTCAGTGTCCTTGGCATCAGAAAAAGCCGAATATCTTGTTATTCAAGCTGCGCGGGAGTACTTATACTCGGCTCCAAGTTTGTCTTCTCCTGAAGTATGCGATTCTCTGATGTCTCATGCAATGATCTTAGTGACATAGTAATTATTCCATTGGTATATGCTTTCGTGTTCGGATTTCCAACATACGAGTTTTCAGATTGCCATTAGGAGTTTAGAGTTTCAAATGAAATAAGAATAGGTTGATGCATCTCAATATGGGTTGTTCATTGTTCCATTCATTTAAACTGCTTCAAGCTAGATAATGATATTCTTTGCCATTTCAATTATTTTTGACGGATTCAGCCTTGAATACTCAGTTTTTCTGCTGTTACCTTTTTCAGATCAAGGAGGCAAAGGACTGCCTCAGTCTATTACCTAGCAGTAGGAATGTCCAAGCAGAGGCTGACATAATACTTGCGCTCACTGTTAAACTGCCATACCTTGGAGTTACTCTTTTGCCTATGCAATACAGGCAAATAAAAGACCCAATGGAGATAATCAAAATGGCTATTGCTGGTCAAAATGGAGCATACATACATGTTGATGAAGTTATAGAGGTTGCCAAACTTCTGGGATTAAGCTCTCCATATGACATATCAGCAGTGGAGGAAGCAATCGCTAGAGAAGCTGCTGTGGCCGATGATCTACAATTGGCATTTGACCTCTGCCTTGTTTTATCTAGAAAAGGACATGGGCCTGTTTGGGATTTGTGTGCTACAATAGCAAGGGGTCCCGCGCTTGAAAATATGGATATAAGCTCCAGAAAGCAGCTGATAGGTTTTGCTTTGAGTCATTGTGACGAGGAATCTATAATGGAGCTTCTTCATGCATGGAAGGACCTTGATATGCAAGGGCAATGTGAGGCTTTGCTGAACTCGTCTGATTCTTTTGGTGTCTCTGATTCATTGAACAGAAGACTTCCTTTCTTTGGTTCTCCAGATACTGTCAATCATCTCAGAGGTTTCTCAGAAGCCACTGAAGATATGAGCAGTGGGGATCGAGAAGCCCATTTGAGGAATACAACAAACACACTTCTTTCAGTTGCTAAACACGGCCTTGCCGAGGAGGGAGCAGAATTGGAGTCTTTCTTGAAGGACAATGGAAGACTATTTTCTTTTGCCTCTTCTCAACTTCCATGGTTGCTTGAATTGAGTTGCAAAGCTGAATACTCTAAGAACTCGAGTTCTGGATTTGCTCCTGGAAAGCAGTTTGTAAGCATAAGAACCCAAGCATTAGTAACTGTTCTGTCCTGGCTGGCAAGAAATGGGTTTTCACCCAATGATAGTATAATTGCCTCCGTGGCAAAGTCGGTCATAGAACCACCTGTCACAGAAGAGGAAGACGTGATGGGTTGTTCTTTCTTGTTGAATCTTGTCGACGCCTTCAGTGGGGTCGAAGTAATAGAAGAGCAACTTCGCCTCAGGGAGAATTACAATGAAATTCACAGCATCATGAATGTTGGGATGACGTACAGTGCATTACACAGTTTTGGAGTTGAGTGCAAAGATCCTGCTCAGAGGAGGGAATTACTTCTGACAAAGTTCAAAGAGAAGCATGCACCACTTAGTTCTGGTGATTGACTTTAGAAATCTCTCATCTTGGCAATATTGGATATTTTTTGTTGTGCTGCTATTGAACGGAACATGAGTGTTTCATGTGTCCTTTTCCCCTGATAGATTTCCTCTATGTTTCAGATGAAATAAACAAGATGGACAAAGTACAGTCCACTTTCTGGAGGGAATGGAAGCTCAAATTGGAAGAAAAGAAGCGAATTGCTGAAAATTCCAGAGTGCTAGAGCAAGTCATTCCTGGTGTTGATACTGCTCGATTTCTCTCAGGTGACTCGAGCTACATTCGCCATTCTGTTTTTTATCTGATTGAATCAGTGAAGCTAGTAAGGAAGCACATTATCAAAGATGTATTAAAGTTGGCGGACACTTATGGGTTGAATCAAAGTGAGGTACACACTAAAGTTCCTTCTTGTATCTGACCTCCAATCCAATTAGCAATCCATTTGTTGGCCCCCAGTTTTTGAAAATGCTATCATTTTATTCTTTTTTTTTTTTTTTTGTAGGTGCTTGGGTATTATCTCAGTTGTATTCTTGTTTCTGAGGCTTGGACGAATGATGATATCATGATTGAAATTTCAGAATTTAAAGGTGAAATTATCCGTTCTGCTGGTGAAACCATCAAAACTGTTTCATCAGTTGTTTTTCCTGCAATTGATGGTCATAACAAGAGTCGTCTGTCCTTCATATATGCCCTTCTATCTGACTGCTACTTTCATCTGGGGCAAACCGAAGGACCATCACCATTCCCATCACCTTTATCCAACTTCCAGTTGGCTGAGTGTTACAAGGTCATTGGGAAAGAGTGTCAAAGAGTTTCTTTTATACAGAATCTAGACTTCAAAAATGTTGCTGGATTAGGAGGTTTGAATTTGCAGTATTTCCGGGATGAAGTATTCGCCAATATTGATGATGAACGTAGCTTAGAAGCCTTGGCAGAAATGGTGAAGAATCTTGTCGGTATCCATTCTGCTCCAGTGCCACAAGGCATGATTGTGTGGCAGGATGTATACAAACGATATGTTCAGAAATTGTTCACAGAGCTGGAAAGTAGAGCCAAGACAGAATTTAATGTCGGAAGCTCTGAAAAGTTTCAGGAGTTCGTTGGTCAACTAGAGGGAACGTATGGTTATTGTGGACAATTTATTGGCCATTTGTTGACATCAGATGCTATGGATGTCATGAAGCGGTGCTTCTCAATGATTCTACTTCTACCTGGTGCTTTTGGGTGTATTCCTGATAATTCAATGTGGCAGGAGTGCCTTATCGACCTCTTAAACTTCTGGTTCAGGTTGTCTGAAGCAATGAGTGAAATCATATCACGTGAGAGTTCAGTGGAAAAATCGAGCTTCTTCGATCCTGTGTGCCTAAGAAACTGTGTGGAATTATTTGTGAGATTTGTGTCGGAGGATAATGTATCGCCAAGTCAGGCCTGGGGGACCATCATAGGCTATGTAAATCATGGCTTAATTGGTGATTGCATAGTCGAGGCTGAGGCCTTTTGCAGAGCGATGGTATTTTCTGGTTGCAGTTATGGACCTGTGTCAGAAATGTTCTCGGAGATGACATCACATAGTGCTGCTGTCAGTTCAACTGTTGAAACTAATCTTTCTCAGCTCTACGCAAGCATGCTGGACCCAATTTTAAGGGACTTGGTTAATGAAGGAACCCTTGGAAGCAAGGATCTGTATAACCTACTCTCTTCCCTGAGTAAGATGGAAGGTAATAAGGTGGAGGATCTGCAGCAGCAGGTTAGGCGCGTGGTTTGGGAAAGATTGGCCCGATTCTGTGATGATTTGCAGCTGCCAAACAACATCCGAGTCTACGCCTTGGAGATTATGCAGTTCATTGCAGGTGGAAGTCGCACTTTCTCTGCTGAGCTGCAGTCTAATATCTTGCCATGGGAAGGCTGGCATGAGTTGCTCTCTACAAATAATGCCTCTACAGGAAGCAGTGGATTGAAGCTTGACCGAGCAGATAATTCCAACCGGTTTACAAGCACTCTGGTCGCCTTGAAATCATCCCAGCTCGTTGCAGCCATCTCTATCAACATGGAAATCTCCCCTGAAGACCTTTCCAACACCGAAACAGCTGTCTCTTGCTTTTCAAAGCTGTGTGAGCTCTCCTCCACGGATCATCATTTGGATGTGCTGTGTGCTGTTCTGGAAGAGTGGGACGGGCTTTTTGCAACTACTATAAGCGAACCAGGTGATTCAACTGTAGACGCTGCTGAAGCAGCAGGAAACGACTGGAACAATGACGATTGGGATGAAGGGTGGGAAAGCTTTCAGGAAACAGATGATACTAATATCCCAAAAGAGAAGAAGGTAAAGGTCGTTGGTGGTGGTCATCAGCATCTGCATCCTTTGCATGGATGTTGGATGCAGCTCTTCAGAAAGATGGTTGAGCTATCCCGGGTCAGCAAAGTCCTAGCACTGATGGATCAATCACTGTCGAAACCCAAAGGAACATTGATCGATGAAACTGAGGCCAGGAGCTTGCGTGATTTCGTAGTTGACCCCTTTGTGGCTTTGAAAATCATGCTGCTGCTGCCGTATGAAGCTCTGTGGTTTCACTGTTTGGACATAGTTGAGGAGAAGCTGAAAACACAAGGGTGGAACCAGGACACAGTTGCTGGGGACCATGAGCTCTTGACTCTCGTGCTATCCTCTGGCATCGTCGTAGCTGCCATTTTCACCAAGAACTCATATGGCACTACTTTCTCTTACCTCTGCTATTTGGTCGGGAACTTCTCTCGTCAATGTCAGGAATCCCAGTTGTCCAAGCTGACAGAGAAGGACACGGCATCGTTTCTCTTTGCGAGGTTTTTGTTCCCCAGCTTTATATCGGAACTCGTGAAGGCCGATCAGCACGTCTTGGCAGGGTTCCTCGTCATGAAGTTCATGCACACGAACCCGTCTGTTAGTGTAATCAACTTGGCGGAAGCCAGTCTGCGGCGATATTTGGAAGGGCGGCATCGTGCTCTCCGAGAAAAGGAATTAGGCCCTGAAGAATTGAGTTCGTGCGGGATATTGAAGAACACAGTGGTCGGATTGAGAGAAATGTTGGTCGATTCGATCCCATCTGTGCTTTCTACCGGCCTGAGATGAACCAGTTTTGCAAGGTAGAGTGATAGCTGTGGTAATTAGTTACGTTACGCACACTTTTCCTCTCCCAAGTAAATGTGATATAAATAGAAACTTGTTTACCTTACCTGCATATGTATGAGTTTACTTTAGCCCCTCACACCGCCACCTCAAGCTAATGACTCCATCTGATCGACCAATTACCATCTCTCTGCGCGCCTTAAGTTGATCAAACAACCAACTTCTGATTAACGATGTATGTCTTTCTCGTTGTAGTGAAGACAGTTACGACATACGGTTCTATATTCGTTATAAATTTTGCGACGAATTATCACTGAGTCGGGTTTTAGGTGGATCCTGGATTGATGAACAGGTGGGAACTTTTTGTTACGAAATGAATAGCTTAACAAAGTCGTCGTCTTGAGGTTCGGTTACCATTTTGGGACATTCGACATAGTTTGGTGACCATTTTGGCTTTTTAACTCATTATGTTATCCAAGTGCCAACTGCCAAGTGGCTTACGTCCAATCGCAGCAAGTTTATAGCTTTAACCACTAGCTCGTAGCCACCTCGGCCAACAGAAACGTCAGAGCTACCATACCAAAACAGAAAGTGAAACCTTTGCTTTCTCCAACAATGGAAAGGCTACCGGCTGATCTGTGCCTGAAGATCTTCTGCTGCTTGGATCACCACAATCTTGCTTCCGCCCAACAAGGTCTCTTCCTCCTCCCGCCAATCTATGTCTTACCAATTTCCTGCATCCTCTGAAAGTTTCGATCTTGGATTCTGGGGGTTTGATTTTGTCTCCACTTTACGCCATTTAAGATATTCACTCGACTCTTTCTCTTCCCTCAATTAGGAATCTCAATTTCAACTGGGTATATGTATATCAAGATTTTCTGATCCAATTCTGTAATTAGCGTGAGAGTCGTCTTCTTTCGTTCTGAATTCTGGCATAAATGAATGTATAAATGGGATCTTGAAGCTTGAAGGTCACCTTCCTTTCTCCTTTACTCTGTTTTTCATCTACCCCCTGTCTCACTGTTGTGGTCAGTTTTGATTTGTTGAAGTTTGCAAGAAATGGAAGGCAATTGGATCTGACGAGAATCTATGGTCCAACCTCTTCAAGCATAGATGGGGAACCGATCGTGCCACATTTTATGCCCCTGTTGATTCCAAATCCTGGAAAGATGTTTATGCTGTGCAAGATCGATCCGATCGAGTTGGACTGTGAGTTTCCCTCACTCACACTTGGGATTTCTTGTTCTTTCCAGAAACATTTCATATAATTCTGCTGTTTGTTTTGATGGGATGGGGCAGGGGGCTGAAGATAATCAGAGAAGGAGGTGACTATTATCTTGTTCATCAAGGCGAAATTCAACGCTATCTGGGTTCTCCCAGACACAGAAAAGGGCCAAAGGCTGCTGCTTCAGACGACCAAGTAGAAGAATCGTCATCGTGCGGCAGGGCGGCCGAATCCTGCTGCACTGGCAGTGGGATTCTGGACAGGATACTGTTCTTCATTGGAGACCTGGAAGTTGCTTCTGCAGATGCCAAACGTGCTCGCCTGATATGAATCATTGCTTCCTAGATATGTATATGCAGAAAGCTCACATGTTCCTGCAGCATCATTCAACTCATTGCTCTGTGGATAACATAACAGCAAGATCAAAGCTAGTTTATTTCGATTCGTTATGTAACATTCGTCGTATTGTATAATAGTTGCAAAGGAAATGTGTAACAATGTCAATAATTCTTTCCATTTACTGATCAAGTGATGCAAAATTCTGTTGTAATTGTAAAGCCATAAAAACTGCTGTGGAAGGCAATATAGTACTACTGCTGTGTTCCTATTCTGTTGTCACATGGAAGATTGCAGTTGAAGGGTAATGCATCATCTCATTACATGGTGAATTGTGGATGGAGAAGTTCTGTGAGGGAACATTCTTGTGATTCTCATATTTGATCATCAGCATGTAATTCAATCGGGCTAAATTCAATCCGGCTAATTAGTCGGTGCGTAACGATATTACGAGTACCTTTTAACTTACTAAATAAGATTATCATTGAAATTAATATTAATTACAATTCAAATTTGATACTAAAAAGTACTGATAATCTACTTCAATCGATTAACATATGGATCAAATCTATTAATCGCTGTTTTGGGCGGAGTGTGTTCGGAGGGCATTTTTGTAATTGTTGGTTGATTTTTCGGAATGTCATTTTCCTTGTATTTTGAAGGCTATAGATCGCAGATTCGAGTTGAGGTTATTCATCATCGATGATTAAATATATTAAGCATGAATTTTGTGCGGGTTTTTTCCGGGGCCATTTTTGGCAAATTTCAAAGGGATATCATTATAGATTTCGTGCGATTTTTTTAAAATGTAATTTTCTTTGGATTTTGAAAGTTACAAATCACGAATTTAGTGTGAGGCTATTCTCTACCAATGATAAACTCTATTAGTCGTCGATTTGGGCGGATTTTTTTCTAAGGGCATTTTTGTTATTTTTTAAAGGTCATTTTCCTTGTATTTTTAAGGCTACAGATCACGGATTCGGTCTGAGACTATTCTCCACCGATGATTAAGTCTATTAAGCACCGATATGTAAAGATTTTTTCCGGGACCATTTTTGTCAGATTCTAAAGGGGTACCATCACAGATTTCGGGTAATTTTTCGAAAATGTCATTTTCCTTGGATTTTGATGGCTGTAGATCATAGATTTGTCCTAATGTTATTCTTCACCGATGATTGAGTCTTTTAAGCACCAATTTGGGAGGATTTTTGAGGATCATTTTTGGCAGATTTCAAAGTATTTTTTCGAAATGTCATTTTCATTTGATTTTGAAGGTTACAGATCACGGATTCGAAATGAGACTATTCTCCACCAATGAGAAAGTTTATTAATCGACGACTTGGAAGGATTTTTTCCAGGGCCATTTTTGGCAGATTCCAAAAGGGTACCATCATAAATTTCATGTGATTGTTTCGAGAGGGCATTTTCTTCGAAATTTGAAGACTACACATCTCGGATTTGGCCTAAGGCCATTTTTCACCAATGATTAAGTATATTAAACACCAATTTGGGCATATTTTTCCGGAAACATTTTTTGTAGATTCAAAAACAGTAACATCACAAATTTTGGGCAATTTTTTTGGACAGCACCATAATCAACTTGAATGGTTACGGTACATTTTGCCCAATCATAATTAGAGCTAGTTTTATTTGGGGGTTATCGACAATACATAAAATCCACTTGAGATTGTTGAAATTAGCTAATCTGCTAGACCGAGATGCTATAGACTATACATTTCTAGCAAATCCCAACTCATTTTTCTTGTTTGTCTTAATAAACTTAAGAAATAAGATCTATTTGACTGGAAATATCACATTGTCTCCACTCGTCAGGTGGTTTACAAGAGAAGAAAAACAATGATAAAGGATGAAAATGATACCTAATCCGAACTTCAACTGGTCTTCTCCAACATGAGCCACAAGTACAGGTTTTTGGGGGACAGAAAATATCCTACTCTGCCACATCCGCCATTGGCTCCACTTGCCTCCTTTCACATAGCCATTTGGTAAAAGAAAGGATCACAAACCCAATTCTCATTTAACCACATCGAATCTCCCAGTATGGCTGCTGCTGCTGCACTTCCTTCAATTAGCTCTCCAACTTCTTCTTCTTCTACTACTACTGCTTTCATTCATTCTTCCAAGACAGGTGCTCGAGCCTATGGTCCATCCTTCTCAAATGTCAGATCATATGGTACACTGAAGGGAAGACTACCAAATTCTCACAAGGCTATTCCAGGAGGCATTAAGATCTTATGTGCAGCAACTAAGCCTGCAAAATCGCCAGGTACTATGGGTCTATCCTGGATTCTGTTTAATAAGATTGCCCCCCTACTGCATTTGTCACTAGTTGTCGCTCTGATCAATATCTTACAGTCGAAACAATGTCTCTTACTGAGTGACCCAGCTGAAGAAGAGTGGAAGGTGAAGAGAGAGTTACTGCTGCAGAAGAAGGTGAGGAGTGTGGAGGTGAAGGAAGCTCTTCGACTTCAGAAAGAAAACAACTTTGTGATCCTCGACGTGCGACCAGAAGCTGAATTCAAAAAGGTAGGTCTGTTAGAGCTTATACCTTACAAGAGTTCAACCCATTCAACAGAGGTTTCAGATAAAAAGAATCCAGGGATGAAGAGTACTTACAAAGACTGAAGCCCATCTGTTCTTCTGTTGTGTGGTTTTTCAGGGTCATGCACCAGGTGCGATCAATGTCCAAATATACAGGCTTATAAAAGAGTGGACGGCCTGGGACATTGCCAGGCGTGCTGCTTTTGCATTTTTTGGCATCTTTGCAGGCACAGAAGAAAACCCTGAGTTTATACAGAGTATGTTTCAGTACAAACTATCAAGGTTTTACACTGCTTGATGTTCCAATGTTGTTCATTTAGCCTAGCTAGCAGAAGCTGGTACTCATCTGCTTATATTCTTACCAGCTGTCGATTCCAAACTTGGTAAAGATGCAAAGATAATAGTGGCTTGCTCAGCAGGAGGTACAATGAAACCATCACAAAATCTTCCTCAAGGTCAACAGTCCAGGTATTTCCGACTCTTCCAGATTCCAGAGTAGAGAAATTTCACTTGTATATGATATATCCAGAGCTTGATACACGGCAATACAATAGTAGAGTAAGATAAATGATGGCCAGCTAGGTAACTTGAACTTCATCTACCCTAATCGTTGAGGCGTCTGGATAAAGCATGAATGTTAGCTCCGTCAGAGTAAGGTTATCAATGCTTTTGCCTGTTCCTGCAGATCACTGATAGCTGCATACCTGTTAGTCCTCAATGGTTATAAGAACGTCTTCCACTTAGAAGGGGGTCTCTATACATGGTTCAAAGAGGGATTGCCAGCTGAAGCAGAAGAAGAATGAGGAATCATTGTGATTTTTCGCAGAATGGTGCTTCATGACAAGCCAGAACTTTTGCACCACCTAGCAAACGAAGGTTAATGCTCCTGTATCCTGACAAATTAACAGACTGGTGGTTATTGGGCTGGTGTATCCTAGGATTGAAGATCTTATGTAAATGACAATTCAATGTCTGTTCATCATTCCCCTAGATTTCAGGGGGGAATAAATCCAAGTAACTAGTTCATTTATTGGAGCATCTCCAGGAAAATAACATGTCAGCTGAAGAGCAAAAGAAAACGATGGAATATTTCTTGAATAGGAAATATGTCATTCAAGTATAGCATGTTTCGAAAAAGCAAAAGCTCTTGAAGCCACATCTATAATGAATAAACGTGACAGCTTGTTCTGGTTCGGAATGGGAGATCTTCGTGAAACAATTCAATCAGGGAAAAAAGCAAAGAATTTCCTTGCCAAAAACACAAGTGCAATTGAAGGATTGTACCTCTCTCCAACAAATCATCGGCAAAAAGGTTCCTAATAAGAGTCCTGTCATGTTAAACCCACTTGCATGGGCAAACACACAGCCAGTGATCGAGCTGGCAACCAAGATTTTGCATGGAAGCGAATACTCTTCAACACATAAACATTGTTAATCAGCTTCCCTAACTTGTTGCTGTCACTCAAATTCACCCAAGATAACAAAGTTCTCGAAGCAGCCAGATTGTTAACTGAAACTAAGTTAAGATCAAAGGGATGTTCAAACCTCTAAAAATTCACAACCAGCAAGCCCCATGGCACATCCAAACGCTGCATTCTCTTTCTCGAAAGATTGATCAGGTTCTGCCCAGTCCAGATTCAGCCTCGCAAACTCGGCTTGATAAGCTCGTATTGTTTGCATACCTAGGAGGCTCATCACTGTCAAACTGATTGATTCCATTGTCAACTGCATCAACTGCCTACCACATGGCACCAAGTCCCAATTAAACTCGAAGCAACAGAAGCTCGAAACAAGAAGTTTCATAACTGCATTGGTCGGTTGGGAACGGTAAAAATCATATCTTTTGCAGTACCTCGACAAAGTTCTTGTAAATGGATAGGTATAACCGATGTACGTCGGAGTCGCCTTCATCCAGCTGAAGCTCCTTTGCAATTATGTGAGCCCCGTAATGCTGAAAGGTTAACCAAACACTTTCCCTAAGCTCCACAGCTAGATTTCCAACTTCATTTCATGGATTTAACGAGGGCAGGGGTTTGTAAGTAAAACCTTGTAGACGAGGCCAGCGCTGCTGAGTTTGGTGTTAAACCCATGGCCAAACACTTGGTCGAATCCCTTCTGGTGACGATCATAGCGATCCCGACTCGGATCGTACAACACACCTCCTACATAAACCACCGCATCCAGCGTTTCCAGAACCTTGAGGAGAATCGGAATAGCAATTGAAATTGGTGCAAAAGAACTTCAACCGACAAATTACTACGTTCTGTATTGTCGATTGAATTGAGAGAGAGGGAAACTGTTTCGAAGCTGCAGTGGCGGTTATTATACCTGAGGGTCCCTGTTGCGGACAATTTCGGCGCCGGAGAACTTATCGGCGAGGCCAATCATGAAGCAAGCAAGGGCTTCGTCGCAGTGAAAGCTGCCGTTGTGAGTGCCAACCCGCTTCTTCGGCGTTGAGGTCGAGAAACAGCTCGGCTGAAGAGCAAATCTCGGAGTCGTAGTTTGGGAACGTATTATCAAATGCCTGAAGCTGAAGCAACTCAGCCCTCGAGCTCCAACTGCACCAAACATGGCTTCCACTCTGTTCGCTTCCAGGTTCTCGAATTGTTCTTCCTGCGTCTCTCTCGACCGCGGTAACCGCTAAACCACAAACCACGGCGGGAACTGAAGCGCCAATTTTGGCCGCCGAGCAATACGGTGTCGTTCTGTTGGGGTACGAAACCCTACACTAGGGTGAATTACCTTATGGTCACTGAAATTATCTATTTTCTTCAAAGTATCAAATGAATAGAAACTTCAAAATTCGATACGACATCTATCTAATACTCGAATTTAGATAGTTTATTTGCACTATAGCTATAAAGCTTCCTTTTACTTCACTTACCCCTCCTCGATATTCAATTTCTTTTGTTCATTTTTATCTTTCAGTTGTTGCTTATGAATTGCGATATTTTTGTTACCGACGTATCGTCATGTAATCAATTAACTTCTGATTTTCGTTTACATAACAACTCTTCGATTATGTCCGACATCTTATATAATTCTAATTTCAATGGCATTTTTCTTTGTCGCTCCCACTCACGTGGCTTAATACGACACTTATCCAAGGTCGAGCGCAATGCAATGTTATTGTCATCTTTTCACATAGCTTGAATCATCTTCCCGCCCACGGCGGCGTCTGTCACCCTACGTCCCTACCATCAAGACCCGAATTTAAACTACCAACAAACTTCTTCACAGTCCGTTCGATCAATATAAATTTAATAAAATTGAATTTGTCAACTTGCATGACCTTTCTTATTAGGCTCGAAAGTATAAGTTGATCGACTTAACTCATTTCATAGTTTAGATCCCGATAATTTGACATGCGGACTCTATAAACATCATAAAGCCCTTACAAGTTATAACCACAACCAAGTTATTTCTTTATAAATTACATACATCAATTTCTCTTGTACAAATCACATACAATTTCATCATGATTGAAATATATCAACATAATCTAATAGTAATTCACATATGCAAATTCCATCCTCAAAGAAGAGATCTCTCCCCTCCTTGGTTCTTTGGCAATTTACCAGGCGTCATCAAACTTAACTAGCTAGGCAAGCTTCCCCTGCATCCACCCCTGCAGCATCTGCAACGCCACCTTGGGCTGATCCATGGGCACCATATGCCCGGCATTGTACACCTTCAAGAAGGCCAACGGTCCATAGCTCTTCAGCTCCCCTGACTTCGCATTTCCCGCGACGAACGGCACGTTGGGAGCCGCCTGAAACTTCCTCTGCCCCGACCATTTCATGCCGTTGACCCAGTTCGAGTTCCCCAGCCAGTTGCAGATCAGGTCGTACTCACCGGCGTAGATCAGCACCTTCACCCCGCTCTCCAGCAGCGCCGGGATCCCGGTCTCGTAGTCGAGCATCCAGTCTCCCATCATCGCGTCGTAGACCTCGCTGCTGCAGGAAACGAAGTCGATGTCGTCCTTCACTCCCAGCGCCGATTTCACGGTGTCCTCGCCCAGGAAGTTCTCCATCCGCGAGAAGTCGTAGCAGAGCTGGCCCTCGCACTGCTTCCTGATGTCGTAGTACTGCACGGCGCGCGAAAATTGGTTTCAAGGTAGGAAATAGGAATTTGATTACTCTGTTAATGGGATTGAATTTTGTGTTTTAGGGTTTACGTTTATGTTGCCGGCGATCTGGAGAATGGACTGGAAGATTTGGTTGCAAGTGTAGAGCGCTTCCTCGCAGGAATCCTCGCTCTGAGGGCTGCAATCTGCGATTGCGGATTCGCAGGGCGGGACGAGTTCGCTGGCGATGGAGTCGCGGTCGGATTGGGAGATTAGTTTCGCGGCGAGGGCGAATTCAGGGTAGGCTTTGTACTGGAATGCAGGGTCGGTGAGGCCATTTCCGATTGCGAATCCCTGTCAAGAAGCAAACTTGGTGTCAGAATTAAGAACCCATTTGATCAATAAACTGACCCAGTAAGTTAAATTTGAAAGATTTTTCTACCTTCATGTTGATGTGAATTCCTTCCTTGTTCTGATTCCCTTTGAAAATCCTGGAAGCCAGAGCAGGGATGTAATGACCGGCGTAGGATTCTCCGGTGATGTAGAAATCATTTTTTGCATATTTCGAGTGCCCTTTGAAGAATTGCTGAAGGAAGTTGTACAGATCGTTGCTGACGCCGGTCTCGTCGTGCCTGATGTCACTGTCGTCGGTCGTGTAGCTGAACCCTGTTCCCGTCGGCTGGTCGACGTACAAAATGTTGGACGCCTGATCCCAACCGTAATCGTTCCACTGCAGAGCCATGTCCTCTGTAATCTTGAACGGACCGTTCTCGTAGAACAACGCAAGCTCACTGGCGCAACCTGGCCCGCCGGTCAGCCAGATCACCACGGGGGCATTGGTGTTGTTCACCCTTGACTCGAAGAAGAAATAGAACATCCTATTACAACCAAAACGTGTCAGAAAGATTTGATTGAAAGTTGGTGCTTGTGCATAAAAGCGTAAGCTTTTTAAGTTTTAATTCGCGATTTTGACTGTCGTTAGTTAGTCGTTACGTTACTGTTCTGTCCACTTACTTGGCGCCTTTGGTGTCAGGAAGGGAGTAGTAACCGGCGTAATGACCGAACTGTTGAATAGACGGGCCAGGTCCGCCGGAGACGTTGAAGCTGAACCGCTTCTCGCTGATTCGCTGCTGATGAACATCATCGTCGCCCGAAGTATCGTTCGAGACGATGTTGGCTTCGTGCTTCGGGAACAAGTTCAGGGACCGAATCATCCTTTCCGCCTGCCCTGCTCCTTTTGCTGCCGGAGAAACGAGCTTCAGTTGAGAAGGTGATGATGGCTGGTGCCGCAGAGCAGCCGAGAATGAACATGAGAAGAGAAGAAACAGAGTGAGAGAAAGGCAGGTTGCTGAGGAGATAGAACAAGAAGAAGAAGAAGCCATTGTTGTGGTTTGGTGGTGGATGGGAGAAATGATATGTGATTGAGTGGCGATGGAGAGGATATATATACATTTCATTTTCAGAGGTCCAGCCAATAAAGCAGCAAAAGCTGCAACAAACTGTCACTTTCTTGCTTAATTGCCTACACATTGGGTTAGAAGATTGATATGCTATTCATTTTCCTTCATTTGAATGAATGATTAGATGTGCTTAAGTGCGGAGTTTTGTATTAATTACCGGTCAAAAGAGAATTATAAGTGCATGAAAGGGCTTCAAAAGGCTGGTGCTTTGGAACGTTAATTTCAGAAGCTTTCCTCAATGGGAATTAATTGGAAGAATCTGAATTATGTCCACATTGGCTTGGCGGGGCGTTCAAGTTCAGGCTCTTGTTAATTATTTATGCACTGTGTTGCTGGCACGAAATTCCTAATTTTATGACCTGATTAGGAAAAGGGTTATCATGATTTCATGAATGTATGTATGTTTTGTAGCGCTTTTGTTCGTTCTGCATCCAAATTCATTGTTGTTGCAGAAACAATAACACGGCTGGATTCTGAGAAATCAATTTCGTTTTATCTGTCAATCCTTTGTTTTTCCTCTTCCTCTATGTTTACAATGTGTGAATTGGATTTCTTCGAAAACACGGCTGGATTCTGATTAGGAAGCAATACATGGCTAGGCGATACTTGAAGGCATTTGGATTTCTTCGAAAACACTCGAATGCACCGAAATGATGGAATGCACTTGAAAATCACTAGAGAGAAGCGAGTTGGCCAATACATGTCCTTTTACACCGTTTTATCAGCAAATCTGTGTCAGGAATGCATCAAACCAAACAATACTTTCCCGGAGTACAACTTGGTAGCCACAACTCGGTAAGCCTAGAAAGCCAAACCAAACACAACGCAGAACATAATCCAGGAAGCCATCCATTCACCAAATGCTTCGAAGTGTAAGCCCTTCCCACAACCAAATTCAGCGCGAATCGAGCAAAGCATAATTACCCCCCATTGTACACTTACAAGCTTGTGATTTGTGAAAATAACCCAATTTCTGCATAACCACAGCATAATAAATAGATCTCTGCTACATCATCCTCAACCACTAGAAACACTTAGCACCACCCGCCCTAATGATCTCTAATGAAGGTTAGCATTTTCCAGTGTAGAAGCAACGAGACAAGTCTCAACTTCTGCCACACAGCCGAGCTTGCACGAACCACGTCACAAGGTTAGATAGATTTTGCAAACAAGAAGTACTACACCAGCAGCTTCCAGCAGAGACAGGATCATTGCCCAAAGCCCACAACTAGCTTTCAACTGTGACTGAAGAAAAGCTTTACAATTTTGTCAAACGGCAGTTAATCTCTATATATCCTGATAAAACCTTCACCATCCCCGAGTGTGGCTGCCTTTCATCAGGAGCCTTCTTGCATCCTGTATATTGTAATTTCCTGCTGCTTAAAGTAGCGACGGTCCTCTTCATCCACCAGAACAAGGTTTAAATAATACTTCACACTGAACTTGTTATTAATATTGCGGTGCGTCGGTGTCAGTTCATATGGGCTTAGAAACAGTCTGATTGGAATTGATTCACCTATAGAGAAGTCACAATACAACACCAAATGCATCAAATATTCAAATCAAATCACACTATATCTGAACTTCAAAATAAAACTAAAACTTATGCATATAGTTTCCAAATTTCAGTGTAAATCTGTTTTCATTTTTTGTTTTTCTCCACTCCTTGGAACTTCTTTTTAGTTTGTAGACATTTTTCAACAGCGCTAGGGATTTTGATGCCCTTGTAGTAAGAATCTTGTTTCGACTAAGCGAGAATTATTTTAGAAAAGAAAGTTGAACATACCCCGAACAGGAGCTCCATCCATCAATTCAAACTTAGCAAGAGTCTCTGTCTCAACATGGGTATTCGCCCCTGACCCAGTCGACTCTCTGCGCCTGATCTCAAGGTCCATATTTTTTATCTTGATTCTCACAAGGAGAAAATAGATTTTACCAATAATCACGTCTTTCAGATGATACCTGCACAAAGAATTAGGCCCCAATGATCATTAAACACGACTACTATGTGTATCCACTCAAAAGTTAATCCAGCTGATTTCACCAATATTATTATCACTAATACCGTCATACGGTTTACAGCATGTTGTATTTTCAGACCCATCATCGCAATTATCTATGAAAAATCTATTGTGAATCTGCTATACCACCAATACCCTTGTTTGTGTTTTAGTAGCTGACACCTCCTTAATATAATTCAACAACCATACTGGATCTTCTAGGAAACAGGAAAGCTCGACGGTGCCCAGTACTGGATCACGAGCACCACAAGCAAGACTGACCAAGACCATGTGTAAAGATAAAATGACTTACTTGCTCTTGTTGTACTCAAACTCAATATGTAGACAATCTTCAATTCCAACTTCCATCTGCATAAGTGAACATGGATATAATTGCCATGCACTAGAATATATATTAAAATAAACAAACTTCGGACCATCATCACTAAATTTCTAGCCTATCCTTCAGGCTTCCACCATGTATTAGAGAAAAACACCAGTTCAACTGAAGTCATCTATCATAGTGGGCAGTTGGGAAACAAACAGTGACATCTGTTCCCTGTGCATTTCTAGATACACCACTAACCTTGATAGTGTTGTTAACAGGTGGAGGTGGAGTGTAGTTTCGTACCTGGAACAGAAACTTGCTATATCAGTGAACTTGATCACATGCAGAATAATAATAGTACAAAGCAAAAAAACAAGACAAAGGTGAACCCAGGAGTTCATTGTTTAGGAGAAGATGAATCCAGTTGAAAGCAAACCAATTCCACGTCCTCTCAACCGTCACCCCATTTCCTGGAATAATGTTGAGCCATTTCTTTTTCCTCTTTCCATTCCTCAATTTTAGTTCTTGCATAAACTAAGAATGAAACAATATTGTTCAGGAAATTATTGCTCAAACAACTTATACTTCAGGCTTTACATCGTCGCTTTTTCTTCCCAAACTATGCTGTAACCAGTTACTAACATCAACTTCTAAAAAACTCACACTATTCTCAAAATCCAATTCCCATATTCAGCAAACTTTCACCTCCCTAATTTCATACCAAAGGGACAGAATTCACTAAAAACCAGTCAAGAAAGTCAAGTGTGCTTGAAGGAGGGAGGAAGAGAGAGAGAGAGAGAGATATTACCACAAAGTCCTGGTATTCAATAATGCTCCCTGCATAACCTCGACTTACAGTCACTTTCAGAACATACCTGTAACATAAAAGATAAAAGAGAGCAATATAAGAAGCAACCATAACCTACAAGGTCTTATTCTACCTCTTTCAAGGCAATCTTTCTCAAACGTGAATTTACTCCAACTTTAATCAATTCGCAAGTGAAGCGATTCATCTCCAGAGTAAATAAATAAAGAACATACCTCAGCCTTACATTCACCCCATTATACGTCTCATATGGCATTTCTACTGTGGAGAATTCAAAAGGATATGTTTTCCTTTCATATAATTCTCCAGGGACCTCCAGTTCACGTACTGCCAACAAGCAAGAAATCAAGTCATCCGAAAAGTTCAAACTACCAATGATTGTACATTAAGAATTGGCATTCCAAACAAATTTCATGTCCTGTAATTTTTCATCAAGCTAATAACAAAGAATTCTTCGATTTCAAGCATGGTAGTAGAAATTGTGCAAGAGCATAGCTCATATGATTCGACTCAATCAATTGTTCCACCATGTCAGAGTGGCATGCAGTTATCAACCAAAGCGACTAGGAATCATTGTCAGGCCGTATTCCATATCTCATTTAAAATTTCCATCCTGGAGTTCTACCGCGAGTGTGCCATACACAAATGCAGGCACATCTTCTATACATGCAAGTAGTGCATAAAAGGGATGAACGACCATTCATACATCACCAATGATTTGCTTAAGCCAAAATCATCAAAGTAGACAGAATGATTGACCTTTCATTTTACCAATTCAAAAGCAGAGACAAGGTAAGAATGAGCATGGATCTTGGAATAACGTATGGAAAAAAAGACTAGTACTCACCAAGAGAGGTAAAGTCATAAAAATTGCCCCTGTCAAAGTACATCTCTGCAAAGCAGCAAAAAATAAAAGAAAACTAGTTACCATCGGACAAGAGTAGAACACATTATCAGACATAAAATAACAAACGATGCACAGCTGACTGCTGAGAAAACGATTGTTGCCAATGTCGCAAGACGCAGAACAAAGCCTTCTCCAATGATGTTTCATGATAAACACTCTTCCGCAAATTAACTAGTTATCATAATTGTTCTTTTTATAGTTGACGGTTAGCTCCAAGGTCTTGAACCTGTAACAGGTTAGATGTTTGCATCTGCATTACTGCTAGGTCAACCTCATGAGGCTATCTTTGTTTTCTTACTAGCCTTGCACTAGATAACCAGCTCTATCAAAGCCCAGTAAAGGAGACTTGAAAACACAATATTTTGGAATACAACAAGAAATTTCAACTTCCAATTACACCCTATACTTTCTCAGAACCCCAAATCAGCAGTTTCTACAAAACGAAAGCAGCTGAAATGTTGTTACTGGCACTCATACACAGTATATTTTTCTTTTTAAAGGAAAAAATCAAAACCAAATGTTATTTCAAGGGCTCCATGCCAAGGCAAGGCTTAGCAGATAATTTCAGCCGAAAATAAAGAACACCAGGAACTTAATTTCCACAGAGACAGGATTAGGAAGGCACCCTCAATCCTGTCTGTAGCACCTAGAGGCCACTCAAATAATTTAGTGGATAAAAGGTCCACAACAGTGTCACCATCTATCAATCTAAGAATACCCTGTCCGTGATCATAATGTCAAAGAAGAATAACAATGACAAAGCTATCTGTTGTTTATCAATTTACAATCCCAGAAGAGTGCAAGCTAAAGAATATATGACCCAAGGAAGATGCCCAAATTTCACATTCTCTGACATCTGTAATTATAAGGACAAAAATAAGGTGAAGTTACAAAACTCACCAATCTGACCAAGAAGCTCAACCTTAACACCATTGTGTTCGACCTTCTTCCCTTGAGGTGGTTCAATAACAACCTAGAACAATCCCAAATCCAAAAGCTCCTTGAGAATTCAGGTAACCAATCTTGCATTGGACCATGATAAGATGCAAAGCACAATGCTAAGAACAAAGTTAATGATAAGACACTGGTGCATGCACCTTGCCAGCAACACTTTCTTGGCTCTGAAAGAGTGGAGTCATAATGGTTTGGCCATTCTCCTTCTTCACAGGAACCTATGCAAAAAAAAGAAAGTAGATGGCAAATCAATCAAATGCAAGTTGCCTCCACCTCTTCAGTCAGAATTATGCTCTTTTTCCTTCCATCATCAATCAAAACTATGTTGAAACTCCACTAACAGCACAACGAAAGTCAGTCATACCTGTTTCCGCATCTTCGCATCATTTAATGTGATTGCTATATTACATGCGGGCTTGAAAGCTCCAATAATGTAATTCTGGGGGACAAAAGGATTGACTATCGGTACAAGACTGGCAAACTGAAACACACCCAGATGACAAGTCTCACAATTGAGCACGGGACGCTTACCATGCTTTCTATCACAGTACAATGCCCGTTAAGAATCCCTAGTCACCTGCAAAGAAAACGGGGGAATAAGGGAAAGGGTCGAATATGGAAGTCAACTTCAACAGCAGCAGCTGATGGGAAAGGGTTTCTGAAATGCCGCGAAAAAGAAATCCCTAACACAACAATCTTCTTCGAACGGAAGCAATCGCTCCAACGATCGATCAATTGGACGCAATCGCGGAGACGATGATAAATTGGGAACACGAAATGCAGAAACCGTGAGTAGCAAGATTGAAATAAGAACTGCGGATCAAGTTCCGTACCTTGGAAGAACTGTGAGGGCAAATGAACCCAGGGCTGATCGGAACGAACTCGGGCCAGCGAGTGAGACTTTAGAGGTTTGACAACCGCGAGATACTGCAAGTAGCCGGAAAAGCGAACGAGAGCAACTTTTGATCTCGCCGATCAAAGGAAGTTGGTTCGTTCTTTAGAGGAACAGTTGGGGAGTTGGAAGATGAATACTACTGCCGTGCCGAGTCCCGCTAAGCTCCAGCAGTTAGCGCCCGCCCCGTCTTCACTGGTTCGATGTCCTAATTAGGGCCAATATTTGGGTCTGCGGTCCGGTTATAGGATATGACCGGTTCAATATAGAGAATAAATAAACGACCATCAATTTTGGTTCGAGTTGGAAGACTCAATTTTGGTTCGGATTAAATTATTTTTACTTTTAAGAGAATTCATAAAAATAAAGGTTGATTAAGAATTAATCGCATAATAATCTCAATAAGATGATCCACCATCAAGTTTAGATATAGTTGTATGCATAAAATACAACAGATAATTCAATTAGTAGAAACGTGCGCGTATCACTAAACGCATAAGACACAAAATCCATAGAACAATAATTAGAAATATTTCCTACCAAACCAATACTGCAACATCGATTGGGTCCAATTTGTTCTTAGATCAACTTTATATGCACTCTAAATGAAATCATTACCCATCATAAACTTATATTACATCTCTGATTCAATGCGTAAATTGAAGTTCGGTTTTTGTTATCAAATCATAATCTACAAATATGATTAAACATATATGCCTAACAATAATCCTTTTTGAATGAGATTATTGCTTCTCTACACATGTAAATGAATTTTTTTCAATTTAATGCAATCTATAATCCTTGGCTTTGCACGATTTTATGCAAAATCACGAATATACTAAGATTTCGCGCCACCTCCATCGATTCTCCCTTCCTTCTCCAGCGGGCCGGAGCCGCCGCCCAGTTCCGACGAAGGAACAGAGTTCTCCTCCTTCCGCCGGCTACCGATCCTCAACAGCCCGTACAATTTCCTGAACTCCCTCACCGTGTGGACGCTCTCCCTGCAAAACACTCCTCCTCCGTCATCCCCTGCTGCTGCTGCCGCCGTCGGCGGCACACCCGACGCTCTGCTCTCTCTCATCAACCGAACCGCCCGAGCGTCGCTCGCGGCGGCGTCGGCGGCCTGGAGAGCCGTGATCACCGATTTCAGGGCCCGGCTCGGCGACCCCCTGTTCGCGATCATGATTTCTCCGATCTCCGCAGGGCTCAAGCTCGCCCCCGACAAAAACACCTCCTCCACCTGCGGGAACAGCTTGTGCTCCTTCACCCCCAAGTAATTTCCGGCCAGGGTCTTGAACGCCGGGAAATCACAAAGGGGGAAATGGATCTGCACGTCGATTCTCCCCGGCCGCAGCACCGATGGGTCAATTCCCTCCTTTGAAGTCATCGTGTAAATCATCACCCTCTCTTCACACCCAATCCCGTCCATAAACTTCAACAATCCGCTCAAACTCAAATTCCCCGACGAATTCGCCAGAAGCCGATCGAGATCCTCGATCACGACCACCGACCGGGGCGTCGTCTGCGAGAGTAGCTTGAGCAGGTCCCAATCGCCCGCCAATTTCGAAAAATCGATTTCGTAAACGTCGAAACAGAGGAACCTCGCCATGGCGGCGACGAAGCTCGATTTCCCCGTCCCCGAGGCGCCGTGGAGGAGGTAGCTCCGCTTCCAGGCGCGGCCGAGGCGGTGGTAGTACTGCTTCGATTTCAGAAACAATTCGAGGTCGGATTTCACTTTCCCCTTCAGATCCGCGTCCATCACCACCGTCTCCATCGTGGCAGGGTGCGCGAACGGGACCGCCCTCCAGGGGGATTCGGCCGCGGCGGCGGAGGGGGCGAAGTGGGTGGTGAATGATTTGATCTCCCTGCCGGCGTCCTCGGAGACGGAGAGGATGTGCTGGAGGTAAGGGCGGAGGATCCGCCGCTTGTCCTTCTTGCGGAGGCAGAGGACGAATTTGCAGCCGGAGGAGGCAGGGGAAGAGGCAGGGTGGTTGGACCAGGAGAGCGGGGCGGAGAGGAACCGGTCGGTGATGACGTGGCGGTTGGGGTCCGGGGAGAGGATGATGTCGTGGGAAGGGTTGGAGCCGGAGAGGAGGTTGGTGGCGGCGGCGGAGGAGTCGGAGGGTTGGAGGGAGGAGAGGTAGGCGGCGACTCTGGAGTAGAGCGGATTTGGGAGGAGGGTTGTTGGGTCGAATTGGGGGACGGTGTAGGTTTGGTGGAGGTGGAGACGGTCGGCGATTGCGCGGCAGGATTGGAGGACGATGTGGCGGATTGATGTGGTGGCGAGGACTCGGAGGAGGAGGAAGGTGGGGAGTAGGATTGCGACGCCGGCGAGCAGAGTATGCATGGCGCCGGAGGGAAAACTGGTGAGAGAGGTTGGTGGGGGAAAAAAATGGGTTGTGATGAAATTTTCTGGTATTATGATGGTTTTTTGGTTTATGAATGGAAGAGGAGGAAGAGGAGTCAATTCCGGCCGGCGGGAAGTTTCAGTTTATTATATTGGAGAGGAATTGCCATGCAGCGGCGGTCAACCAGGCCAGGCAACAATTGGGAAATTTGTCGGCGACGATTCATATGTTAATTACGCGTGAAAGCAATCATTCGGCGAATTAGCGGGCTAACAAGGGCGTAAACCCGGGTTTAATTTGGTAAACCTAATCGCTGATATTTTTTGGTCTAAACATTTTTTAAAATTTTGATTTCCTAGGTTTTTATAAAATTTAGTAACCGTAATTGTTGACATCTAATGGAAAAAATCATCCGACCAATCTATATACAAAATCTTTACATTTGTTAGAAAATTAAGATGTTTAGATTTTATAAATTTGTCAAAAAATTATATACCATAGAATTTTATGTTTTAATCCACTGTCATTACTATGTGGAATTTCTTCTTTTAGTATTTGTTGGTATCAAACAAATACATGAATCTAGGGTAAGGAGCAAGACAAAAGATCCTTCAATTACAGGCGGCCAAAGGATTTTTTATTTTTATAAGAATAGTGGCATTAACATAAAATAACTACGTTTCCGACTCGTTTATGTCTGGCAATGACAGGCTAGAGGTTGTCACTTAAATTGGATTTACTGTCATAACTTGTAGTGAAACAAAAGACATTTGTAGGCACATACATTTTTTTAACCATCTTAAATATCTTGTATTCACATACATATTTTGAGTTTTTTTTTTCACAATCTAATCAATCTAATTAGCAAATTAAGCAGTTCTATTAATCAAACACCCTTCTCTATCATTATTATTGCATCAAAACTCTAACTATAAAACACCATATGTATAGTTGCAAACACTTCCTTGTTGCTCGGGAGACTGCGAGTTTCTTCGGAATAACAAATCACATTATTTTGTGATTGTTAGACACTCGTTAAAACTCTTTTGGATCGTACAACTTGCGAGTCTGGAGAAGAATGCTACCATCAAACTCAAGAGCCTAATTAATATGTGTTTTTTTTTTCAAACCTTAGAAAGTTGAATTGTTTGGCAGCAGCAATGACAACGAATCCAGTCAGAAGTGGATACTGCATATTTATTATCCTACCAAAAACTATTTGGGTTTTAATTCCACTCATACCACACAACAATGGGGTAGGGTATAAAGACCATACTCATACTCGATCAAGTTTTGTGTATCCACAATTATATCCATGTGCAATAATTATATATATAATTTTAACCAACATGTTAAGAATTACACATATACTCACATTGCATAAGTGAAAAAGGCACAACAATAAAACTACCAGAGCGAGAAATTAGTAAAAAAACAACACATTTTTTTACAGGTTAAGAAAATAATGATCATTTGTAAACATAATAAATATTCATGTGTGTGTATAATCGGGCAGGTTAAGATTAGATAGTAAGAAAATCATATACATTACCTATCAGCATCAATATTCGACTTCGAGTTTTATCTATACCAATTAAAAATCCTCTGAGTTCAAACTTATTCATACATGATTGGATCGGATTCGAACGAATAATTATGATCCTATCATCACTTCTAAAATATGTTTTTATTGAAGACCTATACATGAAGTGTATCTTATAATAAGTTTGGTGGAGGAAGAGTGTTACTACCCGGTCCATATCAACAAATGTCATATTTGACACACTTGACCACTTACCTAACTTGGAATTGAATAAACAAATCAAAATTCAAACCCAAGAAAGTTGTTTGTGTTGTTTTTAGTTTTCAAGCTGCATGGATGGCTACGCCGCATGCCTGAGTTTCGTCCTCGGATGCATTAGTCGCTAAATGGTTCGAGAAGTCATTTAACTTTGAGTGAGATGACACAATCAAAATGATTTGGTGGAGCATGTTGATCAACGATGGTTAACTTGATCCACTCATAGCAAGTAAGGTTAAATCTCACGAAGTACTAGGGTTTGTTAGGAATTGAGTTTTTTTTTTTTTTTTTTTTTACGAGAGACGGAGAAATTGATCGACTGGATTTCGAGTCTCTCTTTCGATTTGTTTGTGCTTGGAATGTACCAAGCGGTTTGTGAGACTCCACTGGCCTTGGGCGGCTTTGATGGTCGGGGGCGGTCTTCGAAACCCTGCAGAAAGGTCCTCAGGGGGTTCCTGGGACCTCCTCCGATGCTTAAGTTAGAGAGAGAAGTGAGGAGGAAGTAAATAAGAGAGAGAATGGAGTTGGTTGAAGTTCCCCTAAATGAGCTCTATCATTGGGTATTTATACTAGTTCTGAGGGTGTTACGCGCATTTAATAGCTTGTCGGGCGTTCGAGGTCGCCTCTGCCTTCATTAAATGCTCGCTCTGGTCATGTCTCTTGTCAGACTCCGTACCCAAAGGACAGAAGTCCGTTAGACCGGATTGTCGGGCGGTCTTCTTCCTTGGGCAGGCCCGGGTGTCGGGCGGTTTTATCCGAGGGCCGTCGAGGACCGCCCTCGAATGGTGCTTTTGCCCCCGTTCGGGTGGGCTTTACCTTTCATGGGCTTTTGGTGACTTTGTGGGCTTGGGACCCATGTGCCTCAATATTTGGTCCAACACGATCTTTGTTGAGATTTGAATGCAAGCAGAAGAAGCCAACTTGACGATCCTGTTGATCTAGTTCAGTCTTCGTGCAACTAGAATCATGTCGAGTAATGTGACATGATGATATATGAATATTATCATATGTTAAGCAGATGTATTAATCGTATATGTGGGGTTTTCTATTAAATTTCACCTTGATTCGAAAAGGATCTCATGGGTTTTTGTGTTTCGCAACCCAATCAACCTCGATCTCCTATCTATAATGTAAACCTGCATGATCGTTTTAACAATGAGGGTATAGAACATGTTTTCATTAACAAAAATAATCGTTTTAATAGTGATTATCGAGTTTAAAGAACATGTTTTCATTAAAAAAAAAAGACAAACAATTTGTAATGAAGAATGCTCTCCAACAAATTTTCATACCATAAATCTCATCATTCTCTTACGAACAAGGGATTGGTCTAGTGGTAATACCACTAGCCATGAACCTGGAGGTCTCAGGTTCAAGTCCCTTAAGTAGTACCTAATAATAAAAAATTAACCTATATCACCCTTATCTAAAAAAAAAATAAAAAAAAAAATCTCATCATTCTCTTATATTGTCCTCATTAATTTTGGAAGAACAAAACTTATTACTCAGACAAATTACTCAAATTTAGCTCGAGTGATGTAGCAATAAACAAACTTTGTTGGCATCCAATCCAACCCAACCACCCAGGATCTACCCTTAAACCAAACCTTCAACTCCAACCTGCCGGTCCAACCAACTCCCAGTCTCCCACCCCTACAGTCCCCGCCAACATTCTATTTTCCCCTTCCCGTCTGCAAGCACGAGGAATCCAGGTGCCAAAAACACTGCCCGATCAATGAAACAAAATACGAGGTCGACAAATCGAACAAACTTCTCGTACTTCAGATTCGCCGTCCGCCGCCGGTGATACCGCTTTCTCCGGAGCCTGCTTACAGAGGGAGTCAACGCATCGCAAATTCAGACTCCACAAGTCGAAATTAACTGTGGGGGAGCAAAAATATGGGGTCTCAAGGGCAACGTGGAAGTGGGAGCAAGCCGCGAATCGGGAGGTACGAGCTCGGAAAGCTGCTTGGGCTGGGAACTTTAGCAAAGGTCAGGTTTGCCAGGAATACCGAGACCGGGGAGAATGTTGCCATCAAGATTATTGACAAGGAAAAGGTCCTCAAACGTCAGATGATCACTCAGATTAAGCGAGAAATAGTGACCATGAAGCATCTGCGACACCCAAATGTCATCCGTACGCACGAGGTTAGAAATTTGAGCCCTTGTTTACCCTTGTTCTGGTGTTAGTTCAGAGAGCCCTTTTTTACTCTTGTTCTGTTTGTTAGTTCAGAAGGTGTTTTGTTTGGTGGAAGGGGCCATTGGATTGAAACTTGATTGGATTTCTGCAATTTCTGGTCTAGTTATCTTTCTCATGCTGTTAAACTCGAAAGAGAATCAATCTCGTGTAGCATTTTCTTTGTTATCTTTGTAAACTTGATTGGTTTTTTCACCTCTGTCCTTTCTTCTTTTTGAAAAGTTCTTAATATTTCTCTGCTAATGTGCAGCAGCTCTTCTGTTTCAGGTGATGACATGCAGGACAAGGATATACATAGTCATGGAATACGCCGCTCGTGGTGAACTTTTCGACGAAATTGTAGTAAGTATGGTCTTGACTTTGCTTTGCCCAAACACAGTGAACATGGACTCACGAACAAGGCTTAGTCTAGTGATAATAATACTAATATCATTAGTCTTGAACTTGGAGGTCTCATGTTGGAATCCCTTAAGTAGTATCTAAACAATAAAAATTAAACCTATATCACCCTTATAAAAAAAAAAGAACATGGACTCAACACATTGTTTTCTTGTTTGATTTCTTAACACCAGGCAGAAGGGAAGCTGAGAGAAGTTGCAGCAAGGAAGTATTTTCAGCAGCTTGTAACTGCAGTTGATTTTTGCCACAGTAGAGGTGTATATCATCGGGACCTAAAGGTACTCGAGTCCTTTTGCCCCCAGGACATGTTGTATGTTTTCTGCTTCATAGTTCCTTGCAAATCTTTTCTTGGTGATTGCTTTATTCATTTGTCTTTCATCAGCCTGAGAATCTACTTCTAGATGCTTCTCAAGTACTTAAAGTTTCCGGATTTGGATGGAGTGCATTGCCTCAGCAAGTCAGTGTGAGTAATGATGAGATCATGGTCAAGTTGTTTAGAATTCGCTCGGTCATTCTTTTTATAGCATGAAGCTGCAAACTTTCTGCACTTACAGCTTTCTTCTTCGTGCTCTAGGGAGACGGGTTACTTCACACAACATGTGGCAGCCCAAATTATATTGCTCCAGAGGTACTTTAGATTCCTTGCATTCATATTCATTTCTTAGCTAATAGTTGCTTTCTTGTTCCCTAAATTTGACACTTCTCCAGGTACTCCACAACAAAGGTTATGACGGAGCCAAGGCTGATGTATGGTCCTGTGGTGTAATTCTTTTTGTCTTGTTGGCTGGCTACCTGCCTTTTGATAGTAATAACATAGCGGTACTGTACAAAAAGGTTGGTTTTCTTTCTTTCCTGCACAAACTAATAGATGCGTGTATATGGTGTGCTTTTGTGTAACACAGGTTCACTGAGAGCACTCTGGTTTGCTGTAAATAGATATACAATTTCAGTGTCTCACTAACACTCTTACGAGCTGTTACTTCGGAAGCAATCATCCTTCTTCCATGTTTTTACCTGATAATTTCTGATTGCAGTTTGTTACAGCTGATTATTTAAGTCCCCATTGGTTCTCCAATAGTGTAGCGGAACTAATTAGAAGGATATTGGATCCCAATGCATCTACGGTATGGCATCTTTGATTTCTGTTGGCTCCCTTGTTTGTATTCATTGTTGCTGCCGATTTAGTGCATTTACGTTATTTTCTTCTCCTGATGAAACAGCGAATCAGTACTGCTGAGATTATTGAAAATGAGTGGTTTCAGAAAGAGTATGAGCCACCTGTTTTTGAACAAGCTGATTTTGGTCTAGATGATGTGGACTCCTTCTTCAATGATTCATCAGTAAAGTTCTTCACCCTCCCCCATGCGGGCATTTCTTATATCATATTTTGCAAAGTTGAAATTGATATTTCTGTTAATGAACAGGACACTCGGAATTTTGTTGTGGCTCCTATGAATCCTTCAGAACTGATGTCTACATCTCAGAGTCTTGACCTCAGTAGTCCATTCGAGAAGCAGATGGTATGTTTTAATAGGCGCGCCTCATATATATTGTCATGAACAGACAGATCCCTTAAGTTTAAGGCTTATAAAAAACCTAACTGTTGCTCCTTTCTCTGTGTTCTTGACAATGTGCACATTTCCGTTTTTCTAGATCTGCATATATATGTCTGCTCAACTAGTAATTAGCCGCATACTTCAGATGTTGATGCCTGTTTTGGTAAAATAATTGTCCTTGGTAGCTTCATCGGCTTTGAGTCGATCTCATTGTTGGCAATCATAATGTTCCAGCATAGAGATTTTGGGTGTTGCTTAGGTCGGTTTTAGGTTGTTGGTTAATAGCTTGGAACAGAATCAAACTTAGTCTTCCTTTTGCTTTTAGGAACTTGGTAAACGTGAAACTGGATTTGCATCGAAAAGATCCGCTAATGACATAATGACACAAATTGAAGCAGCAGCAACATCTTTGCATTTTGACGTGAAGAAGAATAACTTGAAGGTTCAGTATTCTCTCTCTTTCTGTCTCTTAAGGAATTTCTATAAGAAGTGGGTATTTTCCAAAAGTTTAACGGCTCTTCCGTTCTACAACCTAGATGACTCTTCAAGGAGAGAAGACAGGACCTAAATGCCACCTTTCAATTGCAGCTGAAGTAAGTTCAAGCATATTTCCAGCACTGTCAAAATGTTCTGTTCTTGTATCCGACTTCAGTTGTATGAGGGCATTGACCCATGTCTTCCATTCAGATCTTTGAGGTGGCTCCTTCTCAATACACGGTCGAGCTTCGCAAGTCTGGTGGTGACGCCCTGAAATTCCACAAGGTATTTGATTGTGTCTCATTCGCACAATAGCATACTAATTCCACCGATTTGAACCTTCAGCATTTTATTTTTTGCCATCTGGACAAACTAGTATCAGCTTTTCGTCAATAGTACTTCGAATGTTTTATGAAAGACGTGGGTGATCTGAGTTCCCTTGACAGCCTCAGTTAGAGTTTGATGTTGCTTAAAAGTTGCAGTCGGTCACCACATTTTCAGTACACGTATTGACGACTTGATGCTGACATTGTTCATCGTTGCTCGCAATATGCAGTTTTACAGGAGCATCTCGACTGGACTGAAGGATGTTGTTTGGAAAACAGTGGATGAAGAGAAGGAACAAGGGAACGTAAAGGTTGAAAGCACAAGTTGAAAAGGTGTGCCTGGGTATGCAACATGACAGTACTCCTCCTTTCCTCTGCAAGTATACTACCCAAAGCAAGAAATGTGAAACTGCAAGAGTTTGTGGTTTAGTTTGGTCGTTGGATGGGAGAGTATAATGCTCATATTTCAGGGTAGAAGGCAGCAAAGGCCACACTCGCCGTCGACGAAGAAGGCACGACGACGTCGATGTTCCACAGTCGGCACTCTCTCCGGGAAGAAGTTAATACAAAAGTCGTTAACATATGTAGAAACGCTTCGTGTTGTGACTTGTGAGACTATTGATTAGCTTTTCTTTTTTATGGAAGAGACTATTAGTTAGCCTCACTAGACTGACCATTTTGTTCTGTTTTTCATAATCGGACATGATGTTGAACCAGAAAAATTATTGGCTTAGATTTTAGTGGTTAACCGTTACAAAATTGTTGGTTAACGTTTCATAGAACTTATATAACATACGAGATTTATATAATACACTAATTTAAGAATGAAGTTATCTTTAATCATAATCAATTTTAAATTCATATCTTCACCAAAATATCTAACAAATCATTCAAATTGTCTCACAAGAGAAATCATAATTTTTTTCATTCAAGTTAAAAATTACGGTGCTAATCGGTAGTGAACCACGTTAAGTCAACAATGAGGTTGAAATGAGAAGAGGAACCATGAATAAATTAATAATTATAGTTTGATGGTCTTATTTTTTTAAAAAATTTTGTGGTTAAAATAGTGAACCAGTGAATCAGTTAAACCGTGGTGGTTCTTCTGATTTTATGTCGAAACATGAAAAATCGTTTGGTCCATCCATAACCATCCAAGTAATGAACTGAACCAGTATCATAACTGATTTGACGGTTCTGCTTGCTTACGCACCCATTGATTCGGTTGGGTTCTTATAACAATCCCATTTTGTTTCTCCTCCCGCCCGGCTAGATTGTCTGCTTGTCCTTTGTCGAGTACCACGCTGCGCGCCATGGCGACCGAGAGCTGCAGCTCGGCTTCTATCTCCGCCGCCTCCAATGTACGTCTTCGCTCTCAGACGATCCGTTCAGAAGCGAGCCCGATCACCAACCTTGAAGACGATCTTCTGCTAGAAATTCTGATCCGCCTCCCAAACCCTAAACACTCCTGCCGTTGCAAATCCGTCTGCAAGCGATGGACCTCTATGATCTCCAGTCCCTACTTCAATCGCCACTTCGTTTCTCACCACCAGAGCAGGTACCAACCGATGCTTCTTACCAACGCGCAGCTGGTCATTGAGAGCATTCTTCCCATCGCCGCCGTGCCTACCGATGAGGCCGACCTACTACGGCTTTTCGTAGTTTGGGATAACTATAAGGATTTGCTCTTGTGCGGGTTTGAGGATTTAGGACCTGGTAATCTCGAATCGGATAGATCATACATTGTCTGCAATCCTTTTACCAAGCAGTGGGTCGCGCTCCCTTTAGCGCCTGTAAAGACACTCGATTACGTCGGACCGTGCCCAAGGTTAGTCGGTGAGCCCCGCATTTCCTCTTCTGCTACTGTTAATCTTGACCTAGGAGATGGCCGTGAATTTGCTTATGCTTCTGAGCATCGGTTCCGGGTGGCTTGCATGTATACAGAGGTTGGTGCTGTTACTATGAGATTGAGACTAGACTTGTTTTGCTCTGAATCTGGAGAATGGACCAAGGACGCCATGGTTCTTGATTTTCCTGATGGACCCTTTGATTGGGAATTAGTTTCCTGCAATGGGGAGTTGTATTGTTCGTATCCCGTATTTGATGGCGCTAGGGGTAGGGTAAGATGTCTCCTTGCTGCGCTTCATCCTTTCCACCTTGATGACCACCCTCCCACTCATTATATGGATGCTTCCGAAATCCTGAACAGTCTGACGGATTGCAGTCTCACCATCTCACAGGGTGCTTTGCACTTGGTTGCAACTGGCCGTGATGTTCCGCCTGGTCACTTGACTGTTTGGAGGCTGGAAGAAGATGGTAAGTCTTGGAAGAAACAACACGAAGGGTTGGTGAACACGGCGTCAAGAAGGGGTAACTATAAACTTGAGTACTTGTTTCCAGCTGATCTGCATCCAGAGAAGCCGGAGATTGTCTTCTTACGGTATTTGGATCTCGATGATGAGAGGTTTGCTAGTACCTACGCCTGTAATTTGACGAGTAGCGGGGAAGAGATAGAATTCTTTGCTGAAAAAGGTCATAGTTGGAGGGTGGTCCAGCCCAAGGTTTCTGGTTGGCCTACTCCAATTCCGAGGTACGAGCAACTACGAGGTCTATACAATGGAAGTCGCAGCTGCTGGGTTCAGAGCAGTCGAAGCAAAAAAAAAAAAAAAAAAATCCCTCCATTGTAGGTAATTAGTTACTTCTGCTCTTGAGAGAACTTCATTTCTGTCATGTATTTAGGTATCTGTCAGGTTTAGGAATTCACTAATGGAAACAAAGATACACAGAAGTAAAGTTTTTCCCCAGAAGTATGCTGCAACAATATCATGAAGTACAGTCCCCCGAACCAGCTGCTTCCTCATCATGTATCGCATATTAAGTTAGCACCTGCATGCACGTCTTGTTTTTCTTTCCTTGCCAATCCCTTGCGGATTCTGTTGTTTTGGCAAACACTGCAACGTTGTAATCTGAACTTCAATGAAGTTGGCGAGACGATAAGATCCTCAATGTATATGTCGTCTCTCGACTTTTCTTTCTAGTGCCTAGTTTTCCTGTCTCATCGCCTCTTCTCATTTGTTGTTGTTGTTGCTGTTGTTAGGACTAACAAAAGAATGCCCACCAGTTGACGACCGAGTTGCTCAATCTGCCCAGCAGAGGTAGGGCAAGAGAACAGCATCGCCCTCAGGCGGAGTCGTGGAGTGAAGAAGCCCAAGGAAGGTGAATGGCTAGCTCCTTTAAGACCGTTAGTCTCCAAATGATGCAATGTAATTGGAGGAATTTGCAATGGCAGAGAAACTTGGTTGCACACTTGCACTCTGTTATGAAATTAGATCAGGTTTGCTAAGTCGGTTAGAATTCAGGTTTTAGTCGTAAGTGCCAAATTTCAGTAAGTAGGCCAGTTCGTTTGTCTTCCTTGTAGCATCATCCCTTATCTACAAGTGGCGAAATTGTTGCCTATCGATCCAAGTTTTATTTTCTGGTTCATCGATTGTCTCGATGTTATCAGAACGTCTTCTCCCTCTGTCGCAAGATCGAACATGATGCATGGGCTTTGATCACCAATCTAACCGTGCTAGGGGTCACATGATTTGTACAGTAGTCATTCGTCGTGGTGAGCTCATCTGCCAGGCAGCAGGTCAGCCTATCTACTGTCGTCCTTAAGGGGAAAGCCGAGCTCGTCCCCAACACCGAACACCTCAATACAGTCATAAAGCTGTTAAAAATGCAAACGAAACCGTTGCAGCAGTTGAAATGCTCTAAACCCAGATACATCCAGGTTGAATCACTTCATCACTCACCAGCACGAACTCACCACAGGCTGACTGCAACAAGCCTCCACAATGAACTGTAAAATCCATTTCCGAATCAGACCAACCATTAGTTTAAACCGAATCAGAAGGATACGCTACACTGCAAAAATGGGATAACAATGGCTGGAATCCTGGCATATATAATATAGCTTCTATTCTTACACGTGAACATGTAATACAACCATAAGAAAGAAAGATTCTAACTTCTACAGAGGCTACGACCACCCGCCTCATATAACCTGACCGGTCAGTTGCATCATTGTAGTTGACAGGACAAAATTTCCCATGGTCTCGAAAGCTTAGGCGTAACGGGGGAATAATGTTACTAATGTTCCTCATTCACCTCGTCCCGAGAATCTGGTTGAAGATTCAAGATTTGGGAAACTACAAGCTTAGACAGCTGATTTATTGTAGCGTGAACATGGTCATCGTCGTCCGAAGACTGCCTGGGCCACCCAGGAGATTGAGAGCTTGACCTGTTGTACTCAGTTGCCGCTACTCCTGTCCTTTTCGATGTAGCCAGAACTTTCTCAAGGTCTGTCTGGGTCATTGGACGTGGTTCCTGGATTAGGGAGGAACGTAAGAAATCTTAGTTAAGAAACTTATTTTATATCAACAAAAGAAAACAAGAATCAACAAGCATGTAAACCAGCTGACTAGCACGCCACTGACTGAATTAGGCGAAAACAACCAAAAGAAATGCAACATAATATAGATTATCAAAAGCATTATACTCACTTGATGTTTCTTGCCCTTCTTCTCCTGGTCCAGTAGGTCCTTAATAGGAAGATAAGCAGCCTTCTTGCAGAGTTCAAAAAGATCAGAACCTGTGTAACCATCACAAAGACTTGCTATATAGTTGAAGTCGATGTTACGTTCAACACACTCGCCCTTCAAAATCACCTTCAATATATCAGCCCTCTCCCTGCGGTCGGGCATTCCAATCTCAAAGGCCTGTGGAAGGCGTCGAAGTATTGCCTCATCGAGTTCAGATGGACGATTAGTAGCAGCTAGCACCATCACTCTTGCATTCTCTGCATGATATTTTAAACCCATAAAATTAGCAAGATAAGCTCATCCAAGTATGGTAATCTCTAATCTTCTAGTTTAATTAATAATATATCACCTTATTAAAAAAAAGCTCATCTAAGTACCAGCAAAAGATTGAAACAATCATAATTGAAAAAAATGAATAGAAGCAACTCACGGTCTGTTGTGAAACCATCCCACAAAGCCATGAACTCAGTCTTCATATTTGCCATTGCTTCTTGATCTGTAGAACGCCGCTGTCCCAGAAAGCTGTCGACCTCATCAATGAATATGATCGCCGGCTGGAGTTTATAAGCAAGGCTAAACACAGCAGCAACTACAACAGAAATATTTTTTTTTTGTCTCAGTTCGAGCGACCACTCAAGGGTTTAAGGACCAATAAAAGCAGCTAATATTGCACACATGCAACCATGGATATGCAAGGTGCATTAGAACTAGAAGCACCAGACTTACAAACTCACCAAGCTTTTGAGCATCACCAAACCACTTGCTCATCAGATTTGAAACCCTAACATTGATGAAAACAGCACCAGATTCTTTTGCAATAGCTTTAGCAAGCATCGTCTTTCCTGTACCTGGAGGTCCATATAACAAGACCCCCTTCTGAGGACCCAGAAGCTTCCCATGTGAAAAAAGTTCAGGTCTCCGGAGTGGAAGAATGACAAGTTCATATAATGCTTCTTTGATGTTGTGTAATCCGCCAATAGAATTGAATTCCACATCAATGCGATCAGGATTTATAACATCACAAGCTATCACATCCTGTCAAAATATCAGAGATAGAAGGAAATCAGATTCATGAAGCTTTCAATCCCGCCCTGTTTCCGGAAAGAGAGACAGAGAGAGAGAGAGAGCCATAAACAATTCCAAATCAAGCAAGGTGATATTCTTAAAGCTGGAATTATCCGAGCACTAGTTACAAGATTTGCAGCATCCAGTAATCGTTGGCAGTAATGATGCTAAATGTTGACAAATACCTAACAGCAATTCAGGCTAGGATGTTTCACATCGAGAGCGACTCAAATTCTTGAGCGTAGATGACCTTTATCCTAAATTCTAGCATAAAGGACAGAACTTTAAAGACTGATGCACACCAACGAATCAGTGACATGAAATTCTAGTAGTCAATTGGGGAACATTCAAATTGATTTCCAAATCTATCCCTTAAATAGTAAATCATTCAATTGCTATTGAAGATCCCAACATCTCCAAGAGAAGCATACAACTCAACAAATTGTTCGAAATAAAAGCAAGCAAGAACCATTCATCTCCTAAATGGTCTTCCCATGGCAAAGCAGTTATCCTACCAGGCATTCTAGAAACCTACTCCGTGCTTCGAAATTTCCATTTCAGAACCCCACAAATTAAGGAGAGCTGGGAGAATTCAGAAGAGCCCACAAGAGCAGCAGATAAGGCAAGACCAAACAAACTCACAAGTCGCCACCAACAACACCATAGCTACCTTAATAATCCAGAAACAAACAAACAAAACCCAGCAGTAATATGCAACCAGAAGAAAAATTAAGAACAACAGCGAGATTATAAGGGAGATGGTGGGGAGCCTTACCTCGTAAGGATTGGTCTGTATAAGAGGACGACCCAAGCGCTTGGCGATTTCCTTCTTCTGTTCAACGGCTTTCTTCGTAGCCTCCCTATTGGGGTCGAGATGGCGGAGCCCGACGAACAGGACAAGACAGCTTAAGGCCGCGCTCGCTGCGTATAGCAGCAGCTCCTGCAAGACCTTGGTCTCCGACGAACTACCCATTGACGGGGAACCAAAAAAAAGAACAACCACCGAGTCAAAAATCCACCCCTTTTCCCCCTCTTAGCCGTACGAAAGAGGGAAAATTTCTAGGGTTCTGAAACTATAATGAACTTGGTTGCAGGAATTGGTTTGGACGGATGAGGATAGAGAAGGTGTTGGGTTTTGGGGTAATTTGATTGTTTCTGAAATTCGTTCATCTTGGGGAGTAAGAAACCAGGAACGGGGAGATGAGGGAAGGAAATTTGTTCCTTCTGCTATTTGCCTTCCTTTCCACTCCCCGAAATTAGGCCGGTCAGTTCGCTGGCCCATTTTGTCTTGTTCTGGGCCTGACTCAACCTTCCTTCTTTCAAAAATCGTTTTAGGCCGAGCTGCGTGGGGTTTACTTTTGGGCCCTACCTATCTGGGCCTAAAGAATTTTAAGTGGTTGGTTTCGATTTTGGTACAACACGAGCTAATTTTTCTACGTCTAGGGATCGTATAGTATCAAATGAAGACAAAGCACCAATAATATAATATTAGGGCTGGGGAAAATAGACGAGACCGTTAGAAAAATCGTGGTCCAAACCGTACTGTACAGTTTGGTTCAGATCATAAACCGTTAAGTATGGTCTGGTTTGGTCCATGGTCTGTATTATTTTATGTTTTGATCTCTTGGTCTGGTCTGGTCTAGACTGCGGTTTACCGGACCCAACCGTGGACCCAACCGATTTGTCAATACGTGTTAACAGCCCATTCGACCACTCTCCCAACTCCCACAACGACACCCAAGTCTCAACTTTAATTTTGTGAATCTCGTCACTCCTTCATTAGGAACCACACCTAACCAGAGAGTAGAGATAATTGTGTCTCCATATGACATTATGTTAATGGTTATAACGTTATGGTGCAAGTTGATATGCTTTTAATTGATATCTTTGTTATGTACTAAGATTTAGGGTATCAAATTTATTCATGCATGCTAGGATCAATGTTAAGGCAAACAAAAATTATTTTTCTTGATTATTGGTTCAATTTTTTGTGTGGTTGATTAAAGAAATTGTTCATTTTTCGTTGAGTGGTCTATATGGACCAGACCAGACCGAACCAGACCTCACAGGCATGGTCTGGACCGGATCATATAGTCTATGGTCTAGTATATGGTCTATACTTCAGCGTCTCGGTCTGAACCATAGACCGTATATATGGTCTGGTCTAGACCAGACCAGACCACACCGTTTCCCACCCCTAAACAATATAAGAAGTACTTCATATAAGGTAAATTTTTGTGCTTTGTTATTCCATTTTTTTGCACCAGTTCGACCGAATCTTAATTTCATTTTGACGATAAAAAATTCCAAGCTAAAAAAAAACAAGAAGATCAAAAGATGCCTAGAAGATAACACTTACATCCATTGTCACTTTCTCGTATTATTCTAAAGAAAGATATAAACTATAAAGTATGGACGTAAGGAATATAATATGAGGGTTATGGTTAAACTACGACCATATCGATTCTCTTTTGCTTACTTACGCAATTGCTCAACTCGCTTCTTTTTGCCTGGAATGATGGCTACTTGAACAAAGGGGGATCTGGGTGGCGTTTGAGTGTGATATTCTGATTCTGTAGAGGTGAGGCGGGGAAGAAGAAGAAGAACTGAAGCAAAAGGAATCGCTTCGGATATTTTTAAGCAAAAAAGTGATCTTTTTTACTTTTATCATATATTCAAGGGGAAAAACCGATAATTCTGACCAAAATGAAAAACAATGTTGTCAGATGTCGTAATCTCATTCTCATCATTGCTATTTTGTGTATTTCCCCCTTCGAATCCGTTCTCAATTCTCTCCATTTCTCTTTGAGAAATATTGTTCAGTTCGAGTTCCAGCCACACGCTCATCATCACAATTCACAACCCCTGAAATGGGCAAAAACGTCGACTATTTGAGCACTAAAAAGGATTCGATTTCTGTCATCGAGAATGGAGATGGAGCCACTCTGTTTTTCTTCTTTTTCGCTTGGCACAACACCATTTTACATCACCATCACGTTTCCATATTCCAAAATGCCCATCGCGCAATCATGTGTTGTGGGTTCTTGTCACGGCGATCGACGGTTGGAAATCCGCCATAGCCGATGGTGCAGATAGCAGGAATTAGACCAAGAAGGAGGAGTCAACGAAGGAGGAGGAGAGAGGGAGAGATGCCAGGTGGGCAGATTCAGCGCCAGCCATAGTTGGCAATTGTCCATTGAATTTCCCCATTTAGCGTGTAGTACTACTACTAAGCTAGTACCGCATTTTTTACACTGTCCGTTGAGTTTTGGCTACTCTGTACTGCTAAACAACTTTTGCAGTACAACGTTGATGGTCACTGATCTGCTTTTCTGGGTTGTGGCCGCTTAATGCTTTGCTTTGGTGGGTTGGTTGGAAATCGACGTTTTGACAATCTCCCCCCCTTCTTCCCTTCCACCCTAACTTTCCTTCTTTATGTTCTCTCTCTCTCAAGATTCCCGTTCTCTATAAATTCGAGATGTCCCTGTTCCAGTTTCGATGCCATCCCCACACACCCTTCTGCCTGTCGGGTATAAATTCCCCATCTCCAGATTCCTTCCCTCTTTCTGTATTCACCGCATTGAGTTCTCAATTCAATGCTATCACTGTGAGATTTGCCTTGAAATGCTAAACTCGGGACACCTCCAAAAGGAACTGAATCCGCCCAAGTATTTGCCTTCTCAGCTGCTTTCTTCCTTGTGATAGTTGATTAGATTATTATATCAAGTTGGCTGTTTGCAAAGTAAGGCCAAGCATATAGAAGACAGAATAGCAGCAAAGAAGAAAAATCCAAGTGGGGAGATAAAAGAAAGCCGAGATTCTTGCTACGGGTAATGCACTACACCTTCCATGTTACTTGCGGTTGATTGGTCTGAAAGAAGAAAACAAAAAAGGAAAACCGAATTGGGTGTGATTTCGCTGTCAATTGATTATTGATTGTGTGTATTATAGGCAAAGAGAAGAAGACAGGGAACTAGCAGTCTTATAAGCAATGAGTCAACTGAGGGATACGGGCAGTAACGGGGAGGAAATGAAGGAGATTCAAAGGCGGGAAACAGATGAAGCGACTGAGAACAGTATAGATAGAGACAATCAAGATGAAGTTGCTGCCGCAGAAGCAGCTGGGGAGGAAGAAGAAGAAGTGAAGAGGATTGTCCCATGGACGAAACAGATCACGATGAGGGGGATGGTGGCCAGCCTTGCAATTGGGTTTATCTACAGCGTGATTGTGATGAAGTTGAACCTCACAACTGGGTTAGTCCCAAACTTCAACGTCTCAGCAGCTCTGCTTGCGTTTGTGTTTGTGAAGTCGTGGACCAAGTTCCTGAAGAAAGCTGGGTTTGTCTCCAAACCCTTTACAAGACAGGAGAACACCTTGATTCAAACGTGTGCTGTGGCTTGTTACAGCATTTCTCTTGCAGGTTAGAGCCTTGAACATGTTAAAGTTTCTTGCTTTTTTGGTGTATGTGTTTAGGTAAACTGAACTTAAATTGTTGGACTGCAGGTGGGTTTGGATCTTATCTTTTGGGCTTGAACAGGAAGACCTATGAGCAAGCTGGGGTTGACTCAGAGGGCAATAATCCGAGGAGTGTAAAGGAACCTGGTGTTGGCTGGATGACTAGTTTCCTCTTTATAAGCAGCTTTGTTGGGTTACTTGCTCTGGTTCCCCTAAGGAAGGTAAAGGTCCTTTCTTGTGCTATGCATACAGTGTTAGCCTGTTGTTCTGTGTTAGAGATGGATGAACATCGTTGAAATAAATATGCAAACTGTGCTAGCTTTGGATTAAGATCAGTGCTTTACTTATCAAGATTGCAACTTTTTTTGTTATGTTTCAGATTATGATAATTGACTACAAACTGACATATCCTAGTGGAACTGCTACTGCGGTTCTTATCAATGGATTTCATACTCCAAAGGGAGACAAGATGGCCAAGTATGTTTTGTTATTTCCGTTTGTTTGACCCAGAACCGAGTTTGTTCCATGTTTGAAGCCAACTCAAATTCCAGTAGTGTGATTTTGGTGGTGCAGGAAGCAGGTTCAGGGGTTCTTGAGGTTCTTTTCTTTGAGCTTCATTTGGGCTTTCTTTCAGTGGTTCTACACTGGTGCACCCAAATCCGATATCCCATGTGGTTTTGTTCAGTTTCCTACACTTGGATTGGTTGCTTTTAAGAACACGTTAGTGCTTTCTTTCTTTTAACCTCTCATCTTTCATCATTGTTCTGCATATAGAAAATGGAAACTGACTGAACTCTTTTTTCCAGATTTTACTTTGATTTCAGCCCGACATACGTTGGAGCAGGAATGATATGCTCCCATCTTGTTAATTTGTCGTTGCTCTTTGGTGCCGTGCTTTCTTATGGTGTAATGTGGCCACTGATCGGAGGACTCGAAGGCAAATGGTTTCCTTCAAATTTATCAAAAAGCAGTATGAAGGGTCTCAATGGTTACAAGGTCTTAACAAGCAACTCTCATTTCCCTCCATTTAAAGGAAGACTGCAGACTAAGCCATGGAAATTGACTTCTCTCACATCATTTTCAGGTGTTCATTTCTATTGCTATGATACTGGGAGATGGACTGTATAATTTCCTCAAGATACTCTATTTCACAGCTACCAACATCGTTGCAAGTGCAAGAACAAGAAGAAATGTCCGAACCCGTAAGTGAAATTCGTTCAAATGGTCGATTACATGACATAAAGTCAATGAAAGTTCAGAACTTTTTTGCTAAAGTTCAGTACTTCATGTGCCTCACAGGTCCTGAAAATCAGAAGCAACCTCCAACCGATGATCTCCGAAGAAATGAAATATTTGTGAGGGAGACAATCCCAATTTGGGTAGCCTGCATAGGCTATCTTGCGTTTTCCATCATCTCCATCATAGTGATCCCTCTCATGTTCCCCGAACTCAAATGGTACTACGTTGTGGTCGCCTACATTCTAGCCCCCTCCCTCAGCTTCTGCAATGCATATGGTGCAGGGTTAACAGACATGAACATGGGTTACAACTACGGCAAAGTAGCCCTCTTCATCCTAGCAGCACTATCAGGGAAAGATAATGGCGTTGTTGCAGGGCTCGTAGGGTGTGGGCTAATCAAGTCAATTGTCTCCATCTCTTCCGATTTAATGCATGATTTCAAGACGGGGCATCTCACTCTAACTTCCCCTCGCTCCATGCTTCTTAGCCAAGCAATTGGCACAGCCATTGGCTGCGTCGTAGCTCCACTCACATTCTTTCTATTCTACAAGGCATTCGATGTTGGAAACCCTGAAGGCGAGTACAAGGCTCCCTATGCTCTCATCTACAGAAACATGGCGATTCTTGGAGTGGAAGGCTTCTCTGCCCTTCCCCAGCACTGCCTGCAGTTATGTTATGGGTTCTTCGCGTTTGCCATTGCAGCCAACTTATCAAGAGACTTGTTGCCGAAGAAAGTAGGGAAGTGGGTTCCATTGCCCATGGCAATGGCTGTTCCTTTCCTTGTGGGGGCGTACTTTGCGATTGATATGTGCGTGGGGAGCTTGGTTGTTTTCATGTGGCACAAGTTGAGTAGCAGAAAGGCTAGGTTGATGGTTCCAGCAGTCGCTTCTGGATTGATATGTGGAGATGGGTTGTGGATTCTGCCTGCTTCAATTCTTGCTTTGGCTAAGGTGACTCCTCCTATTTGTATGGGTTTCATGTCTAGCAAATAGGGTCTTCGAGATAGAGTAAGGATTGGAGGAAGATGAAAGGTGGAGCCATCATTGTAGAGATAAAGATAGATCTTTGAGCAGTTAGGGTACATATTAATAATATGCTCGATGTTTTCTCACCACAACTGGTGAAAATAGTGAGTTAATAGAAGAAGAAAATGTATGAAGTTTCAAAGTTGATATAGAGAGCTCTGTCAGGGTTCAGTTCTGGTGTCTGGATTGTATTCTTACGTTGATTCTGAACTTTGATAATATTGCTTGCTCTCTGTTTGTCAAGTAGCAAATGAAAGAGGTATAGCTCAGGAAAGACCTTCCATCTTTTATTTATTCATGACATATATGATGCCCTGGCAGGTGTAAAGATGACTGCCAATGAGCAACTATTAGGGTAATAAGCATCATTAATTACAGATTTATAATGATCACTTGAAACAACATGATTTTGAATATTGATGATGGATATATGATCACTTGGACATTTTGGCTGTGAGCTCTCTGGCAAACTTAGCAGCAACCATGGCAGTCATCCCATCAGCAGTGTCCCTCTGGGGGTTGTACTCCACCACATCTGCAGCCACGATATCGCCTTGCAGGTTGTGGAGGATGTTCAGAACATCCCTGAAGGACAGCCCGCCAGGCTCGAAGTGAGACACTCCATGAGCAAACGCTGGGTCGAGACAGTCCACATCGATGGAGATGTACACACCTTTCACCCCTTCCCCTAGTTTCTGCACACCAAGCAAGCAAACAGGTCAGTCAGTTCATCCTCCTCATCAGTTACTTCAATAGCAAGTAAATGAATTAACAGCTAGAAATGAGACCAGATTCTCGAGGAAATGCCGGTCTTTGGAGAAGGTCCGCATCTCGTACTGTTCCACTCCAAACCTCTTCCCTTGTTCACGACCTTCTTTGTTGATCGACCTGATGCCCACCTGCAGAAGCCTGCGAGCGTAACCACCTTCCATGATCCGAGCAAACGAAGAAGCATGAGAGTACTTGTTTCCCTCAAATGCGTCGTAGATATCCGGATGAGCATCGAGGTGAAGAACATCCACCTGCCCTCCAAGCTTCTCAGACACAGCTCTCACTACCGGGTAAGAGATCGAATGATCCCCACCTAGAATCAGTGGCCTTAATGGAGCCTGCAGCAAAAAAACTTCATTAATTTGGATGACACTAATTAACTAACATCCATTTGGAAGAAGAAAAAAAACTAAATATGATGGAACTCATCACCTCTTCCATCACGATTTTGACAGATTCACTGACGACCTCCATCAATCTATCATCACTCACGCCAGTGTCTCTCATTTCTTGCACAGGAAGATCCCCAACATCAGCCATAACCAGTGGATCATCGATCATTTTACCTTCTTCAGTGGTCGAGTTGGTGCTGCCACACCACATTGCCTCCCGAATGAGAGGAGGAGCGAAAGCTGGACCTTGCAGGAACGAGGAGTTATGTCCCAACGGGATTCCAAGCAACGAGCTAGTCGCCACCGCGCCTCCCAGCGCCCGAACCACCGCTCCCTGCAGAAGATGTAGTACGCGACATTACAACGAAATTACAGTAGAGTCATCCATCCACACACAGGAAGCCAGAGTAAGCAGAACACAACAAATTATTACCTTGAGCTTTGCTTTCTCGCGAATGAGAGTGAGGGAAGCGTCGATAACTCGCTCCTGACCCTGTGTGATCACGTCTTCTGGGATTCTGGCGGATTTCAGTCGCTCCAATGTGTGCATCCCTCTTCTCCAAATCATCGACGACGACATGGCTCTCTGCCCTGAAAGACTGAAACCAAGACCAATCTCTCTGTTTCTCTCTTCTGTCCTTCTAACTTGGGATGATGGGTTTTGAGCTGCTGAAGTGAGTGGCATTTATATAGACTGGATTGAGAATGCTTTTTTGCATTATTGTACTGCCAAAAAAATATCTTCAGCAGTTGTATTGTACTGGTGCCATTGACGCCCATCGATCACAGTCTGCTTTAAAAGGAGTTCCACGTTTTCCTCTTTGAGCAAAAGAGGGTGGTCCTCTTTTCTATCTGATAACCAATAATTCGTTGAGGACGAGGATTACTGAAAGAAGAAGGTAATACAGTAAGAAAGATGGACGGACAGAGACGAATCAGATATTGGGGAGCCTCAGCCTAGCTGGCTGGATATTGTAGAAGATGCATTGCAGGACCAGTGCTATAATATGAACCATTGTCCATATGTCTCTCATTTCTTGCACAGGAAGATCCCCAACATCAGCCAATCTCATTGTAAAAAAATATGTGTATATTCGCCCCGTAATCTAGAATTCCGACTCTGTCCATGAAGAGAACTATTTAATTCATCAATGTATATTTGGCACATCGCTCCTATATGTTAAATGCTAGCATTAGGTCTTACTTATTCATGTCTACCACAATGCCAACTTCACAATGGATCTTGCACCTTCTCATGGACAAAATGTTAATATCCAACGACTACCCGCTTGGTGCACTCGTTAACATCATCGCACATAGTAGTATCGAAGTAGAACTCTAATATGTAGGTTATTAATAAATCACAAAACCATGAGATCACTGGAAGACTTTCCTCTATGTTTGTGTATGCATGTTTTGTGTCCCACCTTCGGTTTGTCCAACACTTTGGTTAATCTCATAACCTCGATGTTTATGTGTCAAACTACATCAACATGTTAGTTTTCTCTACATACTAGTCTCTATTCATGTGTTTAAACCTCATACCAACATCATATTAAATCAGAGACGTTTCAGGAGTTTATCTAGGGTTAGATGGTTGTTATTCAATCCAAAACAACACAATCAATATAACAAAAGCAATTGTTAGCTTTTGTTGATTAAGTTTATCTAAGGTCGTTCTGAAATCCAGAAACAACGTATTCCCTCTTTTCAAACTCCCGACGAAATGAAGTATTTTTTACATATGTTGAATGATGGATGGCCTAGGTTGATGGTTCCTGCGGTTGGTTCTGGGCCGATATGTGAAAATGGGCTGTGGATTCTGGCAATTCTTGCTCTGGCCAAAGTGAGGTCTCCTATTTGCATGGGCTTCACACGGCTAGTGAATAGGGCTTTGAAAATAGGATTTCATGGAGATAGAGAACTGAGCTTTCCAGGGTTACACAGCAATTATTAGGTTTTTTTCAATTCTGATGTCTGAATTGAGTCCCTATGTGGCTGTGTTCATTTTGAACTTTGACCAAATTGCTTGCTCTCTGTTTGACCACAAGGAGCAAAGGAAAGAGGTTATTCAACAAAAATGACTTACTGACAAAAGATGGCAATTGGAAAAAACAGTGAATGTAGATTCACAAGCAAGTAGCAAATATCACATGGTCTTAATTCCAAGGAGTGTGAATATTATATTTCCAAGGGTGTTTGATTAATGACCATATCCTTTGGGAACACAAAAATGTAAGATGAATTGTTGTCACCAAACTTTATGGGTCAAACCTCATTTATTTGTTTATCACCACCAATATATAATTGTCATACAAATTATTCTCATACTTTATTATACATTATAGTTTTTGTAATTCTATTTTGAAATCATATAGAATCTAAATAAAGAAATCGGGTATTCATTGTATGTACGTCATAGTTTTGCTTCCAACGTACATAACCACACATTAGTATCAAGCAATATCAGTATACATATTGTAGAGCTCTTGCTTAGCTTATGAAAGGTGCTATCGTGCTAGGGTTGATCCACTACACGCAATGTCTACAAACTTAAAATATCTGACCGTTCAACATTTTAAACTGTAAATAAACCTAAAATCTGTATCCGTACTTTGATCAATGCGCCAAAAAGCTAATCTACATGAATCTGAAGTGTAATTCATACTTGTATACATAATGTCGATGTAGCTCAGATGATACAAAACTTCATAACCAAATCTCCATCAGCACTCTAATCCTTTGCCAAAGATTTTTGTGATTCCACAAGCCGACAAGTTCACGATTTCTTCGTTATTAGGGCCAATTTTCCGCCAACCGGTACAGTCGGTCAAGGATGGCACCTCCAACCACAATTCTGCAGCCATCTTTACGAAGATCTAATGTAGGGTCCAACCAGCCAACCAATTCCACAACTCCTACCAAACCAAACCGGTTACTTAATTTCCTCTCTGTGATTACGAGTCTGCCCATCATTCCCGTGGGCGGCCAGAGGAGGGCATCTCGTAAATAAAGTCAAACGCGAAGGGCATTTTGTCGATTCCTCCAAAGCTTCTTACCTGTCACTGCCACAATTCCATTATAAAGGATACAGAATCTGCCTGCCACGCCTCCCCCACTGATCCCTCGCCAGACGTGGACAAAGAAAGTTGCAGAAGTGAGCGAGGGAAAGAGCAGCAGTCAATTGAGCCGGTTGAGGGCCACTCTACATCTCCCCCATCCATACCAACTCTTTCTTTGATTCTGCATCTCAGGCGCCAGGGTAATTCAACTTCCTTTTTTGTTTGTTAGAATTTGAGCTGTTCAAGATTGTTTTTATGTGAAGTCTCTGTTTGGATGATTCTGGACTTGGGGACTGCTGGATCCTTGTTTTTGGATCCCAATCTGGAGACTTTCCGCTATAAATTTGTCTGGGTTCTAATCTTTTCGGTGGTGTCGTGATCAGTGGTATTGTTCTGACGAAGTCAAAAAGGGAGTTATAGCTATGGCGTCAGATCCGAAGAAGGTTTATGGGTTCGAGGAGGTTTCTGGGCACAACAAGACCAAAGATTGCTGGCTTATTATCTCCGGCAAGGTCAGATCTCTGTTCTGATCTCAAACTTGTTCTCTGAATTGGTGTTGCCTGTTATTTGTGTTTGAAACTGTTCTTCTGTTCCTCTCAACCCTTTGTGGTTCGCTGCTGAGAATATCTGCTATCCGATGTAAAGTGACAGACTTTGATGACTCTGGATTTACCCCCGTTGCATGTCTCTTCAAATATCAAACTTCCTGAAGGTTTCTTATGCTCCGGTCAAAGTTGTCTGATGTTTTTTTTTTCATGATTACAATCAATCATGTTACCTTCAAAGTTGTGCTGATGAACGAGGGCATGGTGTATCCAGCTTGATGTGTTCCTTCACGTATCACAAAACTCTCATTACTGTCCACAAAACCTGTTCCTACCTCAGAAATGGCATTGAATGTCCAATGGTTAAGACTAGCTATTCTGATTTGTATGGTTAGGGATGTCCTTTGAGGTTACTTGCAGTCATGGGAAAACGGTGCAGAGGCACTTTATCTTTTGTGTTCAAATTATGATTGATTTTTATGACCTATAGGAAGTTGGCCTACTTGTCTTTGCTCCCTCCCTGAGGGAATGAATGTTAGTGATAAAAAAAAGATGGAAATACATCCTTTTCATAGGCAGTAGAATGCGTGATTGAAGGACTATATATGGGGATCCCAAATCCTAATCCTTCTTATTTGACTTGATGACCTTTTAGTATGTATTTGGAAAAGAGATACTACTGTCACATTATCATCGAGAAAAGGAATAAAGGATGGACCTGCTTTTGTTCTATGCCTTGTTCTTGCTGTGTTGTGTCTATTAGATGGTGGTGTGGAACATACCATCTGAATTTTGCTCATCTGTGAATCTTTAGGTCTATGATGTGACCCCATTCATGGAAGATCATCCCGGAGGAGATGAAGTTTTGTTGTCAGCAACTGGTAAGTTGCATAATAACATTAGGGAGTAGTTTTGCAGTTCCCTCCAGTTTTTCCAGCTTGAAGTAGGATGGATAATCATATGACAAGGGTTTTTCTCTTTTCAGGGAAAGATGCAACAAACGATTTTGAGGACGTGGGGCACAGCGATTCGGCTAGGGAGATGATGGACAAGTACTACATTGGCGAGATAGATGCAAACACGGTTCCTACAAAACGCAAGTACGTTCCCCCACAGCAGTCATACAACCAGGACAAGACCCCAGAGTTTGTGATCAAGATATTGCAGTTTCTGGTTCCCCTCTTGATTTTGGGGCTGGCCTTTGCTGTCCGTACCTACACCAAGAAGGAATAAAAGCTGCTGCCGCCGCACCTAATCTTGTGGATCCTGAACCCCTACAATACTCAACAATGCTACTCAAGAGTACTAGCGTCTCTGCTTTAGCTTTCACTTGCATTATGTTTGCCAACATTTACATTTACACAGGTGTTTATTTCACAGTCGGGTTAGTGTCGATTATTGTGTTTGCTTGACAGTAATATAGCAGTACTTGCTCGGTTCAACTCTTCCTTATTTCTCTTGGTAAATGAGGGGTGTTGTGCACCCTTTAGACAAGATTCACTATCTCTAGTTCTGAGGAGTTCCTACAATAGAAGAGATTCCTGGGGATTTTGTGACTTATCATCGTGACCAATATGTCGACAGTAAGACATACCCCTTTGAATATTGGAAATAATAGACTTCCGTGGATAAAACCTACAAATCTAACAGCTGCTTCTGTAGATAGAACTCTACTTGCGCTCACAATGTTTAGATCGAACAGAATGAACATAAACTTATTTTCAGACAAAACAGTGCCAACGCTTCTGCAGTCTCCAAACCGTTGAAAAAGAATTTACCGCCCACTGTCATAAACCTGAAATCAACTTCTTCAATCAAGTATACATCCTATTCTCCTGCAACCATGTTCTTGTGCTTCGCAAGGAGCGAACTATGGGGAAAGTACATAGCTTCCAATAATCAAGCAGTTGGAGAGGAGGAATAATGTAGGAGGTTTCAAATCCATTACCTATCACAGGCATGTAGTTCTCACCTTCACTTTGGCATAGCTCACCTTACCTCTAGCCTTTCTCCCTCCGCACACCTGCAAGTGTTTCTATTTGCATTCTACCAGTGATCTCAGATTCAACCCAAAGATAAAATTGCCAATCGAACAAATATTCATGATATTACACCTATACGCACTCTAACAAATGATAGGACAATTCAAATGCGTTCCAGCAGCCATGTTCTTTGGGAAATATTGAAGGGGGTGAAACGATTGGGAATTCAGCAATCAGTGTGTTGGTATTCATAGTCCCGTAGTACATAATGTTTCCTTCTTAAATCAGTCCCCAGTACACGATCATACTGGTTCGGAATGCAGGCTATACCTACTTTCAAACATTAGAAAGCAGCATAGAAACATTCCAGGAGGAGCAACTGATGCATAAAAAAATCACAGTGGGGTTTCCTTTACAAGCATTGCATGCAACTGCCATAAAAACATGCTCAAAAGGACATCAGGAACCGGCCAAGAGCGTTTCCAGCCTTCTAGATTCCCTGCTGAGGCTTAGATGATCCTTTAGAAGAACTTCAGAAAAGAAAAACAAATAAATCAGTGGAGCAAGCAAAGTCCAGGAAACAGCACCAGCAGATGTGTCACTCAGCTCGAATCACGTCTCGATCTTCTCATGCAAATTGACCACCAAGTTATGTGCATCATCCAAAAGCTTCCACACATCGAGTTGACCCGACATGCTATTGCACTCCCTCAGAATCTCATCCATGCTACTGTACTTCTCGATTATCAACTTCCTCTTCTGCAGCACTGAAGCTGCAATAGCATAGAGCAACAGATCATCCGTCGGAGGCACTCTCTGCCTAATTCTGCTCCCTGCTGACTTCCCGATCCCAGCTCTTATAGCAGCCTGATCTGCCCACATGACCTCCCACAGACAAAGCGTCTGCTCAAAACTCAACTCCCTCCTAAATAACACCACAACCATCCTATAAACGAAGAAACAATCCTCAGCCTGAAGCTTCTCCAGATGTCTGTAGAGGTGTGAGTCCTTAAATTTGATAATCTTGGAGACAATGCTCAGCTGCCTTCGGATGCCTACCTCATCAAGCCTAAAGTTATGTCGAGCCTTCTTCATGAATCCGACAAAACACCAGAAGGCTTCGTGATCTTCTTGCATCACTGCAATGATTGGGCTGAGTAGATCGCTCATCCCTTGGCAATAACCAATTTCAGGGTCGTAGAGTGCATAAGCCTCTAATATGGCAACTAGTCTTGCTGCATGGAAAACTCTGCATGGCTCAAGGTGATCGTGTTCTTTTAACCCGACTGCCTCAGCTGAGCGCTGGGCTCTGACTTCAGATACGGAAGCCTGAGAAGGGGAGTAAGGGACCCACTCTGAGTTGGCACGCACTGCATCAACACGAATTATTCGTTGCCATGTGGCGAAATCTTCAACAGCACAGCGAGTTGGAAGTGATGGAGAAGTATCAACTTTGGAAGAAACATGCACATCATCATTATCTTCCCTGTTTTCTGGAGCAGATGCCTGAATGACTTCAGAATCTTCGGATAATTCAGAGTCATCAGACGACTCGGTATTTTGTGCAGAGGCATCAGCACCTTCTGAAAGTGTGGTACATGGATCAATTGAATATTCAACATCTGGACTCTTTCCTTCACTAGAAAGGGACTCCCGGGCACTGACCACATCCTCGTGACTCGAAGAGTCAGTATCATGAGCAGAACTTCCACCATCTTCTTCATTGTCGACTGTTTCACCATTTTCACACAATTTGAAGGTCTCGGAACTTCGCCTAAGGATTCTCCGGCACTGTCTCCTGAGTTTCTCATACTCTTTCCTGCACCAGATTATCAAGAAATAATCATACAACCATATCATAACCAGATACCAGAAGTTATGAGTGGAGGCTCCGAAAGAAGAATGAAGCAAAGGGCTGACAACATCTCAAGGTATCAAGATCCAGCTTTCAAGTTTCATTCTAGCTTGAATTCGGACAGACATACCTTTTCTGGGTTCTTAGGAGCTCCCTTTCCTCTTTAGAGCTGTCCAAGTCATAACTGTTAAACCAGGAACAAATTGTGAGTTAGGGAGGAATATCCATATACTAATCACTCTATAGGATACCATTGACTAACATTAAAATAAAGACTTAACAGAGATTTATGTTTAATGGCCAAAAAGAAACAGATTTCTGAAAGCATGGGTATGCAAACACCCTTTCTATCTAGACCTAGATAATACTGCAAGTCCCACCATTCCTTTCCAGGACATCCCAATTACCCCCAGAATTGAAAAGATATATTACAAACATAAAGATGTGACCGGCAATAAGTTTGTTGTCAAACGGGTCAGGAAATGACCCTAGAATTTAACCAGGCTAATCATAGGTCATCATGATGCAAGGAAATGAGTGCACAAGGTTTTCTAACTAGTTTCAGGAGTGAAGAAGTGGGCAAAGTTGAGGCCTTTACAAGGAGTCTGGATAGAGGTAAGCACATCCTTTAAGAGATTATTAAGGCTATGGGTCTAACCATACTGAGACTACATATAAGTAGGCCCTAGCTGGGGCTCAACCCTTATGAGTTATGCAATGGTCCAAAGATGGATTGCTATTGTATCCCCAGATTTTAGGGATACTTACATCCTTCCCTAAATTTAGAATGACGAATGAAAAACACATATTCAAAGTATCTTAGATGATCAAAAAATTATTTGGAGATTGAAGAATGATAGGCAGACAAGGATGGGAGATAGATAACAACTATAGATATATACGAACAGCAAGATCACAAACAGGACAGAGACAACAGGGTTATGAGGGCTTACACTCCAAGCAGAAATGGCCAGACCTCTGGTCTAATACTTGGTTCAACACCCTGTGTCGTGAAACAAGAGATATTAATATAACAGAAATGCAATCTTAGCATGTTAGAACGAGTGACCAATCTACTCACTCCACTTCGAACTTTCTTCAAAAACTTGGCTCCACCATCACGTAGTTTCCCATCTGGTGTAAGAAAATTACTCCATTGTTGAGGAGTAAGGACATGTTTTCTTTTCCTACGGGACCATGGTGATTTGAGACGCCCCCTGAAATTGAAGAGAGTTCCCAATTAGTCACTATATCCCTCAAAATAAGAAGCTTGTACTTGAGATGACACAGTAATAGCAACCCATAGACACAGACATGCCAGTCAGAAACCGGGTTTGAGAAATTGAGACGTCGATCAAAAGCAGGAAACATACATTTACAAGCATTCACATGCAAGACCAGCAAAATACAACCTTTATTCTTTAACTCATGTGTCATGTAATACTCAAGTGGGATGCAGCTTAAAGACACCCATGGAAAGAAAAAAGACATTGGAAGAACACAGAAAAAAAAGCAACATAAAAATGCCAAACTTAAGAGAGCACTACCTTTCCACTTTACAACAGCCTCGGAAACTAATACCTATTTCAGGCAATTAACCCATACTATACTACTATTAATCAACAACTCAAGCAAATCACACACCAATGGCAAGTGTTTTACCCATCTCTATAGCACTAGGGAAGTGACAATATTTTTTTTAGAACCATAGCTAACCCCAAAAGCCACCATTCAGCCTACTGGAAAGAGCTTGAAATGGAAATGAAACCCCATTCATTACAATAACCCAACAGGGTATCGAAGTTCTGAGCCTACCTCTAAGATAAGAAGTGTCAAGGGGAAGAAACGAACCAACTTAAAGCAGCATCTAAAGCAACCTTGGGGTCGGATCTAAAGAAAACGCTCAAGAAGTGCAGGAGGAGGAAGAAAGGGGAACATTTGATGAAGCAAAAAAGGAAATGGAAGGGAAATGGGACTCACCGATCGAGATGGGAGTAATGAGCTTGTGAGGAGGAATTAACAACGAATAGGACCGAACGCAATTGAATCCAAGTGGAGGACGATGATCCTGAACCAGACGACGACGGAGAAGGAGTATTTGAAGACGCCGACGAAGTATGACTTCGTCTCAGAGCTTTCATCTACTTAAATATATAACTGAAATCTTTTGTTTCTCCCTTTTCCCCTTTCCTTTCCCCTTCTATAAGCGTCAGTTTTCTGAAACTACCCAACTAACAATCACAATCTAAAACCCTAGAAAGTTACAATCTACAGCCACAACAAGAACTGAATCAAGAAATAGAAGGAAAAAGACCGAATCCTCTCTGCCGGCTGTATTCTCAGGGGAGGGGGAATCTGGGTTTTTTGTTGTTGTTGTTGTTGTTGTTGTTGTTGCTCTAATGGGGATTTTACCTACTAGTGGTGTAGAAGATGGCGGCAAAGACGGCGATTCCCGCCAAGGCAGTGACGGCTACAACAGCAGCAGGCGAAGAAGCAGAGTGGGAACCCGCCACCGTGGTCAGTGCCCAGGGGAACCGACCGCCACCGCCACCGGCAGTCCCGCCGTTGCCGGAGATGTGGAGGAATGCTTTGAGGCTGATGAAGTTGGGGATGGGAGTGAACATTGAGAGTGTGAACGGAAGCAAGATCCGCTTCAAATGGGGTCTCTCCGGAAAGTAAATTGTTGCAACAGCAGCAGCAGCGCCGTCGTGGCTATTTGAGAAGGAGATCGGGAGGCGAAGGGGAAGAGGAAAATGAAAGAGGGATAGAGATAGAGAGGGAAAGGGGGGAAGTGGAAGAGAGAGAAAAAAGTCGTCTTTGGCTTTGTTGGGCTTCTTCTCCCTCGTTTTGTCTTTGTCTCACTCCGATCCACAGTTCCTTGCTTCCTTCTTCCACACTGTTATTATTATTTAAAAACAAAACAAAAAGAAAGTGGAAAACAAAAAACTCTATAATAAAGCAAAAAAAAGCAATTAAATAAAGCAAAAGATAAAGTGAGGGAAAAGGTGATTGAAGTGTGAACAAGATTAATTATGAGTTATGATATTTTTTATGAAGAAGAATGATAATTAATCCTTCTCTGACCCGGATTACTACATGCTTCCATTTTCTCTCTTTTGCCTTCAATTCCTTTTGATTTGAGACAGAATCGTTTTCTTCCCACTACATAATGGTATGATTGAAGACCCATAGAGCATGATAATCTGAATTTTTATAAAATTATTCGTTTCCACAATTTTAATATTGTTGGATTGAATGCACTTTATTCTCATGCATTATGCAAGTTACAAACTCAATGTACCAATCTAATGGTAGCCTAGTAGTATTTTTTGGTAACAGAGAACTCAGTGGTCTGACTGTGAGTCACATCGACTCTCTTGTGAAAGTTTTTACGAACTCTCTCGTCTATTTTCAGTTCAATAATTGTTGGAGGTCTTATGATAACGATGTGAGTTCAATGAGACGAGAAATAATCCCAGGTACCACTTTTCACCTTTTCAAGTATTACTCTTTGAAATTAAGAACCCAAATCGCTAATGTGTATAATGTATTGTTTAGAACGATTCAATCGATACTCGTGTATAATTTGCATAATATTAAAAAAGGATTTTGATAAACTGTTATGTACCAATAAATAGATGAAGGGTCGTTTGGATGTGGAAATTCTAAAAACGTTGAAATTTGTCTGAATTTCCATGTTGTACAAAATCAAGGAATTAACTTGTGGAAATTGAAAAAAATTCACGTTTGGATAGGGTTTAGTTTTGTGGGAATTGATGGTGTGGAATTTGGAAAAAGAAGTAAGAAAACGTGGTAATGTCAAATTACTAGGGGGAGGTGTAGTATTCTCAATTACCATGAATATGGTAATTGAAGCCAATTTCCATGGTCCAATTTCCATGCCATTTTTGCTCTCCCAAACATGGGTTTTTAACCCAATTACTGCATTATATGGTAATTGGGTCCAATTACTGCATTACATTTCCACATCCAAACGACCCTTGTCGTATCAAACGAACGTTGTCCTTACCTGGCTCAGACCCCGTGTCCGGACACTTGTGAATAATAATAATAGACTTGTGATTGATATACTTCACAAGTACAAAGTTCGATCAACATAAACTTCTCACTTCTCCGACACCCGGGAAAACATGACGTGTTGGTCTACGTCGCTCAGCACCACAAGAACATAAATTGTTGAGCTAAGAAACTCATGTCAATGGACTGCGGGGGAAAATTCCCAAGGTAATACTTATCGATAAACCATCCTTATTGTTAGAGAGGTTGCTCATTCAAAATACTCATTATGTTAAAATATAATAATTTCATATTATGAATAATGTAGTTTGGGTGGATCAATAAGAGAAGGGGAAAAAAGAGGAAACAAAGTATGTACCTTGATAGCAATCAATCATCCTCTATCATATCCCATGTTGATCAAGGCACAATAATTAAAGTCGACCCCATACGCTGTCTCCCCTTCTCTTCCGGTCTCCGATCTGCTCGCCCAACATCCTGCAATATTAAATCACTTCTCGTGGATCATGTCTTGCTTGCCCCTTCTTGTTCACGCAATGCCGTGAATATTTTATACGTATACACATATACTTTGTATTCTTGTAATGATTGTGGTCTCCGAATTAGAGCCAGCCAGCTAGCCAGTTGCTTTGTGCTAGTCTCCTTTCGATTAATGGCGAGATCCGGCGGCCAAGCATAATATCCAAGTAAACAAAGTCTCGCTGCTGCCACCATGGGCCGGCCGCATGTCGAGGCTCCTCCTCGTGAGCGCGCGCAGGCAGAGCTCCAAGTGGATCAAAGATGCAAGTAGTTGGTTCTTGGTTGCTTACTGGGAAGTTGGAAAAAAGGCCCCAAAAAAAAGAAAAAGAAAAAAGGGAACGTGGGGCAGTGCCGGTTAAGGCAAAATGCAGTGCTTGGGAATCTGGGTGGGAGCAGAGTTTTGATTATCTTGTTGGTGTTTCTCGTGCAGAGAGCCTGTACTCCTTGTTCTTTCTGCTGCGACTGGGTTTGTGCTTGCTTTAAGGCTTACAACGTGGAAGAAAGAAAGCGAAAGACGGAGAGCTGCCATGCTGCTGTAAGGTTGGGTCAAGAATGCAGTGAGAAGTTGGGTATTATGCTAATCGGAGGTCTGTTAAGCACGGATGTTTTTGGTGATTTGACACGCCTTGTTAGTATGCGGACTAAATACTAATTGATGTAAATAAATAACCACTTTGTGACGACTATGTTACATTAAGCATCCTCGTCGACACCGAGGTGATCTGCATTGTCCAAGGTCTTGACAGCTGAAGATCAACATGACAAGGTTACAGAGAAATCTACAGGGGAGAGAGTGTACAGAAGATCTGCAGTTAAAAAGCCTAGAACTAGAAGTAGTACCCGCAGTTACTCTACAAACAGTTCATAAATATCCAACTCCCATTTTATTTGCCCAACAGAAAAGGAAAACCCCAAGGCAGTGGGCAGTGAGGCTTCTATCAGAAAACAGCTGATCTGGGGGAAGATCTCAAGCAGCTTATTGCTTCAGGCATTCTTTGCTCGATCTAAAGCTTTGAGGCAGCAGATTTGTCCAGAAACCATTTCAACTCTCCTTCGGGCGAAACTAGCTGACAGGGCAGTGGCTCCTCGTTCTTCCCGCTGTTACCTAATGCTCTCTGCACCACATCAGCTTTGCCACCTCCACACACTACTAGCGCGATGTTGGCAGACGAGTTTATCACGGGGAATGTGAAAGTGATCCTCTCTGGAGGTGGCTTGGGCGAATCCAAGATGTGAGTGACCCATTTCTTGCTCTCCTTGCAAAGCGGATGACCGGGGAATAGAGATGCTACGTGCCCATCCGGACCCATACCCAGAAGCTGGAGATCAAACTTCGGAAACCCACTAGCTTCCGACTTGGCTATCACCCCTGAGTTCACCAAATGTTTGAGGCAGGTTTCGTAGTCATCTGCTGCACCCTCAGCAGACAATGCATCGTTGATCGCGTAAACATTGCCTGGTAGAATCGGCACCTGCCATAAATGTAAGGGCTTTTTCATTAAACGTCTTTCTACATCCATCCATCCAGAAATGAATTCACCACTTAGAGCAGAATGACAACGACTGTATCTTAATCAAACACTGTTTTGGTCGAAATTGAACAGAGCTACATGATTCTCCTAACTCAGACTGTTACTCTAGAGCTAACCATCCAGTCACTCTCTACCAAAGGTGGCATTCATTCATTCACATTCATTCTTTGTAGATGCAGAGCCACAACATTGAAAGTGAGGAAATTGCAATGAGAAGAAGATACCTGAGAGAGAAAGAGATCGAATGCAAGCTTGTAGTTACTGTCGTCATGATCCTTGGGAACAACTCGCTCGTCTACCCAAAACACATGCCACTTCGACCACTCTATCGAATCAATATACGGCGGCTCCAGCAATTTCCTGAAAGTTCCCAAATCGAATCGAATCCGGCGAAATTGAAACCCCAATGAATTAAAAATCACTCCTTTCGAATTTCAAATCGCAAACGAGAGACCAACCCGGGAGAAAAACGATGGAACAAACGCAGACGAAACTCACCTGAGAGACTTGATGAGAGAACCTCCGGAAACGACGACCGTGAACGAGCCCCTCTCTTTACCGAACTTATCCGAGAGATCGGCGGTGTACTTGGCAAGAGAAACCGCGAGATCCTCCTCCGTGTCGAAAACCTCGACCTTCTTCTCGGCAGTAGCAGCCATCCCGGCAGTTGAGAACGCCTTGGTCCGCCTGAGCTGAAATCTCCTCGAAGTCTCCGCTTTTCCGAGACCTAATCCGGCGAGCGAGCGATCGGCCGAGAGAAATGAAAGCTTAGAGAGCGGCAGTCCGCAGAGTGAGCGCACCGACGACGAGATCGTGCTACTGCTGCGGAGGAAGGTAGGTGAGAAAGAGAGCGATAGCGCAGCCATGGAACGGCGAGTGGGAAGTTCTTTATAGTCAACCGGAGAGAATAACGGCAGCGAGTGGGAGTGGAAAGGAAGGTGGGGAAGGTCACTAACGGAGACGTGACTGCGAATTTCTGATTTAACGTTTGGGAGATGACGGAATCAACAATGCTTAGTGCTGAGGAGGCGGCATATAAACTCGACACGTGGCCCGGAGCGAACTCAAATGGGCCAGCTGTCTAAAACCAACCCATTACTTCGAGAAATATGGGCTTATCTATTGGGCCAATGCCCAAGAATAGGGCTAGAATCTCTGCTAAGTTGGACCCTGAACCAAATAAGTTGGTTTTATAACCGCGCGCCACATCAAAACCCTAAAACGCGAAGGAGGCTACATATAAATTCTTCTCAAACGCAGCCGTGGAAATTGACAGCGGACGATCGGTGAGAGAGCTCAAGAGAGAGCGGCGAACAGAAGAGGCGAGAAAATGCAGATCTTCGTGAAAACCCTAACCGGGAAGACCATCACCCTCGAGGTCGAGTCGAGCGATACCATCGACAATGTGAAGGCCAAGATTCAGGACAAGGAAGGTAAGCCTGTTTATCTTCATCCTTCTTATGAATCCGTCCGAATTGAGAATTTGGTATCATGGATGGCTAAGTTTTTGGGCGGTGGATGTTTGATTAGGTATTCCTCCGGATCAGCAGAGGTTGATCTTCGCTGGGAAGCAGCTGGAAGATGGTCGTACTCTTGCGGATTACAATATCCAGAAAGGTGAGTTTTCCCGGGTTTTCTCCTTTCTTCGTGCTCGTCGCTTGAGATTCCGTTATGTTGCGGTGATTTCTGGAGAATTCTATTTGTGCAACTGTCTTCACTGAAACGACAAATCGTGGTGCAGAATCGACTCTTCATTTGGTTCTGAGGCTTCGTGGTGGCATTATCGAGCCATCGTTGATGGCTTTGGCCAGGAAGTATAACCAGGAGAAGATGATCTGCCGCAAGTAAGTTGTTATCCTCTTGAGACTCCACAGTGATTACTTGGTGTCTACTTTATATCTGTTTTCTTGGGTTAATCATGTATTGCCCGTCTGAGTTATTGTGTTCCGCACTACCAAATCCATGAGCATATGTGGTTTCCTGGGACATTTTATGGATTAGGATTGTTGAAAGTTATTGAACAATCTTCAGCACTGTCTATAGGTTTGCCTAGTGGCTACTAGCGTCTTGAATTGATCTGGGTAAGTTGAGAGTTTCATTTACCTAGGCTATTTACTGTAATGCTTTAGTTTGGTTGTTGAACCATGTAATAGAGCTTAGGAAGGAAATGCTTTATATTCTGAACTATGGAAGCTACACATTTCGGTCTAATGAATGGACTTAATCTTTTATCGACTTGATCTATGTTCCTTTATTTGGTGGAAGCTGCTAGTCTGTTCTAGTAATGATGCAATTAACGTTTGCTCTTTTCAACTCATGTAACTGTTGTGCTTCTCTCAATGCGTTCTGTTGCGTGTTTGATATTTGATCTGGTGATAATCATGTGTTGGATATGATGTCTATACAGGTGCTATGCGCGTCTCCACCCCCGTGCTGTCAACTGCAGGAAGAAGAAGTGTGGACACAGCAACCAGGTAACTGTCTGTACGATTTGTACATTCTCATAATATCCCTGTCCTCCGTTATTTTTGTGTTGTCGTTGCTGATGCATGACTTATTTTGTTACCTGCAGCTGAGGCCGAAGAAGAAGATCAAGTAGACTGTTAGTCTGGATGCTGGGATGCAGTTACTGTTAGGTTACTGGATATTCTGTTTTGTTGCTGTCAGAAATTTTGGTGTAATAGTTTCATGACTCGAATTCTAGTACTGGTTTCTTTGTTCGATCTGTTGTGGCAGTACACTATTACTGAGATCTTAATGCAATTCAGTGCTGTTTTACTTTGAAATCTAATTCTCTAGAATGGTACTTTAAAGATATCAAATGAGTGATGTTGAAATGGTGGGGAGTACAGGATGGTTCTCTGTTCTTTCAATGCTCTACACCTATGCTGATCATTACATCAGATGCTACTTTATGTTCTTGTTCGTTCTCAGCTGTGAGAAATGCTGCGTATTATGTGTGCAAACAATACATTTCCCAACTGGAATGCTGATTTCATGAACGATTTAGGATAGTAGGTTATTGTCCGATTTCACAGGATGTATATGAAATATGAATGGTTCTTTGTTGTAGACAATAACTTCGTGTTTACATATTGTTGTCGTTGTTCTTTCTGTATGCATCTGAGTCCGAGTCGTCATGATATTATCTGGCATGACACAAGGTTTTGATGAGAAAATATATGAGAGGTAATGAATTCTGTGCGGAAGAGAGCGCGTTGCATACATACCTCGTCTGGAAAACATTTTGGATCATTTTCCTTGGCGAACTGGATGCAGCATATTCTAGCTCAATCTGCTCCTCCAAGCTTAGCCTCCACCCTAGAGCTCCCAAATTCTCCTCTGCTTGTCGAACAGTCTTCACCCCTGGTATTGGAATTGCGCCTTTGCAGATGCACCAATTTATTGCAACCTGCGGTATGGTTTTCCTCCTCTTCGTTGCAATTTTCGAGAGCACCTTCAACAGAGGCTGCAGTCCAGGAAGAATTTGACCAAATAGCAGCCCCCTGTAGAGTGAGAGTATTACTAACATACTGAGCAATAATGAAGCCATCATGATTTGATCAGATCGATGTAAGCTGCACGCACGAACCTGGGTCCAACCGGAAGCTGGGAAGATGTGTATTTCCCTGTCAGCATTCCAAGCCCTAAAGGACTGTAAGCGATAAGACGAACCCCCAAACTGTCGCATACTTCTTTGATCTCCATCTGTTCTTCTCCCATGCTCAGTAATGAAAACTGAACCTGAGCTGAGCATAACGGCACTCCTCTAGTTTTGAGATAATCGTGAACCTTAACGAGCTGCTTCGGTCCATAGTTGCTCACTCCCACTGCCCTAACTAGACCCTGAAACGGAAAGAGCTTACAAATGTTATGAGAGATCGAATCAGGCTTCTGCAGTTCTGCTGGCTACTGCCCGATTGCGAACTCAATAATAACCTGCTCATACATGGCAACTAGGCCGTCCCAGAGCGCCAGTTCCTGAGGGGGAGCGTAGTTAGCAGTCGACCAATGCAGCTGTCCTATGCCAAGTTGCTCAATTTGCAGCCTCTCCAACGATCCCCTGGAAGCCAAAAGCCCTATCATTTAAGACAATTGTGGCACCAAGAGTCCAAGACATCACTCAACTTTCAAAGTGCTATTGAAGCATGCATTACTTGCAGGCCTTCACAAACCGGCCTGGGGTCAGCCGCCATGGATATGCAGCAAACTTGGTAGCAATCACAATATCATCTCTTGCCTTCCCTGGCACACAATACACCACAGATTAGACGCAGAATTACAATGAAGCGGTTTACTACACTAGATATAAAAGAAGAGCACTCAGATTACTGACCTGGATACTCTCTTATGAACTTGCCGAGGAGCTTCTCACTCTGCCCATTCAGCTTCCCAGTCCCATAAGAATCAGCCGTGTCGAAGAGATTGATCCCGTTCTCCACGGCCAGATTGAAAATGCGCTGAAGGTCGGCGTCCATGGTTTGGTCGTAGCCCCAAAGAAGCTGGTTCCCCCATGCCCAGGTACCAAACCCCATTGGAGACACTGTCATCGGACCCATCTTCACCTGCTCCAACAATTCCATCGCCATGGATCGTAAAAAGGTACAAGCATCTGGTTAGAAACAAACCCATTTTCCGTGGCGAGAAATGAATCGGGTCAGTGTTACCTTTTGCCATGGCCAGATGAGGGGAAGCTGGAAAGGCTTCGACGGTGAAGAAGGTTGATTGGAGGAAGCAAAACTGGCGAGGTATGCAGTGGTCGTCGAGGCTGAGAACGCCGCCATGGTTGATTGCTTGCTGGTGCTAGAACGATGTCTGATGTCTCTGTTCTTTTGGTTCTCTGTGTGGCCACGATGGTTGATCATGTTAATGGATAATTGCTTTTGCCGGTGTTGCTAAAAATGTGGAAATGGAAAGGGTGACGGGAAAAAAAAATTGACAGCTGTGGGATTTGAACCCACGCCCTTTCGGACCAGAGCCTAAATCTGGCGCCTTAGACCACTCGGCCAAACTGTCTGACATATTTTAGAATTTCACAGTTTTTTATTTTTAGAGGAAGGTCGACACGGTTTACAGAAAGTATTAAAAAGGATCATAGTTCACGAGTCAGGACTGCTGGTTGATAGGGAACTGAAGCGGATTTTTTACTCAATGGAAGGAAGAAAGTTGTGGGCTTTTTCTCCTGGGACAGCATGCGCAAGTTGCAAGGAGTAGCAGTTGAGGGAATAGGGGCAGTTGTCGGAGATTAATCTCATCTTCCTGCGAGCGGATTAGTTTGGCAGTCATCGTTGTTCCGGTTCCGGAAACTCTTCTTGCACACCAAGTGCTTGTGGAATTGTCCCTGTGACCCAGGGCCGTGTTTTGACTTGTGCGGCATGACACGAAGGAATACTAGGGAGAAAGTTGATACCTTTTCCCCATTGTTGAAGAGATGGCTTTATGGAAGACTGGGAAGATCTTCTTTTGTTCACATGGCTTGCAAGTGATCGTTCAATGTTACTGTTAGGCAGTCGATTGATTATTCAGTGAAAAAGTTCAATGAGATTTGTTAACTTCCACCTAATCGTGGGTTTTTCTCTCATAGGCGCATACTGTAGCTGTTTGGATCGTCTTCCATCATCTCATATGGTTCATGGTTGCATCTCATCTCACATAATATTGTAGACTGCAGTCTTATCTTCTGCTACATACAATTCAAACCAACATTCTTCCTCTATATGAATTTGTTGCAATGCTACGCAGACATTATTAGAATTTCGAAATCCAAATGCAAATTCTAGCTATGCAATTTCTATAACTTATACTTTACAGCTTTAGTTTCCTAAATCACCATCCTGCATGATGTCACAGTCAATATTCTCGTCAAATTAGTGCTCATCACCCTGCTGCATTCAATACCTTGTTGTTCTTGCTCTAAACCAATCTTAGCTACTAGCAAATCAAAGCCACCAAACTTCAGGCATTTCCCTGTATGGGTTTTGGCCGTTCAACACCAGAAGTTGAACCATTGTGAACTTCCATAAGACACGTCAAATTGACAACCTGGTGGTAGTGAACCTTCTGTTGCTTGAACCTTGTCCACGAGCTGCTGGTACCCATCATACCCTGGTTGCAGAAAACCTCTGCTCTTGTCAAATTGGGAGCTCTGTGAACTTGTGAATACTTTGTTCTCTACTCCTTGCTGTGCAGCTTGAGGCTCAAACATGTTTCTGTCTTCTGAAGCTACTACAACTTGGCGGCTTCCTTCCATGTCCTTGCAGGTATCATCTCCCTCCCATGATTTCTCCACCAGTGCGTTTAGATTCTGCAACTGTTTTAAGAAGGAATATGAAATGATCATTCAGTAAGTATTAGCTACAAGGAACTTGTTATAATATAAAATTGGTGAACAGAAGTCACCTGTAAGAGCAAGGTCTGCCTCTCATCCTGTAAAGACTCGAAACTAGATGCAAGGCTATCGTAGTTAGCCTTGAGCATCTTGTAGTCTTTCTCAATCTGCTTTGACTTCCACCTAGCTCTCTTGTTCTGGAACCATATAGCGACCTGGCGAGGTTGAAGCCCGAGTTCTCTAGCCACCTGCATCTTCTTCCTCGGTTCAAGCTTTGTCTCCGATTCGAAGATCGACTCTAACAGCCTAATCTGTTCATCACTGAATCTCCTCTTGCTCTTGTTGCTGCTGGTCTTCTTCTTTTTCGGAGGTTGATGGGGCGGCTGGTAGCAGGCTAAAGTTTCAGACTTTGCATCTGGTGCTTCTGGAGACGACTCTCTTTGCTTGACCATTAGATCACTCATGTTGTGACAGGTAATCCTAGTATTGTTTTGGACCTTGTGGACAGAAGTAGGAGTGAAAGAAGTGTCCTTTCATTGGTTTTCTTCCTAAGTTTCAGACAATTGTGTAGAAGAATGCATGTGAATATATAGCTCTGCTGGATTGAGGCAGAGAGCTTCTATAGCCATGCCTTGCTCTCAGGAGTCCAATAGCCAATAATCTTTCATGACGTGTGCTATTCCACCTCTAATGCCTTTGAGGATATGTCCGTCTTTTTCCCCTTTAGTCAATTTCAAACATTAAATCAGCGCTTTGCTGTTACATCGTTACCCCGCAGCCAGATCATCATATGGTATACTTGCTGTAAATAGAAAACTTGTAAGTTTTGTCGCTTCTCCAGCTCAACTTGTTTGACGTGGCTGGTGACCACCTTATTGAAGTGGAGTAAATCAGAAGGAAATCTCATTTCTTGTTTTAAGACAATGATGTTCTCTAATTTACTGTGCATTTTTCTAATAGTCTCACTTATCTAGAATCGTGATGTATTAACCAATGATTAACATGGCTGTCAAACCATCACTTAAGTTTAGAGGTTGAAAAAGTATGAGGTTCACATTTGGTTTTGTTTATATTACAGGAAACCTATCATCAGTTCACGCAAGCATGACCACTGGGAAACCCTCTGCTTTTGTGGGAAACAACTCAAGATAAACAAGTCCTGCCATGATCAATAATAATAGGTAAAACGACTCTCCACCTTCTACATTTCACATGGTTAAGTCATGTAGAATAATAATTCATGGTTCACTTTTCCCCATCAACGCTTTGGGGCCCCACCTTATCTGGAAAACACTTGAGTAACGCCAGCAAAATGGAAGTTTTCGTAAGCACTGAAAGTTGCCTCCTTTTGTCCTGGCCACGCTCTACATTCGACATGCATGGCCAGATCGATAGCTAAATAACAGTGGTCAATTGGATGATGTCTGAGCAGTCACTTTTTCTAGGATGGTACTGGTAACAAATGGTGCAGAGATTTATGAATCGACAGACACCCTTTTGGATATGCATGTACCATTAATTGTTAGATAGAGAGTTTATTTCGTCATTCAAGGAATTGGAGTCACTGCACTTTCTATCAGCCGCAATCCTCTTGCGAGTACTAATGCCTAACCACCCCTAATGTGCAAAGGGCACAAGGGGGGATGCATCCTGAAAACTAGCAGGGAAAATGCTTCTTATCTTCAATTATTTTTGCTTAACTGCGAGTTTCCTATAAGGCGATGGAAGTGTTTTAGTTGCTGAGAACTTGCTAAAAGTTCATTGTTAGCCTTGCAGGTACAACCCGGTAGGTATGAGTTGTAGCAAAGTCATCAACCTCAAAGCCAAGGTGCACCCTAGAGCAGTAGGGATAGATAGAGATGGACAAATATGGGTAGTTCTTAAAGTTGAATGAGCAAAAACCAGTTTGGCGTTATATAGCCAATCATACCAAGCTGATTTTGGAGCTTTGAATAGCAACTCTTATCTGCAGCTTTTCTCTGGTCTCCGAGGTAATAAAAATTGGGTGAAGTGTCAACCGCTCAAGCCATGAAGGAGCTTTGGATGCCTTTGGCGGGCAGTTAGACAGTCCTACAAGGAACCTAAACTAAGAGTTGGTGAATTGCAGAAGTTAACACATGTTTTTGGTCCCCCTAGTCGATTAATCTGTTCACAGAGCTTGTCCTAAAGCAAGTTTGGCTGGTGGTTTGGTTTGTGGGACAAAAGGGTACATATAATATATTACACATACTTGTCCAGGACAAAAGGAAGCTAGGTCCCCCTTCCATCGTCGTCATCAATTGGAGAAAATGAAAGGCAAAGTGTGAATGCAGTGCATGCATATCTTTTCTTTAATGGGGCTCTAGTTTTCAACACCGAGTGAAAATGACTTGGTCATCTGTCGTGAAACGGCCATTATTGTTAGGCGATTGAAGTGTTTCTCTGACAGTGTGCAGGAAGTGGTGAAGGCGACTACCCACCAGCAGCAGCAAGCAAGGGAGGAGTAGCAGCAGCCATAGCCTACAATTTGATTTGTGGAGGTTTTCATATCTATATTTGGTCATATGTACGAAGAGGGTATGTATGGTTCTCTCTTTGTGATAGTTGCTGCTCATTCTCACCATTAATTTGGGTTCGATTCTGTACTGTAGGAATGACAATATGGATTCCTGCAAGCGGTGGTCTTCACACGGTTCTTTTTCTTCTTCTTCTCTTGCCTTTTTAAGAGCTTTTAGTTTGCTTCTTCTTGTTGTAATGTGTTGCGATGGATTGGGGAATTTTGGGAAAGGTCTACTTGCGTGCACTACTGTGATTTATTGTGTCCCGTGGCAATGGCAAGGGATAGATTCTATGGATGTCTCTCTTTGCGTTTCCTTACTCTTTTGCCCTTTGGTGACTTTGTTCTGTGTTTTGTCGGCAGGAGTGAAGAACAGAAATTGTGTTAGGGAGACATATTTTTTTAAGCTGGGTATACGCTCGAGTTTTTTTTTTGATGTATATGCCTATATGGTACACTTCTAGTTTAGAATTAGATTCTAGAAATCAAATTTTAAATTATGGACATAAATTTAATATGATTTTTATGGCCTGGAAATATGGCTACGTATTTTACTCCTAATTTGTATTTATAATGGTGATTAGACGAATTTCTGAAGTTTCAGCGAGCAAGTGTTAGAAGTACTTCAAATACATTGTTTTGGGGTTAAAGACACATTTGGTCACTGAGATTACAAAATCGGGACATGTTTAGTCACTAGAAAAAGTTAATATCAAATTTGGTCACTACAATTACTAAAACTGGACGCATTTAGTCACTCGCCGTTAGTCTTCGTCCAACTCCATTAATGAAGTCCGTTAAGTGCTGATGTGGCAAACAGAATTGCCTAATCAGTCGGATATGACCCAACAAAAATAAAACCCGGCCTCCTCCTGTGTGGATCTACCACTCTTTGCGGCGCCGACGGAGGACCCGGCAGCGGCGACGATGGCGCGGGCACTTGGATCTTTCTGTCGGACCCAATCTTTGAAAAGTTAAGTGGTTTTAGTGACGACCACCGAGGACGCATTGGCGGCAGCGTCCGCGGCCGCGGCGGCGGTGGAAATGGGTGGATTCTCTCGGCGAGGAA